TGTGTTGTTGTAACTGGTCTATGGTGTGTCCAGTCTACTTGTGTTGTTGTAACTGGTCTATGGTGTGTCCAGTCTACTTGTGTTGTTGTAACTGGTCTATGGTGTGTCCAGTCTACTTGTGTTTTTGTAACTGGTCTATGGTGTGTCCAGTCTACTCTACTTGTGTTGTTGTAACTGGTCTATGGTGTGTCCAGTCTACTGTACTTGTGTTGTTGTAACTGGTCTATGGTGTGTCCAGTCTACTTATGTTGTTGTAACTGGTCTATGGTGTGTCCAGTCTACTTGTGTTGTTGTAACTGGTCTATGGTGTGTCCAGTCTACTTGTGTTGTTGTAACTGGTCTATGGTGTGTCCAGTCTACTTGTGTTGTTGTAACTGGTCTATGGTGTGTCCAGTCTACTTGTGTTGTTGTAACTGGTCTATGGTGTGTCCAGTCTACTCTACTTAAGTTGTTGTAACTGGTCTATGATGTGTCCAGTCCACTTGTGTTGCTGTAACTGGTCTATGGTGTGTCCAGTCTACTTATGTTGTTGTAACTGGTCTATGGTGTGTCCAGTCTACTCTACTTAAGTTGTTGTAACTGGTCTATGGTGTGTCCAGTCTACTCTACTTGTGTTGTTGTAACTGGTCTATGGTGTGTCCAGTCTACTTGTGTTGTTGTAACTGGTCTATGGTGTGTCCAGTCTACTTGTGTTGTTGTAACTGGTCTATGGTGTGTCCAGTCTACTTGTGTTGTTGTAACTGGTCTATGGTGTGTCCAGTCTACTTGTGTTGTTGTAACTGGTCTATGGTGTGTCCAGTCTACTTGTGTTGTTGTAACTGGTTTATGATGTGTCCAGTCTACTTGTGTTATTGTAACTGGTCTATGGTGTGTCCAGTCTACTTGTGTTGTTGTAACTGGTCTATGGTGTGTCCAGTCTACTTGTGTTGTTGTAACTGGTCTATGGTGTGTCCAGTCTACTTGTGTTGTTGTAACTGGTCTATGGTGTGTCCAGTCTACTTGTGTTGTTTTAACTGGTCTATGGTGTGTCCAGTCTACTTGTGTTGTTGTAACTGGTCTATGGTGTGTCCAGTCTACTTGTGTTGTTGTAACTGGTCTATGGTGTGTCCAGTCTACTCTACTTAAGTTGTTGTAACTGGTCTATGATGTGTCCAGTCCACTTGTGTTGCTGTAACTGGTCTATGGTGTGTCCAGTCTACTTATGTTGTTGTAACTGGTCTATGGTGTGTCCAGTCTACTCTACTTAAGTTGTTGTAACTGGTCTATGGTGTGTCCAGTCTACTCTACTTGTGTTGTTGTAACTGGTCTATGGTGTGTCCAGTCTACTTGTGTTGTTGTAACTGGTCTATGGTGTGTCCAGTCTACTTGTGTTGTTGTAACTGGTCTATGGTGTGTCCAGTCTACTTGTGTTGTTGTAACTGGTCTATGGTGTGACCAGTCTACTTGTGTTATTGTAACTGGCCTATGATGTGTCCAGTCTACTTGTGTTGTTGTAACTGGTCTATGGTGTGTCCAGTCTACTCTACTTAAGTTGTTGTAACTGGTCTATGGTGTGTCCAGTCTACTTGTGTTGTTGTAACTGGTCTATGGTGTGTCCAGTCTACTTGTGTTGTTGTAACTGGTCTATGGTGTGTCCAGTCTACTTGTGTTGTTGTAACTGGTCTATGGTGTGTCCAGTCTACTTGTGTTGTTGTAACTGGTCTATTGTGTGTCCAGTCAACTCTACTTGTGTTGTTGTAACTGGTCTATGGTGTGTCCAGTCTACTTGTGTTGTTGTAACTGGTCTATGGTGTGTCCAGTCTACTTGTGTTGTTGTAACTGGTCTATGGTGTGTCCAGTCTACTTGTGTTGTTGTAACTGGTCTATGGTGTGTCCAGTCTACTTGTGTTGTTGTAACTGGTCTATGGTGTGACCAGTCTACTTGTGTTATTGTAACTGGTCTATGATGTGACCAGTCTACTATACTTGTGTTGTTGTAACTGGTCTATGGTGTGTCCAGTCTACTCTTCTTGTGTTGTTGTAACTGGTCTATGGTGTGTCCAGTCTACTTGTGTTGTTGTAACTGGTCTATGGTGTGTCCAGTCTACTTGTGTTGTTGTAACTGGTCTATGGTGTGTCCAGTCTACTTGTGTTGTTGTAACTGGTCTATGGTGTGTCCAGTCTACTTGTGTTGTTGTAACTGGTCTATGGTGTGTCCAGTCTACTTGTGTTGTTGTAACTGGTTTATGATGTGTCCAGTCTACTTGTGTTGTTGTAACTGGTCTATGGTGTGTCCAGTCTACTTAACTTGTGTTGTTGTAACCGGTCTATGGTGTGTCCAGTCAACTCTACTTGTAATGTTGTAACTGGTCTATGTTGTGTCAAGTCTACTTGTGTTGTTGTAACTGGTCTATAGTGTGTCCAGTCAACTCTACTTGTGTTGTTGTAACTGGTCTATGGTGTGACCAGTCTACTTGTGTTATTGTAACTGGTCTATGGTGTGACCAGTCTACTTGTGTTATTGTAACTGGTCTATGGTGTGACCAGTCTACTTGTGTTATTGTAACTGGTTTATGATGTGTCCAGTCTACTTGTGTTGTTGTAACTGGTCTATGGTGTGTCCAGTCTACGCTACTTGTGTTGTTGTAACTGGTCTATGGTGTGACCAGTCTACTATACTTGTGTTGTTGTAACTGGTCTATGGTGTGTCCAGTCTACTCTTCTTGTGTTGTTGTAACTGGTCTATGGTGTGTCCAGTCTACTTGTGTTGTTGTAACTGGTCTATGGTGTGACCAGTCTACTATACTTGTGTTGTTGTAACTGGTCTATTGTGTGTCCAGTCAACTCTACTTGTGTTATTGTAACTGGTCTATGGTGTGTCCAGTCTACTTGTGTTGTTGTAACTGGTCTATGGTGTGTCCAGTCTACTTGTGTTGTTGTAACTGGTCTATGGTGTGTCCAGTCTACTTGTGTTGTTGTAACTGGTCTATGGTGTGTCCAGTCTACTTGTGTTGTTGTAACTGGTCTATGGTGTGACCAGTCTACTTGTGTTATTGTAACTGGTCTATGGTGTGTCCAGTCTACTTGTGTTGTTGTAACTGGTCTATGGTGTGACCAGTCTACTTGTGTTATTGTAACTGGTCTATGGTGTGTCCAGTCTACTTGTGTTGTTGTAACTGGTCTATGTTGTGTCAAGTCTACTTGTGTTGTTGTAACTGGTCTATAGTGTGTCCAGTCAACTCTACTTGTGTTGTTGTAACTAGTCTATGGTGTGTCAAGTCTACTTGTGTTGTTGTAACTGGTCTATAGTGTGTCCAGTCAACTCTACTTGTGTTGTTGTAACTGGTCTATTGTGTGTCCAGTCTACTTGTGTTGTTGTAACTGGTCTATAATGTGTCCAGTCTACTCTACTTTTGTTGTTGTAACTGGTCTATAGTGTGTCCAGTCTACTTGTGTTGCTGTAACTTGTCTAAGGTGTGTCCAGTCTACAATTATGCTGTACTCTTTGTATCATTACGTAATCTTTGCTGACCATAAACCTAATGCAGACTTTACTTTATAAAATATCTAATGTATAAATTCACTAACTTTAATCTTTATATTTTTTATATTAACATTCAAGACATGGATTTAATCTTATCATAGCCATACCACAGGGGGGGGGGGGGGGGCGTGTATTTAAATGTATTTCCCTGGAAATCACAAGATCGTATCAGTGTTAGTGTGTTGTAGAATGGTTCAGCCTGATGTCATTGTGCTAGAATGTTTCCGCATGATGTCAGAAACACATTGAACCAAGATAACAAGCCATAGAGAAAGGTTTCCTCGTTGATGCAATGTATGGGGACGACACATATGTTGACTAGTTGATGGAATGTATGGGACGACACTAATCTAGACTGGTTGATGCAATGTACAGGAACGACTCAAATCTTGACTGCACATATTGGAATCCAATACACAAGACTTCACTTTTTCTTCAGGTTAAACAGGGTGGTGACTTCACAATAATAAGGTAAGATGTTTAGTTTTAATACATTTAATTTTTTTAAATTTAAAATTAGATATATGTTTAGAAATAATATATTTCAATATAAATTACAATAGTTTATAGAAGACGCATACGTGTATACATTTAAGGTAATTCGTTTATTAAAAACAAGCAATCTCAAATTTCGCTGTCAAGATCAAAAGTGTCTTGACGCAAAGATGATCAATTACAGGGGAGTGATTCTACGACTGATTGTTTTAATTTTTGGCTGTGATTAGTAGCAGGATAATGTAAATCTACAACTGAATGGTTTAACCTTTGACTTTGATCAATTACAGTGGAATGTAGTTCTACAACTAGATATCTTAACCTTTGGCTATAGATAACCCAATAATACTACTGTGAAAGGTTGTCATTATATACGCCTCTATAAAGAATTTTTTTTCCCCCCAGATAGGATCCAAACCACGCTATGTAAAGGCGGGTGATAACAAAGTCTACAAAGTCTTTTTTTTTTTTGAGTCACTGGTTTTCCAGGTTTTTTCAGTGTTTAAATTCTCGTTTTTAGTTTGAATGTTTTCAAACACAGGGTCACAACTGTAATGGAATAATTTTGTATATATATATATATATATATATATATATATATATATATATATATATATACATATATATATATATTGTCAACAAATAAAATAAATAATTACGTTTTCAATATTTTAATTTGAATAATAAAATTGAAAATTTCTGCTTTTAAAAAAATACAATGTCTTTAGGTATAACATTCTTGTAAGAAAGTGATTTAAGTGTTTCTAATTGAACAAAAAATTTGAAGTAAACAATCAGACATTTTTGAAGTATCGATATATTTATCTTCGTATAAGAACTAGTGTTTGTGTTTTTTAATCAAAATTTCGTTTGCTATTGTATAACAGGTAGGTCTATTAATAAACAAGTTGCCAAACTCAGAGAAGTACAAAACCAACAAGTTGCATGAAAAAAAGTCAATTAAAAATATATTTTATTGCAGATGGCAGAATCAATTCACATGGAGCAAGATTTAATCAACAAGCTGGAACAATTAATTCAGATCAATTCAAAGCTACACAATATTTTAAGAAAATTTGAGAAGAAGGTAATTTAAAGCTACACAATATTTTAAGTAAATTTGAGAAGAAGGTAATTTAAATTCAAAGCTACACAATATTTTAATTAAATGTGAGAAGGTAATTTAAATTTAATTAAAGGTACATAATATTTTATGTCTATTTGATAACAAGATTATTTTAATTCATAATTGTATGTGTTTGTAGTAAATATTTTAGACATTATTTTAATTATCTATGTAATCTCTACACGACTGCAAGAAGTTTGAGATTATAAGTTTGTTTAATGCACTCTGAATTAGTGAAATGTTTTATACTAGTCGGTGGTCGGTAGTCTCTGCCGCTCTAATATTTCAGTAACCATAAATACTTTTTCACAAAATTCAATCAATGTATTCATTTTTACAAAATATTTGTTAGGTAATGAACCCCACTACCGACTTGAGACAATGTGAGAAAATTCCAGACACAATTTTCAAATGTTCTGTGCGCTTTTTAAAAGTCAGTGTTTACAAGGATTTTTAAAAAATAAGATAACAGTAGAAATAGTTTTGAAGTTTTTTATTTTATTTTTCAAGGTCAAACACACGATCACGGATTGGAAAACAAATCCTACTGAAGGAAAATTTAATTTCAAAGAGTTGGTTGCTATGGTAACAACATCAAATGCAGCAATGTTGGAACATATAAAAAGGATTTCTGGTGAGTACATGAGGTTTTACAGTAAAGGTGTGGCGTGGTCTGTGGGTAGAGCACTACTTTCTGGCAATAGGGTTTCAGGTTCGGTACCAAGACTACATAGGGTTTAAGGTTCGGTACCAAGACTACATAGGGTTTCAGGTTCGGTACCAAGACTACATAGGGTTTCAGGTTCGGTACCAAGACTACATAGGGTTTCAGGTTCGGTACCAAGACTACATAGGGTTTCAGGTTCGGTACCAAGACTACATAGGGTTTCAGGTTCGGTACCAAGACTACATAGGGTTTCAGGTTCGGTACCAAGGCTACAAAAGAGTTAACATCACCCAACTAGCCACCCCCTCCCCATTATCGGCTCACCCGCCCCTCTGGCGAGATTGTTCATCTGTCTGTCGTCTTTTGGTGGTGAGTATACCTATGTGCTGGCCTGTGCTAGTCTCTATGTGCTAGTCTGTATACCTATGTTCTGCTCCTTATACTAGGTATGTCAAACTGCCGTTAAAAACGCAGTTTTCGCCGCGTCGTCCAAATAAAACCTTGGTACAATTAAAAAGTAGATTTTAAGCCCTCTAATTCTGTGTAATTTTTATAGTTGTTGATATTGAACAATATATCTCATTTACCAATTGAAATCTAAGTCACGTGATCGTACATTTTGTCGCCAGTGTCAATAATATAAGGGTATAGTTTAATTTCAATTTTAACTATGTTATGTTAAGGGGGGGGGGGGGGCGGGGGTGGAAGCGAGATATTTACTGGTTATCTATTTAGCCTACGTTGTTGTATTTAATAAGCAAGTGTATTTGGTGTAGCCCTACCATATTGCAAAAATTGTTGAACCAGCTATGTATAATTACATAATTATAACATAAAGATACATCGACTGAGGCATTCGAAATAAATGTTCTTACTTTTACTACTGGTTCTAGAGACTAATAATTATTTCAACAACAAAAATTTCTTTATGTGCCCCTAGCACTGTTCCAGCCACCATTGGATCGCATATAATTTAGTCACAGACACAAACATTGTTTACCTGTTAAGAGCTATGGTTATCCTTTTTTTCTATGTACACAGATCTAATGTAGGTGACATAATTTATTTTTGTAAAAAAATTTAAAAGACGCATTTTCAACAAATTGTGAACCCCTGCACTCTTCTGATCAAACGTGTGTTTCAAACGTACTTGTTATAGGTATACATGTTACGTTAATTCAAAGAAGCGTTGTTCCCCTACATTTTAATATACTTATCAAGTAGGCCTATGTTCTTTCATCTGACATTCTTTGGTGATGTTTTAAAAAGGTACAACATTTTTGTTTTTTACTTTCAATTTTTAAAAAAAGCGAGAAAAGCCAAATTCAATGCAATTAATTTAAATGATGTACTTATTTTTGAGGTTTGAAAAAAATTGAGTCTGTTTTTTCTGTATGTGTGTTTGTGTTGAGTTCAAAAGATTGTGTTTGTGACATATACTTTTACAGATATAACCTCTCAAACATGGCACTTTTTATGGTTTTGGAAAAAAAAGTTAAATATCCATTTTTTTAATACGTCATAACTTTTTTACTACTTGAGATATATGAATACATTTTTTTGCCCACTATCTTAGAATCTTGAATTCTTGACATAGCAACTTTCAAAAAAGCTCTGGGACTGTTTTAAAAATCAGTTTGACACGTCTACATATATGCTGATCTGTATGTGCTAGTCTGTATACCTATTTGCTGGTATCCATTTACTTTAGAGCACACATCAAGTCTGCTAAGCTCACATATTAAATACAAAACACACAGATTAACCAATGTATGCATATTTAACCCACAGGAATAAAAAAGAAACTCTCTACCAGTTCGAGTAAGAGAAATCCTGCAAAGTCTGTAACAGAAGAAATGGCACCAGAAAGTCAAAGTTTTGATCCAGAACTGATGAAATATGCGTGTACTTCTGAGTCATCTAGGCCTACATATGTTTCTGGTACATTATAGAGAATTATTTGACTAGTAATTTTAGGATTAAAAATATTTCATACGATGTAATCTATTGCCCTGTTTACATATTATTTCTATAGGCCTACAAGATTTATAGTTATTCCTTTTACCTAACTAGATTTTTATTTGAGTAGTGTTTTTAGGACAATAAACTTTTGTCTCTGATATCGCATCAGATGATATTTCAATGTTTTACAATGTATGTTGACATAATTATTATTCTAATTTTTGTCATCGCATTAATAAAAAAAATGTCATTTTTAACTGGCAGATGTTTCCGGGTTGGATGAAGTAGACGGTCTCATCAAAACAGCTCTGTCAACCTTACACGACACGCACCTACAGACAGATGAAGACAAGCCAGAGCTACAACAACGGAGAGACAACAACGTACAGGAACCATGTGACATTGACGTTAAAGTAGAAAAAATTGTTTCAATGGTATGGCATTGGAGCAATTTTGATAGACGATTGTATACAGTGGCGTAGGCGTAGACATAGACCCCTCGGTATATATATATAACAAGTATGAGGGGGGGGGGGTGCAAATCGAAAGTGTTAGGGGGGGGGGTGCAAATCGAAAGTTTGATGGGGGGGAGGTGCAAATCGAAAGTTTGAGGGGGGGGGGGCAAATTGAAAGTTTGAGGGGGGGGGGTGCAAATCGAAAGTTTTGTCCCCGGGTAAAAATTGGAATCCCCCCCTGAGACGATCCTGGCTACGCCAGTGATTGTATACATATAAACAAAGAAAATAAGATGTTATTTAAAAAACAAATGTTACTTAAAGAATCTCAACACTCATTTTATTTATGAAACTAATAATTTAAAACTATATTTTATTAACAAGCTGTTGTTTCCGTAAAATATTTTAAATACATTTTTTTGTTTTCTTTCTTTGATTGCTAGCAAAGCGTAATGTTAAAACTTCTTCAACAAAGATTAGCCCCTATTGAAACGCTGATGCAAAAATTTAATCAGAACTTAACAACCAGGGAACAAAATATAAAAAAGGTAAGTCTTTTGGTAAACGAGACTTATTAAGTTATATTTGTAGATGGTGAATTTAACAATATCTAAAGCGTTACGACAAGTTGGTGAGAGATGTTCTGTTACTTGTAACTTTTGTTTGTCAAAGTTTAAAACCTCATTCAACATTGCTATTGCGAGTCGGGAAAATCATTGAAAATCATTTTTGTCTTTTATATTTTAGCTTGAGGCCGTAGAAAAAGATGTTTTAAAGCTATCCAATGATGTATCTACGATAAGTATGTTTATAAAGTTATACTTGCTTAATTAAATGTGTTTGGTATTTAGCCCAACGTAATCAAAATAAATACTCATATGATCAGACACTTCTGTCGATTTTCAAACTGCACTTCATATTTTGTAGTCATTAAATAATAAATATTAATATATACTTTTCTTTGTTATTGAATTGTTACGCATTTTTGTTAACATTATTAAACAGCACAAGAGATGAAAAGTTACTCTGGTCAGATGTCTACATCACATGATGAAAGGTCAAGGAAACAGGACTTCATTGTAAAGGTAATATCTTTGTGTTCATTTTTACATTAAAATGAGATATCAGCTTACAGTATTTGGTATTTTTTTTCCAAATGGTACAGAGTTAAACAAAATATTATAATCAATCTAGCAGAAGTTAATAAATAAGTTTAACTAAATTAATGATTATAACTTACCCCAATGCTAGTCAGGTACCCACCAGAGCTGAGTGAACTCAGGGACTAATGTATGGACCGAAACAAGAACCTGAGACTTTTATGCTAATGGACTAATTATAAAATAATTACCTGTGTATTTAGAATAAGCTAATTATAAAATAACAACCTGTGTATTTAGAATGAGCTAATTATAAAATAATTACCTGTATATTTAGAATGAGCTAATTTTAAAATAATTACCTGTGTATTCAGAATGAGCTAATTATAGAATAATTACCTGTGTATTTAGAAAGTGCTAATTATAAAATAATTACCTGTTTATTTAGAATGAGCTAATTATAAAATAATTACCTGTGTATTTAGAATGCGCTAATTATAAAATAATTACATGTGTATTTAGAATGAGCTAATTATAAAATAATTACCTGTGTATTTAGAATGAGCTAATTATAAAATAATTACCTGTGTATTTGGAATGAGCTAATTATAAAATAATTACCTGTCTGATTAGAATGAGCTAATTATAAAATAATTACCGGTCTGATTAGACTGAGCTAATTATAAAATAATTACCTGTCTTATTAGAATGAAGCACAAATCAATGGATCTCTGAAGGAGTACTTAAAAAGAATCGGTACGTGAAATCATTCTACATGCTACACATATACAATCTAAGGCGAGGCTGTGTCTCTCCAAACGTAAAGCTTTATGGTTGTATGATGTGTGTTTTGTATGCAGTATGTGTGCGGTGTGTAGTATGTGTGCTGTGTGTAGGAGAGGTGTGGGTGTGAGGGAGGTGTGGGTGTGGGGGAGCAGGAATTTCCCAATAATTTATCAATAGTGTTGGTTAACATTTTATTGAACAACATTGAAAGCAATCTGTAAGCAACCCACAATATCAATTTCTACAGTTAACTAATCATTATAATCCAGTAGTAAACGGTGGCAAAAATCAGAGGCGTAGCGACCCCTCCCCGCGCCCGGGGTCAAACTTTCAATTTGGCACCCCCCCCCCCTCTACCCATATATTTTTTGTCTATAATTAAAAAATGCAGCTAAATTGACCTTTTATTTTTTTTCAACCCATTTTGGCGCCCATAGGGTCGGCGCCTGGGGACGTATGTACCCACCCCCCACCTCGATACGCCTCTGGCAGAAATGTATGTTTATTTTAATTTAACAAAATTTCTTTTCATACACTGGGATAGAGTGTGTGTGTGGTTAGACTTCATTAGGATTAATTAGGAATTTTATGCTATTCCCATCTGTAAAGTCAATTGAGCGGCTATATTTATACACAGAGACCCGTGTACGTCAGCCTTACGTCTGTCAGATTCACCTGAGTAACAACATACCTGTGTGTACCGGGTCAGTGATCTCAACGTTCCACTCAGTTGGTGAGTACTACGGCAGCCAGTTTAACAGGACAACAGGCAAGCTAGTCGCATCAGAAGACGGTTTGTATGTGGTCGATGTCACGCTACACGAGCAGGATGACAAGCTGATTAAGGTGGGCGTGTACAAGGGGGAGGTGGTGTTTAAAGACATCTACGTCAGGTCCGCCAACACATCGGCTTGTGGCTCGACCATGGTGTACATGAGGCAGGGGGAGGAACTCTACTTTAAAGTGAGGAAAGCTGACCCAGGGGCAATGCTACAAGCAGCCAGCAGCTTTACTATTGTCAGATTGTAAAATGTAAAAAAAAAAAAAAAATACATTACAACACTAAAGTAAAAAAAAAAAACAACTACATTTTAATCTAATCCTATATTACAGTTTTTACGGTCAAAGGTACTAACCGAGTAATTGCAACCTTTAAACATTTTTTGTAAGAGTTGTATCCCTTGTACTTAACATTTATTTAAATCTTTAATTGTACATTAAACATTAGACATATAATCTAAGGCAAAGCTGTGTCTCTACAAAAGTTAAGTTTTAAGGTTGTGTGATGTGTGTTTTGTATGTAGTGTGTGGTGTGGGGGAGTTGTGTGTGGGAGGGAACAGAAATGTACCGATAATTTATCATTGTAGGCAATCTGTAAGCAATCCACACATTTTACAGTGAACTAAGCATTATAATATTTTAGTAAACGGTGTCAGACATGTAATTTTATTTTAATTCACAAGATTTCTTTTCGGACCTAATTTTCAGATTCTAAACACTTACTAAGTAAATAAAATCCTTAATTTCATGCAATCCTATATTATCGTTTTTTACGGTCAAAGGTACATAACCGAGTAATTGCAACCTTTAAAAAAATTATTAGGAGTTGTATCCCTTGTCCTTACCATTTATTTGAATGCATTTTTTACCTTCTCCTATACAGAGTACAGAAGTATTCTGTAGCATATTTATTACGTTATGTAATGTTTGATCATCGTTACGTACTTTATTATTGTTTGTATTATAATTATGTCAATTGTAATATCGTAGCTACATCCCTTGTACACTCAGTGTTTACTGTGTACACGCGAGGTAGGTAACTACAGATAGAGCCAGAGACGTGTCGTCTATGCTGTCTAGTATAATTAAGGCCGAGAATTGTGTCTGTTGGAGTAATGTCACATGGTGGCAGAGATTTGAAGACATTACCAGCTACATTACAGTTTACAGATTTTATCTGCTTTCAGTTTGTCAGTATGTACAGTAAGTACACAGGAACTTATGAATCAAAACATTCTATTTAAACACTACACGGAATCATATTTACAGGTTTAAATGAACAGGTTTACATTAATTTTTTTTTTAAATATCAAAATAAGAAAACATACACAAAGTTGTATTGCCTTAAAACCACCATGCTAGTATAGTCTATACATAACGCTGTTTTAGAGATTGTTACATAGATTAAATGTGGCGACGTTTAAACAGAGTTTTGGTCTAGTCTATAATGTGATGTATGCAAGAACCAGAGATTGATGTATAAAACTATTAAGTGATATCTTGGGTCACATACATTTAAAACCTCCCGGAGATGTCAAACATCACATACACATAACTTCAAACACTACATACACATAACATCATACGTTTTATACAAAGTTGGATTGATAAAACATTTAATTCATTTCGGATTGCCAAAACTAGCAGTCTTATAAAACATCTAAAAATCAGTCTATATTCGCATACCTGGCAATGAAACGCATACTGACGTAACTAATACTCTTAAATTAGAATATATAATACACTATGCACATACTTTATCTTTGTACAGCAATAATACACTGAAAGTGCCATCACAACCATTAGTGTTATATAGGTATACAACTGTTATACATGAATATACACGAACGTTTAAGATAAATCACTTGCTTTATTTAAAAAAAGTATTTTAAGAATATATGTATTAATATAGACATATATAGAACATCATCCTATGTGCATTACTATCTATTGAAGATAAGTTGTAAGCAGAAAACAAAGTACTCTTACAGTCTATTGAAGTATGTTGAGATTAGTCAACACATACTTGCTGGTCGAATATATGTTGGAAGACATACATTAAAAACTACTTTGACTGTTTTTTTACACACATATTAGGTTAGTGCCTTGTAGTGACATGTTTTATTGTTTCGAGAACTTGTGTTGTAATGCTGTAAACTAACTGCTGTAATTCTACAAACTAACGATTCTACTGTGCCTCTATAAACTAACGATAGTAAAACTACTGTACTTCTATAAACTAACGATAGTAAAACTACTATGCCTCTATAAACTAACGATAGTAAAACTACTGTACTTCTATAAACTAACGATAGTAAAACTACCATGCCTCTATAAACTAACGTTTGTAAAACTACTGTACTTCTATAAACTAACGATAATAAAACTACTATGTCTCTATAAACTAACGATAGTAAAACTACTGTATCCTATAAACTAACGATTCTACCATGCCTCTATAAACTAACGTTTGTAAAACTACTGTGCCTCTATAAACTAACGATAGTAAAACTACTATGCCTCTATAAACTAACGATAGTAAAACTACTATGCCTCTATAAACTAACGATAGTAAAACTACTGTACTTCTATAAACTAACTATAGTAAAACTACTGTACTTCTATAAACTAACTATAGTAAAACTACTGTACTTCTATAAACTAACGATAGTAAAACTACTATGCCTCTATAAACTAACGATAGTAAAACTACTATGCCTCTATAAACTAACGATAGTAAAACTACTGTACTTCTATAAACTAACTATAGTAAAACTACTATGCCTCTATAAACTAACGATAGTAAAACTACTATGCCTCTATAAACTAACGATAGTAAAACTACTGTACTTCTATAAACTAACTATAGTAAAACTACTGTACTTCTATAAACTAACGATAGTAAAACTACTGTACTTCTATAAACTAACTATAGTAAAACTACTGTACTTCTATAAACTAACGATAGTAAAACTACTGTACTTCTATAAACTAACGATAGTAAAACTACTGTACTTCTATAAACTAACGATAGTAAAACTACTGTGCCTCTATAAACTAACTATAGTAAAACTACTGTACTTCTATAAACTAACTATAGTAAAAGTACTGTACTTCTATAAACTAACTATAGTAAAACTACTGTGCCTCTATAAACTAACTATAGTAAAACTACTGTACTTCTATAAACTAACGATAGTAAAACTACTGTGCCTCTATAAACTAACTATAGTAAAACTACTGTACTTCTATAAACTAACTATAGTAAAACTACTGTGCCTCTATAAACTAACGATAGTAAAACTACTGTACTTCTATAAACTAACGAAAGTAAAACTACTGTATTTCTATAAACTAACGATAGTAAAACTACTGTACTTCTATAAACTAACGATAGTAAAACTACTGTACTTCTATAAACTAACGATAGTAAAACTACTGTATTTCTATAAACTAACGATAGTAAAACTACTGTACTTCTATAAACTAACGATAGTAAAACTACTGTGCCAAGATAGCATGGCGCCATGATCTGCATGATCTACTTGAAAGTAAAGTTCTTGACCTTTCCTCATGTCAACAACCACTGACCCAGCAGCGCTAGTGTCGGCACATGCCAGTTTGATGCTGTTGAACGACCTGCCGCCGATGTACACCCCAACCTCAATCTGTTTGTTGTCAGCTTGATGTAGAGAGACACAGACAATATATAGGCCATCTTGTGGGGATACGAATGTTCCTTTTCTGTGGTTAAAGTTGTAGCCGTTGTACTCAAGAACTTCCTCAAACGTTGAGATGCTCCACAGGAACTTTAGTGGTGTGGGGTCGGCAAGCTGGATGTAACAGGCATATCTGTTATATATTTGTTTCTCTGTGGAGTAGAAAACATTTGAATAATATATCTGTTATATATCTGTGAGTAGAAACCATTTGTATAACATATCTGTTGTATATCTGTCTCTATGTGCGAAGAAACCATTTGTAAGATATATCTGTTCAATTTTCCTGTAATAATTGAATGACCAATACATTTATACTCGGGGCGAATCAGTTACAAAATCCATCCTAATTGTTAAACAGTCTGATATTTTGGAATATGCTTAAATATTTTGATATTTTTTTCGGTTAAACGTTTACATTCTGTGTTAATGAAACTCAACACATGCACCTCAACGAATAAAATGTAAATGAAAACAACTCACCGATTGTATGAACATCCTTCAACAATTTCAGTGTATTATTTTCTATGGTTCCAAGCTAAAATACATCAAATCCAATATACACAAGATATTAATGAAAAAACCAAATTAAATTTGGGCAACATATATTTTTGACTTTTTTTTTTCTTTTAGTGGTGGGGGTGGTACAGTGGTAGAGCTCAATTTAGAATAAAGAGTTATCACTAATTATTTTCTCCATAATTTGACTATCAGTGTGGTGTTAGTGTAAGTAAAAAAAAAAAAAAACTTTCTTATGTTACTCTCCCTTGTTTCCAAGTTCTGACTAAAGATTTGATTCTATTTGTCAAAAACCACCAGTCTCTGTTGCAGTAGTTTGTTCATCAAATTATACTAGAAAAGAGATTTAAAAACAAAATTCCAACTATTATTCATACAGATTATGCAGCGTATGTAAAAATATATCTGTGATATAATCTTATGACTGAAAAAAACCTTGAAATACTAAACAACATGTTAAAGCATTAATTATAAAGGTAGTGTTAATTACTCAAATTAAATGTGGCTATGTATTTGACATAGCTGTTTGTACTAATAATTTTGCAAACATAGGGTTGCCAGGTGTCCAGTTTTGAACTGGACAGTCCAGTATTTGAGCAGACTGTCCAGGATAAAATAAATATAAATACTGGACACAACATTTTTCCATGGGTAATAAGTATATAATAATACTCTGGTACCCCCCTTCTTCTGCTTTGCGGCATACCTGAGAAGGGAAGTATGGAAAGGTGTCCAGTATTTTCGGAAAAGGTATCTGGCAACCCTATGCAAACACCATACCAACGCACCAATACCTTAAAATCAGATTTTACCTTAGCGGTCAAATCCTCACACTTAGTTGTTAAACTAGACTTGTTTTTCTTTAATTTAACTCGTAAAACAGAAACCACATTAGATTGTTTTATAATTTCTTGTGTTATGCTGTCTGTTTTATCCGTGTAATCATACATCTGTTCATTTATTTTGTGCAAATTGCTTTCATATTCTTTTATATCTTGAGACAGTTTCTCTAGTGTTTTGTTGGACTTGGTTTCATTTTCTTTTACAGTTTTAATTTCTGTACTCAGCTCCTTAAGCTTGTAATCTTGTTCAATGATTTGTTTTTCAACGTTCTTCAAATTCTGTTTTTCTTTCCTAATCCAGTTTTCATTTTGTAACTGCATGTCCATTTTCTCTGTTACGGCATTGTCCCTCCATTGTTTTATTTCTGATATGTCTAGATCAGTCTTCTGTTTTTTGTCTTGTAGCGAAGATAGAATTGTCTCTATACGATCTAGCCGACTGAATATTTCTGTAATATATTTCAAATGCATTCATGTCAAATTTTTTAAATGATCAAAATACTATGCTAAAGTGCCAACGGTCTACAAATAAGTTTTAGCTGAACAGGATTTATTCCTGTTTTTATTTTAAACTTTTGATTGACTGGAAATAAAATCGCTCATACCCTCTGAACGGTGAACATGTTGAGAGGATTGATCTGTTGATTCATTCTGGTCATGTTTTTCTGTTGCTGTAGTTTGTGGTGCAGACTGAGATAAAGATGGCGTTCCTTCCTCAATAACTACACGCTCTTTATTTTCGTCTTTTTTTAAAAAAAAGTAAAAATAAAGGTTTTAATTATAATATTTTTAAAATTTTAAATATCAAAACAAGCAAATATGGTTGTAAGTGCTAAAATGTTCTTCTAACATTTTGTTTTTACATTTGGTTGATCGAACTTTAGAAATTGTACATTTGCCTTTGATTCGTTCTTGCTGCAATAATTTTTAAGGGGGAAGGCTCCGGTAAAAAAAACTTTTTTAATACTCGTTAGAAAACAGTTATTTCTTTACAGCTTTATTTAGATACATCCGCATATGCATTTCCACTGAAAAAAAAAATTGAAAAAATCTTGGTAACTATGACAACGGCGGCCATCTTGAAAAATTAACCCCTTCGTAGGTTTTCCACCATTCATAAAATATTACATTTTAAACCCAATAAACAATCAATTCATAATCTTCTTCCATATTTTGGGGTAATCAGCTAAAAATTTTAAGTGCATATCTTCAAACTAATTTTTTATGAACTTTCAAAATTTGTGTCCGTTCAAAACACTAGTTTTAATGCCCCAAAATTCCCCAAAGTTAAGTGTTTTGAACGGACACATATTTTGAAAATTCATAAAAAATTAGTTTGAAGATATGCACTTAAAATTTTTAGCTGATTACCCCAAAATATGGAAGAAGATTATGAATTGATTGTTTATTGGGCTTAAAATGTAATATTTTATGAATGGTGGAAAACCTACGAAGGGGTTAATTTTCCAAGATGGCCGCCGTTGTCATAGTTACCAAGATTTTTCCACCAATTTTTTAAAGTGGAAATGCATATGCGGATGTATCTTAATAAAACTATAAAGAAATAACTGTTTTCTAACGAGTATTAAAAAAGTTTTTTTTTACCGGAGCCTTCCCCCTTAAATTGTAATTGTGTAGGTCATCACTCCGACCACATATCGGACCTTTCGGAATGTGTGTAATGTACGGGTCAGGCCACAGATAAAAAGACCATCAATATACAATCATATAGATGGTTCTGGAATAATTGAAAGAACTTACTGCTAATGCGTGATGATACTTTCAACATGGCCATAATTAAAAGAACTTACTGCTAATGTGTGATGATACTTTCAACATTGCCATAATTGAAAGAACTTACTACTAATGTGTGACGCTACTTTCAACATTGCCATAATTGAAAGAACTTACTGCTAATGCATGACGCTACTTTCAACATTGCCATAATTGAAAGAACTTACTGCTAATTTGTGCTGATACTTTCAACATTGCCATAATTGAAAGAACTTACTACTAATGTGTGATGATACTTTCAACATTGCCATAATTGAAAGAACTTACTGCTAATGTGTGACGCTACTTTCAACATTGCCATAATTGAAAGAACTTACTGCTAATGTGAGTATGATACTTTCAACATTGCCATAATTGAAAGAACTTACTGCTAATGAGTGTATGATACTTTCAACATTGCCATAATTGAAAGAACTTACTGCTAATGTGTGACGATACTTTCAACATTGCCATAATTGAAAGAGCTTACTGCTAATGCATGACGCTACTTTCAACATTGCCATAATTGAAAGAACTTACTGCTAATGTGTGTATGATACTTTCAACATTGCCATAATTGAAAGAACTTACTGCTAATATGGGACGATACTTTCAACATTGCCATAATTGAAAGAACTTACTGCTAATGTGTGACGCTACTTTCAACATTGCCATAATTGAAAGAACTTACTGCTAATGTATGATGATACTTTCAACATTGCCAAAATTGCAGAACTTACTGCTAATGCATGACGCTACTTTCAACATTGCCATAATTGAAAGAACTTACTGCTAATTTGTGCTGATACTTTCAACATTGCCATAATTGAAAGAACTTACTGCTAATGTATGACGATACTTTCAACATTGCCATAATTGAAAGAACTTACTGCTAATGCATGACGCTACTTTCAACATTGCCATAATTGAAAGAACTTACTGCTAATGTGTGTATGATACTTTCAACATTGCCATAATTGAAAGAACTTACTGCTAATATGGGACGATACTTTCAACATTGCCATAATTGAAAGAACTTACTGCTAATGTGTGACGCTACTTTCAACATTGCCATAATTGAAAGAACTTACTGCTAATGTATGATGATACTTTCAACATTGCCAAAATTGCAGAACTTACTATTAATGTGTGACGCTACTTTCAACATTGCCATAATTGAAAGAACTTACTGCTTATGTATGATGATACTTTCAACATTGCCATAATTGAAAGAACTTACTGCTAATATGGGACGATACTTTCAACATTGCCATAATTGAAAGAACTTACTGCTAATGTGTGACGCTACTTTCAACATTGCCAAAATAGAAAGAACTTACTATTAATGTGTGACGCTACTTTCAACATTGCCATAATTGAAAGAACTTACTGCTAATGTATGATGATACTTTCAACATTGCCATAATTGAAAGAACTTACTGCTAATGTATGATGATACTTTCAACATTGCCAAAATTGCAGAACTTACTGCTAATGCATGACGCTACTTTCAACATTGCCATAATTGAAAGAACTTACTGCTAATTTGTGCTGATACTTTCAACATTGCCATAATTGAAAGAACTTACTACTAATTTGTGCTGATACTTTCAACATTGCCATAATTGAAAGAACTTACTACTAATGTGTGATGATACTTTCAACATTGCCATAATTGAAAGAACTTACTGCTAATGTGTGACGATACTTTCAACATTGCCAAAATAGAAAGAACTTACTATTAATGTGTGACGCTACTTTCAACATTGCCATAATTGAAAGAACTTACTGCTAATGTATGATGATACTTTCAACATTGCCAAAATTGCAGAACTTACTGCTAATGTGTGACGCTACTTTCAACATTGCCAAAATTGAAAGAACTTACTGCTAATGTGTGACGCTACTTTCAACATTGCCAAAATTGAAAGAACTTACTGCTAATGAGTGTATGATACTTTCAACATTGCCATAATTGAAAGAACTTACTGCTAATGTGTGACGATACTTTCAACATTGCCATAATTGAAAGAACTTACTGCTAATGCATGACGCTACTTTCAACATTGCCATAATTGAAAGAACTTACTGCTAATGTGTGTATGATACTTTCAACATTGCCATAATTGAAAGAACTTACTGCTAATGAGTGTATGATACTTTCAACATTGCCATAATTGAAAGAACTTACTGCTAATGTATGACGATACTTTCAACATTGCCATAATTGAAAGAACTTACTGCTAATGCATGACGCTACTTTCAACATTGCCATAATTGAAAGAACTTACTGCTAATGTGTGTATGATACTTTCAACATTGCCATAATTGAAAGAACTTACTGCTAATATGGGACGATACTTTCAACATTGCCATAATTGAAAGAACTTACTGCTAATGTGTGACGCTACTTTCAACATTGCCATAATTGAAAGAACTTACTGCTAATGTATGATGATACTTTCAACATTGCCAAAATTGCAGAACTTACTATTAATGTGTGACGCTACTTTCAACATTGCCATAATTGAAAGAACTTACTGCTTATGTATGATGATACTTTCAACATTGCCATAATTGAAAGAACTTACTGCTAATATGGGACGATACTTTCAACATTGCCATAATTGAAAGAACTTACTGCTAATGTGTGACGCTACTTTCAACATTGCCAAAATAGAAAGAACTTACTATTAATGTGTGACGCTACTTTTAACATTGCCATAATTGAAAGAACTTACTGCTAATGTATGATGATACTTTCAACATTGCCAAAATTGCAGAACTTACTGCTAATGTGTGACGCTACTTTCAACATTGCCAAAATTGAAAGAACTTACTGCTAATGTGTGACGCTACTTTCAACATTGCCAAAATTGAAAGAACTTACTGCTAATGAGTGTATAATACTTTCAACATTGCCATAATTGAAAGAACTTACTGCTAATGTGTGACGATACTTTCAACATTGCCATAATTGAAAGAACTTACTGCTAATGCATGACGCTACTTTCAACATTGCCATAATTGAAAGAACTTACTGCTAATGTGTGTATGATACTTTCAACATTGCCATAATTGAAAGAACTTACTGCTAATATGGGACGATACTTTCAACATTGCCAAAATTGCAGAACTTACTGCTAATTTGTGACGCTACTTTCAACATTGCCAAAATAGAAAGAACTTACTATTAATGTGTGACGCTACTTTCAACATTGCCATAATTGAAAGAACTTACTGCTAATGTATGATGATACTTTCAACATTGCCAAAATTGCAGAACTTACTGCTAATGTGTGACGCTACTTTCAACATTGCCAAAATTGAAAGAACTTACTGCTAATGTGTGACGCTACTTTCAACATTGCCAAAATTGAAAGAACTTACTGCTAATGTGTGACGCTACTTTCAACATTGCCATATTTGAAAGAACTTACTGCTAATGAGTGTATGATACTTTCAACATTGCCATAATTGAAAGAACTTACTACTAATGTGTGACGCTACTTTCAACATTGCCATAATTGAAAGAACTTACTGCTAATGTATGATTATACTTTCAACATTGCCAAAATTGCAGAACTTACTGCTAATGTGTGACGCTACTTTTAACATTGCCAAAATAGAATGAACTTACTATTAATGTGTGACGCTACTTTCAACATTGCCATAATTGAAAGAACTTACTGCTAATGTATGATGATACTTTCAACATTGCCAAAATTGCAGAACTTACTGCTAATGTGTGACGCTACTTTCAACATTGCCAAAATTGAAAGAACTTACTGCTAATGTGTGACGCTACTTTCAACATTGCCAAAATTGAAAGAACTTACTACTAATGTGTGACGATGCCTTCAAAATGGCCGTGGTCGCTGCCTCCAGTTCCTGGCATATCTCGCTGTATGTGACTGACAGATGCTCAGTTTTTTCTTCAGTCCAAGACCTACTTTTTTCAACTACCTAATTCATTAAAATAATTATCTTTAATACAAACATAAAATAAATCAGTTTCATCTCACACCATGATTCCCCCCCCCCCCCCCCACCCGCTTATCTGCTACAGGCAACATTACCATTAATATTTTATTCAATGTAAAGAAGATTTAAGTCTAAAGTAGAGAATTAATACAAGATCAATTCTTGCTTACTTTCTTCAACATGCCCACAACAGGTTCCATAACTCGTATCTGCTTCTCCAGATATCGCATGTGTTCTGTAATAAGCTTGACCTCAATTTTCGGACGCATCTAAAAATAAACATAGTTCTAGGATCTACTCTGTGTGATTTGGGTTTATGCAGGCTACTTACTTGCTTCTTTGAAAAACTAAAACGTTTTTGTATAGTTGATGTTGTATAATGTATTGTTTACAAGAAACATGAATGTAAAGAAGCATAGATGTATACACAAATTATTCTCAGTAGTCTAATTTGTGTTTTTAGTGATGTTGTCGACAAAATATTACAGATTAACTTTCCAGGTTACTTCAAATATTTGATACCCAGTCGCGTGAGTACTGGAGCGTAAGGCACTGCTTAAGGTAGAGACTGTTAGAATTAGTGAGTGACACGTAGCTACACGTCATACCATATCAAATATTAAGTTAGTAAATAGCACTAGACTACACGTCATACCATATCAAATATTAAGTTAGTAAATAGCACTAGACTACACGTCATACCATATCAAATATTAAGTTAGTAAATAGCACTAGACTACACGTCATACCATATCAAATATTAAGTTAGTAAATAGCACTAGACTACACGTCATACCATATCAAATATTAAGTTAGTAAATAGCACTAGACTACACGTCATACCATATCAAATATTAAGTTAGTAAATAGCACTAGACTACACGTCATACCATATCAAATATTAAGTTAGTAAATAGCACTAGACTACACGTCATACCATATCAAATATTAAGTTAGTAAATAGCACTAGACTACACGTCATACCATATCAAATATTAAGTTAGTAAATAGCACTAGACTACACGTCATACCATATCAAATATTAAGTTAGTAAATAGCACTAGAGTACATGTCATACCATATCAAATATTAAGTTAGTAAATAGCACTAGACTACACGTCATACCATATCCAATATTAAGTTAGTAAATAGCACTAGACTACATGTCATACCATATCAAATATTAAGTTAGTAAATAGCACTAGACTACATGTCATACCATATCAAATATTAAGTTAGTAAATAGCACTAGACTACACGTCATACCATATCAAATATTAAGTTAGTAAATAGCACTAGACTACACGTCATACCATATCAAATATTAAGTTAGTAAATAGCACTAGACTACACGTCATACCATATCAAATATGGATCGACAGATTTTACAATGTATATAATTTGATAGTGTTTATAATTACCCCTGGTTTGTAAAAATAATAACTGATGCTCGATTGAAAATATCCCTAAGTTAATTTGTTGATGTCCGATGGTTAAAGTTGATTTATTAAGATTTGTTATTGAATGCGATGTGTCGATTTACTTCTATGTGTGTATTTGATGCTGACGGTATTTTGGCCTGATAGCCAAACAGATGTTTTCATTAAATACCTCACAGATTAGATTTCCTTAAGTCATCGGCTTATCTCATTTGTTGCAATACTGAAGGTGATTGTAAACAGCAGTAGCCAACACAAGATTATGCTACTGCTGCTGTTCAGTAGTCGATGGGTAATTTATTATCATCGACCTAGAGCCTTGCGTGAATCAACTGTAATCAAAACATGTCCTAAATCAAATGTAACAAAACACAATCATGGCCTAAATCAACTGTAATCAAAACACATTTATGACTTAAATCAAATGTAACAAAACACAATCATGTCCTAAATCAACTGTAATCAAAACACATTTATGTCTTAAATCAAATGTAACAAAACACAATCATGACCTAAATCAAATGTAAACAAAAACACATTCATGGCCTAAATCAAATGTAAACAAAAAAACATTCATGGCCTAATTCAAATGTAAACAAAACACAATCATGGCCTAATTCAAATGTAAACAAAACACAATCATGGCCTAAATCAAATGTAAACAAAACACATTCATGACGTAAATCAAATGTAAGCAAAACACATTCATGACCTAAATCAAATGTAAACAAAACACATTCATGACGTAAATCAAATGTAAACAAAACACATTCATGACGTAAATCAAATGTAAACAAAACACATTCATGACGTAAATCAAATGTAAACAAAACACATTCATGACGTAAATCAAATGTAAACAAAACACATTCATGACGTAAATCAAATGTAAACAAAACGAATTCAAACAAAATAAGTGTGTGCAGTTTTAATTGAAAAGATATACTGAAAAACAAAGAACTATAGAACGACCATATTTTAAACACATTAGAAACATGTAATGCTAGTTTAAAATAGTACAAAATACAACAACCAGACTATGAAAGGGCGAGTTTTGTTCAAAATATTTTAAAGACATTAATAACCTGTGGGTTTTGGCTTAATATTTAAAGAACTTACAAATATCATCCATTACTAACCAGATAGTTACATAGCTCTAACATGAACAATTTGTTGGATACATTCAGAGAGTAATTTTGGTACGTTCTATTCAATATTTCGTAATTAATTTAAACTATCATATCGCCCTTTAGCTAAAACTTTTACTCATATCTTTATGATCTTGCACTAACGCCCCACAATAAACACCATTTGCAGTATTGTTTGCAGCTTTGTAAAGACTAAATCTTAATGTATCGCAGAAGTAGTATATCAGATGTATTTATTATAAATACAATTTTTACTACAATCAAACCAATGCATTTTTTGATAAGCAAAATTTAAAAAAAAATTACTACAAGCTAAACAATACTTGTCAGGTTTAATTAAAAAGTAATTACAATTGGTTAAAAAAATCCAACATTTACAACTAACACTGGTTTGCACAACAAGGTAATGAGCAAACTATCAGGGATTTAATCTGCAAGGTTTCACTGTATTACAGTATAAGGATATATCATTTCCCATATTTCATGTTACACTCCTATAAAATAGCGACAATGAAACAACGAAGACTAGATAATGTGGGCTTTAATATTCTAACAATAGTTAATAATATTTTGACCTTCTATAAATTAAAACTATAATGAAGATCATGAGAACTGATAATTTGACCATCTATAAACTAACTTGAAATTACTGAGACTTGATAATTTGTATATCTATAAACTAACTATAGTGAAAGTACTGAGACTTGATAATTTGTACATCTATAAACTAACTATAGTGAAAGTACTGAGACTTGATAATTTGTACATCTATAAACTAACTACAGTGAAAGAACTGAGACTTGACAATTTGGCCATCTATAAACTAACTACAGTAAAAGAACTGAGACTTGACAATTTGGCCATCTATAAACTAACTATAGTGAATGAACTGAGACTTGACAATTTGCCCATCTATAAACTAACTATAGTGAATGAACTGAGACTTGACAATTTGGCCATCTATAAACTAACTACAGTAAAAGAACTGAGACTTGACAATTTGGCCATCTATAAACTAACTATAGTGAATAAACTGAGACTTTACAATTTGGCCATCTATAAACTAACTATAGTGAAAGTACTGAGACTTGATAATTCGTACATCTATAAACTAACTATAGTAAAAGAACTGAGACTTGACAATTTGGCGCCTTGGTCCGCGAAGTCTACATGAAGATAAATACTCTGACCTTTCTTGATGTCAACCACAACTGATCCAGAAGCGCTTGTCCCGGCGTATGTCACCTGGACAGTCTGGCTACACTTCTCCCCCACATAAATGCCGACTCGGATCTGTTTATCCGCACACTGCTGTAGGGTCAAACATAGCAGGTACAGGCCGTCTTGGGGCGCGACGAACTTCCCGGTGGTTTGATTAAAGCAGTTACCGTAGTATTCCCGTACCTCGCTGAATGTTGCAATGATTGAGCCCCGACCCACGGGTGCGCTATGTGCCAGCTGGATGTGACACAGGTACCTGTTACACACACGAGACTCTGCAGAGTAGAAGAAATTTTAAGGTGCACCTGTACAGTTTCTCTACAATAGAAGAAATTTTAAGGTGCACCTGTACAGTTTCTCGACAATACACAATTGTTTTTATTTAATCCGATTCGCGCTGATAAAACTCATGGTTGCTAAACCAAAATATCACGAGTTCAAAACCACTGGCAGATGAGGCTCGATACCTAAGAACCGCAACACATCTTAGAAAAAAAAATCAAATAACTGCGGTCTTGTAAGTTGTTCTCGGGCGAACATGGGATAAGAAAGTAAATCAATTTAAAAAAGCAGGCCGAAATCTGAGTCAATGGTCAATATAGCGCTCACCATGTCGACATGTTAATTGAGTTGGAGAAAATTCCATACAACATTACAATTAAGAACGAAAAAAAAAGAATCTGTAAAATAATAGTATTAAAATGTTTAAAAACATTTTTTTCAAGTTATATCTTACATTAATTACACATACATACTTAATTTCTAGACAGGTCTAAAAGATTTGGTGAACAGTTTGATTAATTAATTAATTAATAGTTTAAAATTTTTAAAATACATCTAAAATAAATCTACCATTCTTACCAATAGAATGAACAACTGGTGAAAGCTTTAAAACATCAATGACTTTTTCTTCAAGTTTTAAAATTTCTTTCATTCTCAGTTCAAAATTCATAATATCATTGACTTTCTGTTCAAGTTTCAAATAATCCTTCACTTTCTGTTCAAATTTTAAAACATTATTGACTTTAATTTCCAGCTTCAAAACATCTTGTATTTGTGCTTTAAAGTTCAAAACATCTTGCATTTTTTTATCAATCTGAGGAACAGAAAAAACATACTACATGTCGAATTAAACATTATCGTTGTCTTGTAACTAGTGAAAAACAATTGTAATATTGTTTAAAACAATTAAAAAGTACATTAAAATTACAAATCAAATCTCTGATATTTCTATGGACAATTTGGTTCAACAATCTCTATATATAACTCTCTTCGTCACCCAACCATACGGGACACCACCACCACGCTCGCACGGTGAATCTCTAAACCTTCTCCCACCCCCTCCTTCGCTCTCCACGCATGCGCAATAGATCATATTGCTGTCACGCTCCACACCCACCAGTCTGGTGAGCTGTGGTTCACGCCGAATATTTACAATCGAAGAGCCGGGTTGAAAAAGTGACTGATATTAGGGGGAAATAGTTTAGTTTTAAAATTATTTGAAACTAAGGGACGGTAACAAGTTCTGCTTGATATATTCGTCTGTTACTGTTGTCACGAACGGCTGCTTTCAGGGGGGAGGTGGGGGAGGGGGGGCTTTGAAGTGGATATTGTATCGGCATGTCGTACGCCACGGGTACGCTCGTGTACCCTAATCAATTATCTATTTAATACTGCTAAAACTCAACTTTGTTTACATGAATATTTATTTGTCTGATTGACTATTGTAAATGGTTTTACTCTGTTAATCACAGAGTAAAGACTGTTAATCACACATTTATTTAAAGACGTTAATTAATTTATTGATTTATTCATAGGTAGATTAACCACATTTTTTTAAAAAAGATTAGAAAAACCACTAGACTCGACGGAACTGTGACGTCACATTTTTTTTTACATTTTAGTACAATAAAATGGCGGCGCTATCGAAGAAGATTGTGTTCCACATTCAAAAGTTTAACGCGTTCTAAATCTAATTTTCTGTCGGCCATAACTTTAACAATACGCCCGTTTTGCTGTATTTATTACGTTCCAACACTTAAAATCAATTTTCAACTGTCTTTTTCATTTAGTTTTACGATAAATTTCACTAGATCTACAGATCAGCTGTCGAAGGAAGAACATGTTAATAATGTTATGAAATCTAGATTCTAGATCTAGAAATCTAGCTCTAGGGCACTAGACTTTACGTAAATTCTAGATCTAGACTAAATGCAAATTCTATATCTAGAATCTATTTCAGGCCTTATTTTATATAAATCTTTGTTTAGCTTTAATGACCATCTAATTCGAGAATACATCGGATTTATCTATCTAGGTTATAGAGATAGATATAGTAGGATTACTCGCTTTATTGGGGGCGTGGTCGGTTGCTAACAACAATGGCGTCCGGATCGGACGCATGACTTCCGACTATTTTTAGGCTATGTTTACCACGAGCAAAATGGCGGGTTTTCACGTTATATAAACATGCTAAGCGAGTCGTAGAATCTAGATCTAGATAATTCTATCTAGATCTAGATAATTTTAAACATTCATTATTTTATATAAATCTTTGTTTGGCTAATTTAAGATAAAATTTAATTTGAAAGTTACAAATACTAGACTTAGATCTAGATCTATGCGCGTAAATCAAGTTGCATAAGGAGACTCAAAGTATATCTATAATAATAGTTTCGCTGTCTCTCTATCTATCTATCTGTCTGACAAGAACGCTCTAGAGAAAACACAAGGAAAATAAAAACATGCACAGTAATTCGAAAAACGAAGTATGACGTCGACACATTTAGCGCACAGAGTAGAAAATAATCTCAAACCCAGAGAGTGCTCACAGTTATATGACGTCATTGATTTTCGCGTTAACATTGAATAAAAAGGAAATGTTGTCTAATCTTAATGGTTTGCGTGAAGAGTTTCTTGCATACAATTCTTCGGGTAGGGGCGAAGCCCCACCCCCCGCGTAAGAACGTCTGAGCCCCCCCCCCTCCCCAACTCAAAAGAAATTTCTTCATCGATACTCTATAATAAAATTACCGCCTAATTAATGTGTCTAATCTAAAAAGTGGTTTTCTTGCAATTTCTTTAATGCAATTCTTCGGGTAGTGGCTAAGCGCGACACCAGTGTTTCTTTCAGACTTTTTCCTCCCCGGAGAGGGGTGGGGGTAATTGAAATTTTCGGGGGCGGGGGTAGAATTTTCGGGGTGGGGGACGGACACTGGAAAAAGTATATAATTATATTTCGTTGAATGGGACGGTAGACATGTTTTTTTTGGGAGTGGGGGGTGGGGGGTGGGGGGTGGGGTGGGGGGGGGGGGGTGGGGTGGTTTCCTCATCGATACTCTATAATAAAATTACCGCCTAATTAATGTGTCTAATCTAAAAAGTGGTTTTCTCGCAATTTCTTTAATGCAATTCTTCGGGTAGTGGCTAAGCGCGACACCAGTGTTTCTTTCAGACTTTTTCCTCCCCGGAGAGGGGTGGGGGTAATTGAAATTTTCGGGGGCGGGGGTAGAATTTTCGGGGTGGGGGACGGACACTGGAAAAAGTATATAATTATATTTCGTTGAATGGGACGGTAGACATGTTTTTTTTGGGAGTGGGGGGTGGGGGTGGGGGGTGGGGGGTGGGGGTGGGGGTGGTGTGTGTGTGTGTGGGGGGGGGGGGTGGGGTGGGGTGGTTTCCTCATCGATACTCTATAATAAAATTACCGCCTAACTAATGTGTCTAATCTAAAAAGTGGTTTTCTCGCACTTTCTTTGATGCAATTCTTCGCGTAGTGGCTAAGCGCAACACCAGTGTTTCTTTCAGACTTTTTCCTCCCCGGAGAGGGGTGGGGGTACTTGAAATTTTCGACGGCGGGGGTAGAATTTTCGGGGAGGGGCGGACACTGGAAAAAGTATATAATTATATTTCGTTGAATGGGACGGTAGACATGTTTTTTGGGGGGTGGGGGTGGGGGTGGGTGGGTGGGGCTGGGGTGGGGGTGGGGTGGGTGGGGTGTGTGGGGTGGGTGGGGGTGGGGTTGGGGGTTGGGGGTAGGTGTGTGTGGGGGATGGGTTGGTTTTAGTTTAGAGAAAAGAGACAGCACTATCAACCTAGCGCCCGGTGTATCCTTCCTCAACGGGCCATTTTTCTCGTTAAAGTATAGTATAGTATAAAAATTCATCTGTGACGTCACGAGTAAATAGCTAAGATGTTATTGTAAATGGCTTTCATGCGGGTGGCACAGGTTCTAGACCAATACGTCAATAATAATTTTGTTTTCAATTTTTATTTTATTTTTTAGATGTGAATGATAAAGTTGCCTATCTGAACTTGGCGGGATACAGGGCAGGTGAAGTAGAGTTCATCTGTTTCTTTGTCCTAAGCATATGAAGGGATAGTGTGGTCAGAGACATGCTCGGCTGGAATCGTTTTTTAAACGATAAAAACATGTTGTCTGAGAATTGGCAGGACACTGGGCAGGTGAAGTAGAGTTGAGTAGGTTACCTGTGACGTCAGTATATGAAGAGATAGTCATAAAGATAAAAACATATTTTTGAATGTGGGTTCTGTTTTTTTGTGACGATAAGTGACACTGCAGTAGCGTAGCGAGGGGGGGGGGGGGGACATATGTCCCCGGGTGCCGACCTTATGTTAAAGTTGTCTGTACTTCTGAAACTGATTTATCTTATGTGAGAAAAAATCTCCAACAAATGGTTATTGATATCCATCGCGAAAAGACTACAGTATAAAATAAACCGGGAGTGATCTCCCCTAAACTTTCTCGAATATTCTTAAAATTAAAAAAAATAGGGGATGGGAACTCGGAATATAGACATGAATTTTAATCCATTTTAATATTTTTAAATACTTAAACTTTTTAAAATAGAATAAAATCTCGTAGAAAAAAAGAATTGCGCACAAGTGAACTCCAAATAAAATGTGCATAACAGAACGGAATATTATTAGTACTTTATTAATTTACATTTATTTTTTGAGAAATCGGAAATAGCGTAAATTAGTACTTCCGGTAAACGGAAATTACTCAAAATTTAACAGAAGGTATAAAATTAGATCTTTTACTTACATGTGAAATTTCATTTATCTATCTGAAATAGTACTCAAGTTATAGGTGTTTAAAAAAATTAAAAGTAAAGAAATACCACTTCCGTCTATCGGAAATCGCGCAAAAGTTGATACACATCTAGGATTTTGATGACATACTTATATATGAAATTTCATCAACCTAGCTGTAACGGTACTCAAGTTATCGTGTTTACAGACATAGACACACACACAGAAATACATACAGACATACGGACAAGATTTCAAAATTATGTTTTTCCGTAACAGTGAGGTGTAAATCTGGTAAATTTCAATGAACTATTTATCTTTTAAAAGGGGCATAATTGTTTTACCACCACACACTATATATATATATATATATATATATATATATATATATATATATATATATATATATATATATAATGTATTTATTACCTTTGCAAACATATCCTTAAATTTGCTTGCTGTATTGTCTTGTAAAGTAGAAATAATTGAGCAATGGATCCTAACTTCTTGTGTTATACTGTCTGTTTTATTTGTATGAACTTGCATTTCTTTATTTATTGTGTGTAAGTTGTTTGCATGCTCTATCATATCTAGAGACAGTCTCTCTAGTGTTTTGTTGGACTTGGATTCTTTTTCTTTTAAACTTTCAAATTCTTTGTTCAGCTCCTTTACTTTGTTATCTTGTTCATTTATTTGTTGTCTAAGGCTTCCAATATTTTCTGTCTGTTGACTAAAAAACTTTTCAGCTGTATCATTTTGTTCTGATAGAAAGTTGTCTCTCCATTGTTTTATTTCTGATATATCGTCTTCAGTCTTTTGTTTTGTGTCTTGTAGAGAAGAGAGAGCTGTCTCTATCAGTTCTAGTCGAGACAATATTTCTGGAATAGATTTAACATTTAATACTTTATAATACAAAAATCTAATGAGCTATAAAATACTTTTAGTAAATTAATTTAGTTAAGATTACTTCTTGATTTATCATATTTGATTTCTATTTAAAAAAATGATTATACCTGCTGTATGTTCAACTTGTTTCTTGATTTGATTTTTTAATTCATTGTCGTCACACTTTTTAGTTGCTGTAGTTTGTGGTGTTGACTGTGAAGATGGTCCTGCTTCAACCCCCGTAGCACCTGAATTAAATGTGTTCTTACCTGATTAATAAAAAACACATTGTTAAAAGTTTTAAAAAAAAATTTATCTGTTGCTGCATGTCATTTTCGCCGGCCTGTTTTACAGAATCCGAAATAGATTTTTAAAATAGTGTAAATGTCTCCTATACATAATTAATTAATGTTTACTTATAATGAGTGACGCCACGTCCAACACTGACGTGGTTGCTGACTCAAGTTCCTGGCATAGCTCGCTGTAGATCACAGACTGGTTTTCATTTTCATCCTCTACCCAAGTCCTACTTTTCTCTACAGCCTGATAAAACACCAACATATATTGTGACTGTTGACATTTACACCAACATATATTGTAACAGTTTACACCAACACATATTGTGACAGTTGACATTTACACAAACATATGTTGTGACAGTCGACATCTACAACAACATATATTGAGTCCCAGGCAATTATAAAAGGGGCACCCATCCTCAGATTAAGATTTTCAAAGAGCATTTTTCCCTATCAAAGCCTACGTAGAAAGCCACGGATCTCTCTCATAATTATAGCAAAAAATGATAAATTGTCATTTTTTTACTTTTATAGGACAAACACCTTTATGCAGGCATTTACTGGGTTCGGCGTGGTCGAGTCGGTAAAAGCTCATGGTTGCTAAACGGAAAAGTCTCGAGTTCGAACCCTCGGGCAGATGAGGCTCGTTAGCTGGGGACAGCCACTCTTCTAGGAGAGACAACTCCAAAATTAAACAACGGCTGCATTGTAGTTTGTTCTTGGTTGGACAAAAGCTATGGAAGCAAATCCAAAAAGAAAAGCAGGCTGAAATCGGAGTCAATGGCCTCAATGGCGCATAACCAGTTGACACGTAACGCTTAATTGTGTTGGAGGCGTGGTCGAGTCGGCAAAAAAAAAAAAAGCTCATGGTTGATAAATTCGAACAAAGTCTCGAGTTCAAACCCACTGGCAGATAAATCTCGATCCCCTTCAACACCAATAATTAAGAACGAAGAAGAAGAAGAAGAAGGCATCTATATATATAATTCTCTTCAAGGATCAGTTAGAAAACAAGCTGCAAGCGCGCCTTTGCAGTCCCCTCTCTTCCTCTCTATCACTATCACTACCACCCCACCCCACCCCCACATGATCTGGTGAGCGGTGTTCACTCTGTTTACATTTTACAATCATAGAGACGGGTTTGGTGACGGCTATTAGGGGCAGATAATTTAGTTTGAAACGATTTTAAACTTAGAGGAGGTAACTAAGAGGAGGCTGCTTTCACATGGGGGGGGGGGGGGGTTAGTGTTTTTAAGCAAATATTTTCAATGGCAGCATTGGTACTGTTAAATTCACAAATTATACATTACTGAAAAGTAGAAAAAAAAACAAATAAATAGCGGCGTATGATACGCAGCGGGTCGGCTCGTTTATTAAAATTATCAACCGAAATATAAGGACACGCTGTAATCGTTGTTATAGAATAACCACCGTCCTTAAACTAGGCATGGTTTCGGCTACATGGTCTATAAATGTGTCTGATAAATAGCGAAAAAACAATGTTTTAATGACATCTCACATTTTTCATAACTTCAATAACAGGTTCCATAACTCGTATCTGTTCTTCCAAATATTTCATCAGCTCTGTGAGATGCTTGACTTGATCAGGGGAACTCATCTAGAAATAAACATGCGTTGATTGGTTTAAACAATAAACCTTTTAGCTATGTCAAGGTCTTATGTCTTCTGTCTTCTGTCTCACGTCTCACGTCTAGGTCGTGGTCAAGGTCGTATATCCTATGTCCTATGTCTTATGTCATATGTCTTATGTCTTATGTATGTCTTATGTCTGTCTAGGTCTAGGTCTAGGTTTAGGTCTAGGTCTAGGTCTAGGTCTAGGTCTAGGTCTAGGTCTAGGTCTAGGTCTAGGTCTAGGTCTAGGTCTAGGTCTAGGTCTAGGTCTAGGTCTAGGTCTAGGTCTAGGTCTAGGTCTAAGTCTAGGTCTAGGTCACTTAAATTTTGCACTTATGACTATTTTTACTTACCGTATGTAGGATGGCCATATGTAAGATGACCATAATATGTAGGATTACCGGATGTAGGATGGCCATAATATGTAGAATTACCGGATGTAGGATTACCGGATGTAGGATGACCATATGTAGGATGACCATAATATGTAGGATTACCGGATGTAGGATGACCATAATATGTAGGGTTACCGGATGTAGGATGACCATATGTAGGATGACCATAATATGTAGGATTACCGGATGTAGGATGACCATAATATGTAGGATTACCGGATGTAGGATGACCATAATATGTTAGATTACCGGATGTAAGATTCTCGTATCTAGGATTACCGGATGTAGGATTAACATCATATGTCTGCTTGGTTTAATCATGTGTAGAAGTACCATCTCATGTTTACTAATCTGCTTGCTTTAATCCTTGTTTAATGCAAAATATAACACAATAACACTTAGATGCTGGATTGTTATTTCCTCTAAAGTGTAGGCTACCCGTCACCAATAGCAATTTTTACAGCATTTAAAAAAAAAAATATATCAATAAGTCATACGTAATTTTAAAAGCTAATTATTTAATTGAATGCACTTACTTATTCAATACTCGAGATTGGACCTCAGGAATATGCTTATTTATTCAATTAGCTAGTTCGACTTCAAGAATCTTTAACGTTTTAGATTTAGAATAGTGATGAATCGAAAATCTCAACTACGGAAGTAAACTAGTCGCCATTTTGAATATGTTGTGTCATTAAAATTTTGGATTTAACTTGAAACGAAACTATCGTTTTCATTTTGTTAGCAGAAACTGCTAAAACATTTTGTATAACCACTTTACATCGATTATATCATAAAAAATCGTAGAATAAGGTTTGGGTCAAACAGATGGCTCAAGTAAGGCAAATCTTAATCTACGATTAAGTTTAAAAATAATTTTTTGTCCGCCTATTTTCCATCATTCCACATGTCTTTTATATTACTAGTTTACGTTTAGTTCATTGTTTAGCCATTTAAAAAAAAATATTTTTTAGTAGATTCTACTCACTACCCGAAGATGCGAAACTATGACGAACTAGGGGGGGGGGGGGAACTGGTGATGTAAATCGTGTGTTTAGAGAACACATTTGATTCAGGGAACTTTTGGTACAGTTTTGTAAATTAACAGCTAATGGTGTTCGCGTTAGAGAACATTGGGAAATTCGTCAGATGTTACTTGGGATCGATTTCTTAAATGCGCCCTTAATTTCAAGGGATCCAAAAAGATTAGAGAAAATACACATGTTAACAGATTTGCTTTTAAGTAAATAAGAAACAATTTATATGTGCTGCATGCTTCAAGGTCATTGATTAAATAGATTTATTTAAAAAATAATGTATGAATTATAAATAATATTATTAATAATAATACTATTTTTAAATAACAATTTTATAGATCATATTTTCAATTTTGGCTTTTAATTAGCAAGTTGTCTCCCATAAGATTTTTAATGTCAGATTTATGATAAATTTTAACCGCTTGCTTTTCTTTCTTGAACTCAGTACAGACATAATAATCAAATAGTGGTTGACTTAAATAATCTATTCTTTAAAAAGAAAACAAAAATTACAGAGGAGTGATCTGCCCTAAACTTTGTCGTAGAGATTTCTAGAATAGTAAGAGAAGCCGTTCATAATGCAACTGTTCAATAGCAGGTTTTTTTTAAACGTTCATATATTTAATAGAACTGAATAACGTAGAAGAATTAATTTTGTACGAGGCGAACGCAAACAGTTTGTGAATAATAGAGTGGAAAGTTAGTACTTTAAAAAGAAACAGTGATTACATAAAAAAAAGTTAAATATGACATCTAAGTAAGTCACAATTTAAATCACAGTGCATTGTCATCGAGACTTTACCTATGTGAAAAGTGCGATATATATCGGTCCGCTGGAAGTGTTTGTTTAAGAGAAGTCGGAAATAGCAAAAAGTGCTATTTCCGTTCACGGGAAATCGCTCAAAAGTTGACAGAGCCAATAAAAATAAGACATTCGTACCTATGTATTAACTTTTGCCCACCTAACTGAAACTGGAGGGATTGTGTGTAGATCCACACATATTTCTACGTTAATTTGTTGATGTCCGATGGTTAAGTTGATTTATCCAGATTAGTTAATGAATGCGATGTGTCGATTTAGTTCTATGTGTGTATTTGATGCTGACGGTATTTGGCCTGATAGCCAAACAGATGTTTTCATTAAACACGTCATTGCAAAATAATAGGTCATCGGCTTATCTCATTGGTTGCAAAGCTGACGGTGATTGTATACAGCAGTAGCCAGCACAAGATGAATGCTTCTGCAGTTGTTCAGTGATGGTAATTTATTTTGCCTATCGACCTACAGCCTTGCGAGCATGATTTATTTTTCATAGATCTCACAGAAATGCGGAAAGAAGGGGAGGGGGGAGGGGGGAGATTGGATTCAGCATGTTTTAATGAGTTATTGAAATATTTTATTTTAACAGCATAATGGTTAAATTAGTATTCTCTCACCGTGTTAATGTATTTGAGGAAAACTACATTTTTAAATTATAAAACCTATAGATTTTTAAATTGCGCCATTTGTTAATGTTTTTAAAAACAATGATACTTCCTACAGATTTTCAACAGCACCATCTGTTTGAGTTTATTATACACCATGTGATGTCACTTAAATGTTAAAACAAAACACATTCATGGTCTAAATCAAATGTAAACAAAACACATTAATGGCCTAAATCAACTGTAAAAGAAAACACATTCATGGCCTAAATCAAATATAAACAAAAAACGTTCATGGACTAAATCAACTCTATACAAAACGAATTCAAACAAAATAAGTTTGTAAAGTTTTAATTGAAAAGATTGTACTGAAAAACAAAGATCTGTAGAACTACTATATTTTAAACACATTACAAACATGTAATGCTAGTTTAAAATAGTACAAAATACAACAACCAGACTATGAAAGGGCGAGTTTTGTTCAAAATATTTTAAAGACATTAATAACCTGTGGGGCTTTGGCTTAATATTTAAAGAACTTACAAATATAATCCAATACTAACCAGATAGTTACATAGCTCTAACATGAACAATTTGTTGGATAAATTCAGAGAGTAATTTTGGTACGTTCTATTCAATATTTCGTAATTAATTTAAACTAGTATTCATATCGTTACGATTTTGCACTAATGCCCCACATTAAACACTATTTGCAGTATTGTTTGATGTCGTTTCATTCGACCCGTGTAATGACTAATTCTAAATGTATTGCAGAAAAAGTATATCAGAAGTATTTATTATAAATACTATTTTTACTACAATCAAACCTATATATTATTTGAAATACAAAATTAAAAAAAAATTACTACAAGCTAAACAATACTTGTCAGGTTTAATTAAAAAATAATTACAATTGGTTAAAAAAAAAACATTTACAACTAGCACTGCTTTGCACAACATGGTAACGATCCAATTATCAGGTATTTAATCTACAAGGTTTCACTATATTACAGGTTAAGAATATATCATTCCCCATACTTCGTGTTACGCTCCTAAAAAAAATACCGATTATGAAACAACGAAAACTAGATTAATTGGGCTTTAATATTCTAACAATAGTTCATAATAATTTGGCCTTCTGTAAATTAAAACTATAATGAAAATTGTGAGAACTTATAATTTGGCCATTTATAATCTTCCTATAGTGAAAGTACTGAGACTTGATAATTTGTACAACTATAATCTAACTTGAAATTACCGAGACTTAACAATTTGGCCATCTATAAACTAACTACAGTGAAAGAACTGAGACTTGACAATTTGTACATCTATAAACTAACTACAGTGAAAGAACTGAGACTTGATAATTTGGCGCCTGGGTCCGCGAAGTCTACGTGAAGATAAATACTCTGACCTTTCTTGATGTCAACCACAACTGATCCAGAAGCGCTTGTCCCTGCGTATTTCACCTGGACAGTCTGGCTCCACTTCTCCCCCACATAAATGCCCACTCTTATCTGTTTATCCGCCCACTGCTGTAGGGTCAAACATAGCAGGTACAGGCCGTCTTGGGGCGCGACGAACTTCCCGGTGGTTTGATTAAAGCAGTTACCGAAATATTCCCGTACCTCGCTGAATGTTGCAATGATTGAGCCCCGACCCACGGGTGTGCTGTGTGCCAGCTGGATGTGACACAGGTACCTGTTACACACACGAGACTCTGCAGAGTAGAAGAAATTTTATGGTGCATCTGTACAGTTTCTCTACAATAGAAGAAATTTTATGGTGCATCTGCACAGTTTCTCTAAAATAGAAGACATTTTTTGGTGCATCTGTACAGTTTCTCTACAATAGAAGAAATTTTAAGGTGCACCTGTACAGTTTCTCTACAATAGAAGAAATTTTATGGTGCATCTGTACAGTTTCTCTACAATAGAAGAAATTTTATGGTGCACCCGTACAGTTTCTCTACAATAGAAGAAATTTTAAGGTGCACCTGTACAGTTTCTCGACAATACACAATTGTTTTTATTTAATCCGATTCGCGCTGATAAAACTCATGGTTGCTAAACCAAAATGTCACGAGTTCAAAACCACTGGCAGATGAGGTTCGATACCTAAGAACCGCAACACATCTTAGAAAAAAAAAATCAAATAACTGCTGTCTTGTAAGTTGTTCTCGGGCGAACATGGGATAAGAAAGTAAATCAATTTAAAAAAGCAGGCCGAAATCTGAGTCAATGGTCATATGGCGCACAACATGTCGACATGTTAATTAAGTTGGAGAAAATTCCATACAACATTACAATTAAGAACGAAAAAAAAAGAATCTGTAAAATAATAGTATAAAAATGTTTAAAAAACATTTTTTTCAAGTTATATCTTACATTAATTACACATACATACTTAATTTCTAGACAGGTCTAAAAGATTTGGTGAACAGTTTGATTAATTAATTAATTAATAGTTTAAAATTTTTAAAATACATCTATATACTACTAAAAGTCAAGTTTGTTTACATGTTTGAATATTTTTTTTTTGTTTGTTTGTTAGTTTGCCTGATTGACTATCTCGCATGGTTGCACTCATCGTGGAAAGCTGTAAAATAGTATGTAGGTAGAGAAAAATTTTTGTTTTAAGACAGACTGTTAATCACACATTTATTTAAAGACGTTAATTAATTTATTGATTTATTCATTGTTAAATTAACCGTACTTTTTTAAAAATGTTAATACTTTGAATAAACTTTGTGGGGATAGTGACGTCCCTTGATGTGTTAACTTTTTTGTACAATAAAAATGGCGGACTCCATCATAGACTTTGTGGCCCATTCAAAAGTTTAACGCGTTACAAAGCTAATTTTCTGCCGGCTATAACTTAAACAATACGTCCGTTTGCTGTATTTATTACGTTCCAACACTTATATCAATTTTCAACTGTCTTTTTCATTTAGTTTTACGATAAATTTCTCTAGATCTAAAGATCAGCTATCGAAGGAAAGTTATGAATCTAGCCTAGAAAATCTAGATCTAGATCTAGCCTAGATGTAGGTCACTAGACTCAATGTAAATTCTACATCTAGAATCTATTTCAGGCCTTAATTATTTTATATAAATCTTTGTTTGGCTAATTTAAGATAAAATTTAATTTTAAAGTTAGTACTACTAGACTTAGATCTAGATCTAGAATCTATCCGCGTAAATCAAGTTGCATAAGGAGACGCATAGTATAGTATAAAAATTCACTTGTGACGTCACAAGGTGGATGGGGGAAGGGGGGGGGGGGCGGGGGGGGTCATATGTTGGGGCGCCAAAATGGTTTGGAAAAATAAATTGAAAGGTTGAGGGGGGTTCAAATCGAAAGTTTGAGTGGGGGTGGGGGTGTGCACATCAAAAGTTTGAGGGGGGGGGGTCAAATCGAAATCTTGCGGGGGGGGGGGGGGGGGTTCAAATCGAAAACTTTGTCCCCGGGCGCCGGGAAGGGTCGCTATGCCTCTGAGTGACAGACGTGATGTTTTTTGATGGATGACCCCCGAAACCCACAGTTATCCAACGGATGACGGGTATTCTAGTCTAAAATAAATCTACCATTCTTACCAATAGAATGAACAACTGGTGAAAGCTTTAAAACATCAATGACTTTTTCTTCAAGTTTTAAAATTTCTTCATTCTCAGTTCAAAATTCATAATATCATTGACTTTCTGTTCAAGTTTCAAATAATCCTTCACTTTCTGTTCAAATTTTAAAACATTATTGACTTTAATTTCCAGCTTCAAAACATCTTGTATTTGTGCTTTAAAGTTCAAAACATCTTGCATTTGTGCTTGAAAGTTCAAAACATCTTGCATTTTTTTATCAATCTGAGGAACAGAAAAAACATACTACATGTCGAATTAAACATTATCGTTGTCTTGTAACTAGTGAAAAACAATTGTAATATTGTTTAAAACAATTAAAACGTACATTCAAATTACAAATCAAATCTCTGATATGTATTTACACTTAAAACTATTCCCAAGATATTTCTATGGACAATTTGGTTCAACAACCTCTATAAATAACTCTCTTCTTCACCCAACCATACGGGACACCACCACCACGCTCGCACGGTGAATCTCTAAACCTTCTCCCGCCCCCTCCTTCGCTCTCCACGCATGCGCAATAGATCATATTGCTGTCACGCTCCACACCCACCAGTCTGGTGAGCTGTGGTTCACGCCGAATATTTACAATCGAAGAGCCGGGTTGAAAAAGTGACTGCTAATAGGGGGAAATAGTTTAGTTTTAAAATTATTTGAAACTAAGGGACGGTAACAAGTTCTGCTTGATATTTTCGTCTGTTACTGTTGTCACGAACGGCTGCTTTCAGGGGGGAGGTGGGGGGAGGGGGGGGGCTTTGAAGTGGATATTGTATCGGCATGTCGTACGCCACGGGTACGCTCGTGTACCCTAATCAGTTATCTATCTAATACTGCTAAAACTCAACTTTGTTTACATGAATATTTATTTGTCTGATTGACTATTGTAAATGGTTTTACTCTATCTGGAGAGCTGTAAAATAGTATGTAGGTAGAGAATAATTTTTTATTGCAGACAGACTGTTAATCACAATTTATTTAAAGACGTTAATTAATTTATTGATTTATTCATAGGTAGATTAACCACATTTTTTTTAAAAAGATTAGAAAAATCACTAGACTCGACGGAACTGTGACGTCACATTTTTTTTTTTTACATTTTAGTACAATAAAATGGCGGTGCTATCGAAGAAGATTGTGTTCCCATTCAAAAGTTTAACGCGTTCTAAATCTAATTTTCTGTCGGCCATAACTTTAACAATACGCCCGTTTGCTGTATTTATTACGTTCCAACACTTAAAATCAATTTTCAACTGTCTTTTTCATTTAGTTTTACGATAAATTTCTCTAGATCTACAGATCAGCTGTCGAAGGAAGAACATGTTAATAATGTTATGAAATCTAGATTCTAGATCTAGAAATCTAGCTCTAGGACACTAGACTTTACGTAAATTCTAGATCTAGACTAAATGCAAATTCTATATCTAGAATCTATTTCAGGCCTTATTTTATATAAATCTTTGTTTAGCTTTAATGACCATCTAATTCGAGAATACATCGGATTTATCTATCTAGGTTATAGAGATAGATATAGTAGGATTACTCGCTTTATTGGAGGCGTGGTCGGTTGCTAACAACAATAGCGTCCGGACCGGACGCATGACTTCCGACTATTTTTAGGCTATGTTTACCACGAGCAAAATGGCGGGTTTTCACGTTATATAAACATGCTAAGCGAGTCGTAGAATCTAGATCTAGATAATTCTATCTAGATCTAGATAATTTTAAACATTCATTATTTTATATAAATCTTTGTTTGGCTAATTTAAGATAAAATTTAATTTGAAAGTTACAAATACTAGACTTAGATCTAGATCTATGCGCGTAAATCAAGTTGCATAAGGAGACTCAAAGTATTAAAGTATAGTATAGTATAAAAATTCATCTGTGACGTCACGAGTAAATAGCTAAGATGTTATTGTAAATGGCTTTCATGCGGGTGGCACAGGTTCTAGACCAATACGTCAATAATAATTGTGTTTTCAATTTTTATTTTATTTTTTAGATGTGAATGATAAAGTTGCCTATCTGAACTTGGCGGGATACAGGGCAGGTGAAGTAGAGTTCATCTGTTTCTTTGTGCTAAGCATATGAAGGGATAGTGTGGTCAGAGACATGCTCGGCTGGAATCGTTTTTTAAACGATAAAAACATGTTGTCTGAGACTTGGCAGGACACTGGGCAGGTGAAGTAGAGTTGAGTAGGTCACCTGTGACGTCAGTATATGAAGAGATAGTCCTAAATCGGTGTTTTCTGTGTTTTTAAAAGATAAAAACATAATTTTGAATGTGGGTTCTGTTTTTTTGTGACGATAAGTAACACTGCAGTAGCGTAGCGAGGGGGGACGGGACATATGTCCCCGGGTGCCGACCTTATGTTAAAGTTGTCTGTACTTCTGAAACTGATTTATCTTATGTGAGAAAAAATCTCCAACAAATGGTTATTGATATCCATCGCGAAAGGACTACAGTATGAAATAAACCGGGAGTGATCTCCCCTAAACTTTCTCGAATATTCTTAAATAAAAAAAAAATAGGGGATGGGAACTCGGAATATAGACATGAATTTTAATCCATTTTAATATTTTTAAATACTTAAACTTTTTAAAATAGAATAAAATCTCGTAGAAAAAAGAATTGCGCACAAGTGAACTCCAAATAAAATGTGCATAACAGAACGGAATATTATTAGTACTTTATAAATTTACATTTATTTTTTGAGAAATCGGAAATAGCGTAAATTAGTACTTCCGGTAAACGGATAGTACTCAAAATTTAACAGAAGGTATAGAATTAGATCTTTTATTTACATGTGAAATTTCATTTATCTATCTGAAATAGTACTCAAGTTATAGGTGTTTGAAAAATTCAAAGTAAAGAAGTACCACTTCCGTCTATCGAAAATCGCGCAAAAGTTGATACGCATCTAGGATTTTGATGACATAATTATATATGAAATTTTATCAACCTAGCTGTAACGGTACTCAAGTTATCGTGTTTACAGACATAGACACACACACAGAAATACATACAGACATACGGACAAGATTTCAAAATTATGTTTTTCCGTAACAGTGAGGTGTAAAACGTCAAGTTTGTTTGCACGATTACAAGACTTTCTCTATACTTCGTATATACGATAAATTAAAAACACACAATATAAATTTTTGGTGTTAAATCTGGTAAATTTCAATAAACTATTTATCTTTTAAAAGGGGCATAATTGTTTTACCACCACACACTTTATATATATATATATATATATATATATATATATATATATATATATATATATATATATATATATATATATATATATATATATATATATATATATATATATATATATATATATATATATATATATATATATATATATATATATATATATATAATGTATTTATTACCTTTGCAAACATATCCTTAAATTTGCTTGCTGTATTGTCTTGTAAAGTAGAAATAATTGAGCAATGGATCCTAACTTCTTGTGTTATACTGTCTGTTTTATTTGTATGAACTTGCATTTCTTTATTTATTGTGTGTAAGTTGTTTGCATGCTCTATCATATCTAGAGCCAGTTTCTCTAGTGTTTTGTTGGACTTGGATTCTTTTTCTTTTAAGCTCTCTAATTCTTTGTTCAGCTCCTTTACTTTGTTATCTTGTTCTTTTATTTGTTGTCTAAGGCTTCCAATATTTTCTGTCTGTTGTCTAAAAAACTTTTCAGCTGTATCATTTTGTTCTGATAGAAAGTTGTCTCTCCATTGTTTTATTTCTGATATATCGTCTTCAGTCTTTTGTTTTGTGTCTTGTAGAGAAGAGAGAGCTGTCTCTATCAGTTCTAGTCGAGACAATATTTCTGGAATAGATTTAACATTTAATACTTTATAATACAAAAATCTAATGAGCTATAAAATACTTTTAATAAATTTAGTTAAGATTACTTCTTGATTTATCATATTTGATTTCTATTTAAAAAAATGATTATACCTGCTGTATGTTGAACTTGTTTCTTGATTTGATTTTTTAATTCATTGTCGTCACACTTTTTAGTTGCTGTAGTTTGTGGTGTTGACTGTGAAGATGGTCCTGCTTCAACCCCCGTAGCACCTGAATTACATGTGTTCTTACCTGATTAATAAAAAACACATTGTTAAAAGTTTTAAAAAAAAAATTATCTGTTGCTGCATGTCATTTTCTCAGGCCTGTTTTACAGAATCCGAAATAGATTTTTAAAATAGTGTAAATGTCTCCTATACATAATTAATTAATGTTTACTTATAATGTGTGACGCCACGTCCAACATTGCCGTGGTCGCTGACTCAAGTTCCCGGTACAGCTCGGCGTAGGTGACAGACGGGTTGTCCTTTTCATCATCTACCCAAGTCCTACTTTTCTCTACAGCCTGATAAAACACCAACATTTGTTGTGACAGTTGACATTTACACAAACATATGTTGTGACAGTCGACATCTACAACAACATATATAGAGTCCCAGGCAATTATAAACGGGGCACCCATCCTCAGATTAAGATTTTCAAAGAGCATTTTTCCCTATCAAAGCCTACGTAGAAAGCCACGGATCTCTCTCATAATTATAGCAAAAAATGCTGGGGACAGCCACTCTTCTAGGAGAGACAACTCCAAAATTAAACAACTGCTGCATTGTAGTTTGTTCTTGGTTGGACAAAAGCTATGGAAGCAAATCCAAAAAGAAAAGCAGGCTGAAATCGGAGTCAATGGCCTCAATGGCGCATAACCAGTTGACACGTAACGCTTAATTGTGTTCGAGGCGTGGTCGAGTCGGCAAAAAAAAAAAAAAAAGCTCATGGTTGATAAATTCCAACAAAGTCTCGAGTTCAAACCCACTGGCAGATAAATCTCGATCCCCTTCAACACCAATAATTAAGAACGAAGAAGAAGAAGAAGAAGGCATCTATATATATAATTCTCTTCTGGGATCAGTTAGAAAACAAGCTGCAAGCGCGCCTTTGCATTCCCCTCTCTTCCTCTCTATCACTATCACTATCACTACCACCCCCACCCCACCCCCACATGATCTGGTGAGCGGTGTTCACTCTGTTTACATTTTACAATCATAGAGACGGGTTTTTTGACGGCTATTAGGGGAAGATAATTTAGTTTGAAACGATTTTAAACTTAGAGGAGGTAACTAAGAGGAGGCTGCTTTCACATGGGGGGGGGGGGGGGGGGTTAGTGTTTTTAAGCAAATATTTTCAATGGCAGCATTGGTACTGTTAAATTCACAAATTATACATTACTGAAAAGTAGAAAAAAAAACTAAATAGCGGCGTATGATACGCAGCGGGTCGGCTCGTTTATTAAAATTATCAACCGAAATATAAGGACACGCTGTAATCATTGTTATAGAATAACCACCGTCCTTAAACTAGGCATGGTTTCGGCTACATGGTCTATAAATGTGTATGATAAATAGCGAAAAAACAATGTTTTAATGCCATCTTACATTTTTCATAACTTCAATAACAGGTTCCATAACTCGTATCTGTTCTTCCAAATATTTCATCAGCTCTATGAGATGCTTGACTTGATCAGGGGAACTCATCTAGAAATAAATATGCGTTGATTGGTTTAAACAATGAACCTTTTAGCTATGTCAAGGTCTTATGTCTTCTGTCTTCTGTCTTCTGTCTCACGTCTCACATCTCACGTCTCACGTCTAGGTCGTGGTCAAGGTCGTATGTCCTTTGTCCTATGTCATATGTCTTATGTCATATGTCTTATGTATGTCTTATGTCTGTCTAGGTCTAGGTTTAGGTCTAGGTTTAGGTCTAGGTTTAGGTCTAGGTCTAGGTCTAGGTCTAGGTCTAGGTCTAGGTCTAGGTCTAGGTCTAGGTCTAGGTCTAGGTCTAGGTCTAGGTCTAGGTCTAGGTCTAGGTCTAGGTCTAGGTCTAGGTCTAGGTCTAGGTCTAGGTCTAGGTCTAGGTCTAGGTCTAGGTCTAGGTCTAGGTCTAGGTCTAGGTCTAGGTCTAGGTCTAAGTCTAGGTCTAGGTCACTTAAATTTCGCACTTATGACTATTTTTACTTACCGTATGAAGGATGGCCATATGTAAGATGACCATAATATGTAGGATTACCGGATGTAGGATGGCCATAATATGTAGAATAACCGGATGTAGGATTACAGGATGTAGGATGACCATATGTAGGATGACCATAATATGTAAGATTACTGGATGTAGGATGACCATAATATGTAGGGTTACCGGATGTAGGATGACCATATGTAGGATGACCATAATATGTAGGATTACCGGATGTAGTATGACCATAATATGTAGGATTACCGGATGTAGTATGACCATAATATGTTAGATTACCGGATGTAAGATTCTCGTATGTAGGATTACCGGATGTTGGATTAACATGTTATATCCGCTTGGTTTAATCATGTGTAGAAGTACCATCTCATGTTTACTAATCTGCTTGCTTTAATCCTTGTTTAATGCAAAATATAACACAATAACACTTAGATGCTGGATTTTTATTTCCTCTAAAGTGTAGGCTACCCGTCACCAATAGCAATTTTGACAGCATTTAAAAAAAAATTATATCAATAAGTCATACGTAATTTTACAAAGCTAATTATTTAATTGAATGCACTTACTTATTCAATACTCGAGATTGGACCTCAGGAATATGCTTATTTATTCAATTAGCTAGTTCGACTTCAAGAATCTTTAACGTTTTAGATTTAGAATAGTGATGAATCGAAAATCTCAACTACGGAAGTAAACTAGTCGCCATTTTGAATATGTTGTGTCATTAAAAGTTTGGATTTAACTTGAAACGAAACTATCGTTTTCATTTTGGTAGCAGAAACTGCTAAAACATTTTGTATAACCACTTTACATCGATTATATCATAAAAAATCGTAGAATAAGGTTTGGATCAAACAGATGGCTCAAGTAAGGCAAATCTTAATCTACGATTAAGTTTAAAAATAATTTTTTGTCCGCCTATTTTCCATCATTCCACATGTCTTTTATATTACTAGTTTACGTTTAGTTCATTGTTTAGCCATTTAAAAAAAAATATTTTTAGTAGATTCTACTCACTACCCGAAGATGCGAAACTATGACGAACTAGGGGGGGGAACTGGTGATGTAAATCGTGTGTTTAGAGAACACATTTGATTCAGGGAACTTTTGGTACAGTTTTGTAAATTAACAGCTAATGGTGTTCGCGTTAGAGAACATTGGGAAATTCGTCAGATGTTACTTGGGATCGATTTCTTAAATGCGCCCTTAATTTCAAGGGATACAAAAAGATTAGGGAAAAATACACATGTTAACAGATTTGCATTTAAGTAAATAAGAAACAATTTATATGTGCTGAATGCTTCAAGGTCATTGATTAAATAGATTTATTTAAAAAAATAATGTATGGATTATAAATAATATTATTAATAATAATACTATTTTTAAATAACAATTTTATAGATCATATTTTCAATTTTGGCTTTTAATTAGCAAGTTGTCTCCCATAATATTTTTAATGTCAGATTTATGATAATTTTAACTGCTTGCTTTTCTTTCTTGAACTCAGTACAGACATAATAATCAAATAGTGGTTGACTTAAATAATCTATTCTTTAAAAAGAAAACAAAAATTACAGAGGAGTGATCTGCCCTAAACTTTGTCGTAGAGATTTCTAGAATAGTAAGAGAAGCCGTTCATAATGCAACTGTTCAATAGCAGGTTTTTTTTTAAACGTTAATATATTTAATAGAACTGAATAACGTAGAAGAAATAATTTCGCACGAGGCGAACGCAAACAGTTTGTGAATAATAGAGTGGAAAGTTAGTACTTTAAAAAGAACCAGTGATTACATTTAAAAAAGTTAAATATAACATCTAATTAAGTCACAGAGAATTAAGTCTTCAGAGAAGTCGGAAATAGCAAAAAGTGCTATTTCCGGTCACGGGAAATCGCTCAAAAGTTGACAGAGCCAAGAAAATAAGACATTCGTACCTATGTATTAACTTTTGCCCACCTAACTGAAACTGGAGGGAATGTGTGTAGATCCACACATATTTCTATTGTTGATGTCCAATGGTTAAGTTGATTTATCCAGATTAGTTATTGAATGTGGTGTGTCGATTTATTTCTATGTGTGTATTTGATGCTGACGGTATTTGGCCAAACAGATGTTTTCATTAAATACGTCACAGATTACATTTCGTTAGGTCATCGGCTTATCTCATTTATTGAAATACTGACGGTGATTGTAAACAGCAGTAGCCAGCACAAGATGTATGCTACTGCAGTTGTTCAGTGATGTCTGGGTAATTTATTGTGCCAATCGACCTACAGCTTTGCGTGCATGATTTATTTTTCGTAGATCTCAGAGAAATGCGGAAAGGAGGGGAAAGAGGGGGGGGGGGGGGGATTGGAGGCAGCATATTTTTATGAGTTATTGAAATATTTTATTTGAACAGCATAATGGTTAAATTAGTATTCTTTCACCGTGTTAATGTTTTTGAAGAAAACTAAATTTTTTAATTATAATACCTATAGATTTTTTATTGCGCCATTTGTTAATGTTTTTTAAAGAACATTTTAAAAAAAGAAACTTCCTACAAATTTTCAACAGCGCCATCTGTTTGAGTTTATTATACACCATGTGATGTCACTTAAATGTTAAACAAAACACATTCGTGGCCTAAATCAAATGTAAACAAAACAGATTCATGGCCTAAATCAACTGTAAACAAAACACATTCATGGCCTAAATCAAATGTAAACAAAACACAATCATGGCCTAAATCAAATGTAAACAAAACACAATCATGGCCTAAATCAAATGTAAACAAAACACAATCATGGCCTAAATAAAATGCAAACAAAACACATTCATGGCCTAAATAAAATGTAAAACGAAACAGATTCGTGGCCTAAATCAGATGTAAAACAAAACAGATTCATGGCTTAAATCAAATATAAACAAAACACATTCATGACGTAAATCAAATGTAAAACAAAACACAATCATGGCCTAAATCAAATGTAAACAAAACACAATCATGGCCTAAATAAAATGCAAACAAAACACATTCATGGCCTAAATAAAATGTAAAACGAAACAGATTCGTGGCCTAAATCAGATGTAAAACAAAACAGATTCATGGCTTAAATCAAATGTAAACAAAACACATTCATGACGTAAATCAAATGTAAACAAAACGAATTCAAACAAAATAAGTTTGTGCAGTTTTAATTGAAAAGATATACTGAACAACAAAGAACTGTAGAACGACTATATTTTAAACACGTTAGAAACGTAATGCTAGTTTTAAAATGTTACAAAATACAACAACCAGACTATGAATGGGTGAGTTTTGTTCAATATATTTTAAAGACATCAATACCATGTGGGTTTTGGCTATTTAAAGAGCTCACAAATATCATTCAATACTAACCAGATAGTTACATAACTCTAACATGAATAGTTTGTTGAAAAAATTCAGAGTAATTTTGGTACGTTTTATTCAATATTTCGTAATTAATTTAAACTATCATATGGCCCTTTAGCTAAAACTTTTACTCATATCTTTATGATCTTGCACTAACGCCCCACAATAAACACCATTTGCAGTATTGTTTCCAGTATTGTAATAACTAAATCTTAATGTATCGCAGAAGTAGTATATCAGTTGTATTTATTATAAATACAATTTTTACTACAATCAAACCAATGCATTTTTTGAAAAGCAAAAAAAAAAAAATTAAAAAAATACTACAAGCTAAAAATACTTGTCAGGTTTAATTGAAAAATAATTACAATTGGTTAAAAAAAATCCAACATTTACAACTAACACTGGTTTGCGCATCAAAGTAATGAGCAAATTATCATGTATTTAATCTGCAAGGTTTCACTGTACTACAGTTTAAGAATATACCATTTCCAATATTTCGTGTTACACCCCTATAAAATAGCGATCATGAAACAACGAAGACTAGATAATTTGTTCTTCAATATTCCAAAAATAGCTCATAATAATTTGGCGTTCTATAAATTAAAACTATAATGAAGATCGTGAGAACTGATAATTTGTACATCTATAAACTAACTATAATGAAAGAACTGAGACTTGATAATTTGTACATCTATAAACTAACTATAGTGAAAGTACTGAGACTTGATAATTTGTACAACTATAAACTGACTTGAAAGTACTGAGACTTGATAATTTGTACATCTATAAACTAACTATAGTGAAAGTATTGAGGCTTGATAATTTGTACATCTATAAACTAACTATAGTGAAAGTACTGAGACTTGATAATTTGTACATCTATAAGCTAACTTGAAATTACTGAGACTTGATAATTTGTACATCTATAAACTAACTAAAGTGAAAGAACTGAGACTTGATAATTCGGCCATCTATAAACTAACTATTGTGAAAGAACTGAGACTTGACAATTTGGCGCCTGGGTCCGCGAAGTCTACGTGAAGATAAATACTCTGACCTTTCTTGATGACAACCACAACTGATCCAGAAGCGCTTGTCCCTGCGTATTTCACCTGGACAGTCTGGCTCCACTTCTCCCCCACATAAATGCCCACTCTTATCTGTTTATCCGCCCACTGCTGTAGGGTCAAACATAGCAGGTACAGTCCGTCTTGGGGCGCGACGAACTTCCCGGTGGTTTGATTAAAGCAGTTACCGTAGTATTCCCGTACCTCGCTGAATGTTGCAATGATTGAGCCCCGACCCACGGGTGTGCTATGTGCCAGCTGGATGTGACACAGGTACCTGTTACACACACGAGACTCTGCAGAGTAGAAGAAATTTTATGGTGCACCTGTACAGTTTCTCTACAATAGAAGAAATTTTAAGGTGCATCTGTACAGTTTCTCTACAATAGAAGAAATTTTATGGTGCATCTGTACAGTTTCTCTACAATAGAAGAAATTTTATGGTGCACCTGCACAGTTTCTCTACAATAGAAGAAATTTTATGGTGCATCTGTACAGTTTCTCTACAATAGAAGAAATTTTATGGTGCATCTGTACAGTTTCTCTACAATAGAAGAAATTTTATGGTGCATCTGTACAGTTTCTCTACAAAACACTATTATTTTTATTTAATAAATATACGATTCGCGCCGATAAAGCTCATGGTTGCTAAACCAAAATGTCACGAGTTCAAACCCACTGGCAGATGAGATTCGATACGTAGTGACCGCAACACATCTTGGAGAAAAAAAATCAAACAACTGCTGTCTTGTAAGTTGTTCTCGGGCGGAAATAGGATAAGAAAGTAAATCAATTTTAAAAAGCAGGCCGAAATCGGAGTCAACGGTGATATGGCGCACAACATGTCGACATGTTAATTAAGTTGGAGAAAATGCTATACAATATTACAATTAAGAACGAAAAAAAAGAATCTGTAAAATAATAGTATTAAAATTTTAAAAAAAATATTTTTTTCAAGTTATATCCTACATTAATTACACATACATGCTTAATATCTAGACATATCTAAAAGATTTGTTGAACAGTTTGAGTAATTAATTAATTAATAGTTTAAAATATTTAAAATACATCTAAAATAAATCTAACAATCTTACCAATAGCATGAACGACTGGTGAAAGCTTTAAGACATCAACGACTTTCTCTTCAAGTTTCAAAATGTCCATGAATTTCTCTTCCAGTTTCAAAATATGTTTGACTTTCTCTTCAAGTTTCAAAATGTCCATGATTTTCTCTTCAAGTTTCAAAATGTCCATGATTTTCTCTTCAAGTTTCAAAATGTCCATGATTTTCTCTTCAAGTTTCAAAATGTCCATGATTTTCTCTTCAAGTTTCAAAATGTCCATGATTTTCTCTTCAAGTTTCAAAATGTCCATGATTTTCTCTTCAAGTTTCAAAATTTCATTCATTTTCAGTTCAAAATTCATAATATCGTGGACTTTCTGTTCAAGTTTCAAAAGATCCTTCACTTTCTGTTCAAATTTCAAAACATTGTTGACTTTAATTTCCAGCTTCAAAACATCTTGTATTTGTGCTTCAAAATTCAAAACATCTTGCATTTTTTTATCAATCTGAGGAACAGAAGAAACATATTACATGTCGAATTAAACATTATCGTTGTCTTGTAACTAGTGAAAAACAATTGTAATATTGTTTAAAACAATTAAAACGTACATTCAAATTACAAATCAAATCTCTGATATGTATTTACACTTAAATCTATTCTCAAGATATTTCTATGGACAATTTGTTTCAACAATCTCTATATATAACTCTCTTCGTCACCCAACCATGCGGGACACCACCACCACGCTCGCACGGTGAATATCTAAACCTTCTACCGCCCCCTCCTTCGCTCTCCAGGCTATCGCTATCGCTATCACACTCACCACCCACCGGTCTGGTGAGCTGCGGTTCTCGCCGAATGTTTACGATCGTAGAGCTGGGTTGAATTAGTGACGGCTATTAGGGGGAGATAATTTAGATTTTTAAACGGTTTGAAACTAATCGTAACAAGTTCTGCTTGATATTTTCGTTTATGGACGGCTGCTCTCACAGGGGAGGGGGGGGGGGGTGAGGGGCTTGGAAGATAGGGTGTGGATATTGTATCGGCATGTCGTACGCCGAGGTTAGGCTCGTGTACCCTAATCAATAATTACCTACTAAAACAACTGATCATCTTTCAGAGTAACGATCACTCTAGCTGTGCCGAAGTTGTCTGTACTTCTTTAACTGATTTTCCTTATTCTAGAATAATCTCCACCGCGTAAGGCCTACCATTTGAAATCACACACACTATAATCTCTTTGTTGTTAAATCTAATAAATCTTCATAAGCTACTTTATCTTTTAATAGTAGCTTAATTGTTTTACCACCCTACACTTTATATATATATATATATATATATATATATATATATATATATATATATATATATATATATATATATATATATATATATATATATATATAATGTATTTATTACCTTTGCAAAAATATCCTCACGTTTGCAATCTGTATCTTGTAAAGTAGAAATAATTGAGCAATGGATCCTAACTTCTTGTGTTATACTGTCTGTTTTATCTGTGTGATCTTGTAACTCTTTATTTATTTTGAGTAAGTTGTTTTCATATTCTTTCATATCTAGAGCCAGTTTCTCTAGTGCTTTGTTTGACTTGGTTTCTTTTTCTTTTAAACTTTCAAATTCTTTGTTCAGCTCCTTTACTTTGTTATCTTGTTCACTCATTTCTTCTCTTAGGCTTTCAATATTTTCTGTCTCGCGTCTAAAAAACTGCTCAGTTTTTAAAGTCGTATTCTCTCGTTCTGACACAAATGTGTCTTTCCATTGTTTTATTTCTGATATATCGTCTTCAGTCTTTTGTTTTGTGTCTTGTAGCGAAGAGAGAGCTGTCTCTATCAGTTCTAGTCTACTCAATATTTCTGGAATATATTTAGCATTAATACTTTATAATACAAAAATTTAATGAGCTATTAAATACATTTTATAAATTAATTTACTTAAGATTACTTCTTGATTTATCATATTCGATTTCTATTAAAAAAATGATTATACCCGCTGTATGCTGAACTTGTTGATTGATTTGATTTTTTAATTCAATATTGTCACACTTTTCAGTTGCTGTAGTTTGTGGTGTTGACTGAGATGTCAGTCCTGCCTCAACACGAGAATTGCATTTGTTCTTACCTGATTAAAAAACACAATGTTAAAAGTTGTTGAAAAAAATATGATCTGATGTTGCATGTAATTTTAGCTGGCCTGTTTACAGTAACCGAAATAGATATTAAAATAGTGTAAATGTCTCCTATACATAATTAATTGTTTACTTATAATGTGTGACGCCACGTCCAACACTGCCGTGGTCGCTGACTCAAGTTCCTGGCATAGCTCGGTGTAGGTGACAGACTGGTTGTCATTTTCATCATCTACCCAAGTCCTACTTTTCTCTACAGCCTGATAAAACACCAAGATATATTGTGACAGTTGACATTTACACCAACATATATTGTGACAGTTGACATTTACACCAACATATATTGTGCCAGTTGACATTTACACCAACATATATTGTGACAGTTGACATTTACACCAACATATATTGTGCCAGTTGGCATTTACACCAACATATATTGTGCCAGTTGACATTAACACCAACATATATTGTGACAGTTGACATTTATCGTGACCGTGTGACCAGAGATTGACTTGCTGTTTCCCAGAGTCCCAGGCAATTTTAAACGGGGTACCCGACCCCAGATTAGAATTTTCCAAGAGCATTTTCCCCCATCAAGACCTACGTAGAAAGCCATAGGTCTCTCTCATAATTGTAGCAAAAACGATAAATTGTAAATTTTTTTTTACTTTTATAGGACATACACCTTTATGCAGGCATTCATTAAAATTATAAACCGAAATATAAGGACACACTGTAATCGTTGTTATAGAATAACCACCGACGGACCACCGTCCTCAAACTAGGCATGGTTTCGGCTACATGGTCTATAAATGTGTCTGATAAATAGCGAAAAAACAATGTTATTAATGACATCTTACATTTTTCATAACTTCAATAACAGGTTCCATAACTCGTATCTGTTCTTCCAAATATTTCATAAGCTCTGTGAGATGCTTGACTTGATCAGGGGAACTCATCTAGAAATAAACATGAGTTGATTGGTTCAAACAATGAACCTTTTAGCTATGTCAAAGTCTTCTGTCTTCTGTCTTCTGTCTTCTGTCTCATGTCTCATGTCTTACGTCATGTCTTATGTCATGTCTTATGTCATGTCTTATGTCAAGTCTTATGTCATGTCTTATGTCATGTCATATGTCATGTCTTATGTCATGTCTTATGTCATGTCTTTGTCATGTCTTATGTCATGTCTTATGTCATGTATTATGTCACGTCTTATGTCACGTCTTATGTCATGTCTTATGTCATGTCTTATGTCATGTCTTATGTCATGTCTTATGTCATGTCTTATGTCATGTCTTATGTCATGTCTTATGTCATGTCTTATGTCATGTCTCATGTCATGTCTTATGTCATGTCTTATGTCATGTCTTATGTCATGTCTTATGTCATGTCTTATGTCATGTCTTATATCATGTCTTATGTCATGTCTTATGTCATGTCTTATGTCATGTGTTATGTCATGTCTTATGTCATGTGTTATGTCATGTCTTATGTCATGTCTTATGTCATGTCTTATGTCATGTCTTATGTCATGTCATATGTCATATCATATGTCATGTCTTATGTCATGTCTTATGTCATGTCTTATGTCATGTCTTATGTCATGTCTTATGTCATGTCTTATGTCATGTCTTATGTCATGTCTTATGTCATGTCTTATGTCATGTCTTATGTCATGTCTTATGTCATGTGTTATGTCATGTCTTATGTCATGTCTTATGTCATGTCTTATGTCATGTGTTATATCATGTCTTATGTCATGTCTTATGTCATGTCTTATGTCATGTGTTATGTCATGTCTTATGTCATGTGTTATGTCATGTCTTATGTCATGTCTTATGTCATGTCTTATGTCATGTCTTATATCATGTCTTATGTCATGTCTTATGTCATGTCTTATGTCATATCTTATGTCACTTCTTATGTCATGTCTTATGTCATGTCTTATGTCATGTCTTATGTCTAGGTCTAGGTCTAGGTCTAGGTCTAGGTCTAGATCTAGGTCTAGGTCTAGGTCTAGGTCTAGGTCTAGCTCTAGGTCTGGTTCTAGGTCTAGGTCTAGGTCTAGGTCTAGGTCTAGGTCTAGGTCTAGGTCTAGGTCTAGCTCTAGGTCTAGGTCTAGGTCTAGGTCTAGGTCTAGGTCTAGGTCTAGGTCTAGGTCTAGGTCTAGGTCTAGGTCTAGGTCTAGGTCTAGTTCTAGGTCTAGGTCTAGGTCTAGGTCTAGGTCTAGGTCTAGGTCTAGGTCTAGGTCTAGGTCTAGGTCTAGGTCTAGATTTACCGTATGTAGGATTACCTTATGTAGGAATACCGGATGTTGAACTACTGGATGTAGTATTACCGTATGTAGGATTAACATCTTATGTCTACTTGGTTTAATCATGTGTAGAATTACCATCTCATGTTTACTAGTGTGCTTGCTTTAATCCTTGTTTAGTGCAATATATAACACAATAACACTTAGATCTAGATGCTGGATTGTTATTTCCTCAAAAGTGTAGGCTACCCGTCACCAATAGCAATGTTTACAGCATTTAATTGTTTTTTATATCAATAAGTCATACGTAATTTAACAAAGCTAATTATTTAATTGAAAGCACTTACTTATTCAATACTTGAGCTTGGACCTCAGGAATTAGCTAGTATGTACTTCAAGAATGTGTAACTTTTCAGATTTAAAATAGCGATGTATAAAAAATCTCAACTACGGAAGTAAACTATTCGCCATTTTGAATATGTTGTGCCATTCAAATTTTGGATTTCTCTTGAAACGGAACTATTGTTTTCATTTTGATAGCAGAATCTGATAAAACATATTGTCATGACAAAAACATGTGTGTTGATAAGTAATTAATATCTAGTGATTTGATTAATGAGATGTTTATTTATATTGAGGTATGTTGTAGTGTAAGATATGTGTGCAGGCGTATTATTACAATAATTTATTTTTAATTTTAAGCAGGACTATTCAACGATAGTTATACCATGTCCGTCCACTAGATTTATCTGACAGTCCAGATTTACCCTGAGTACAGGTCTCTCTGTTGTCTGAGTACACGTCTCTCTGTTATCTGAGTACACTTCTCTCTGTTATCTGAGTACACGTCTATCTGTTATCTGAGTACAGGTCTCTCTGTTGTTTGAGTACACGTCTCTCTGTTATCTGAGTACACGTCTCTCTGTTATCTGCGTACACGTCTGTCTGTTATCTGAGTACACGTCTCTCTGTTATCTGCGTACACGTACTCTGTTATCTGAGTACACGTCTCTCTGTTATCTGAGTACACGTCTCTCTGTTATCTGAGTACACGTCTCTCTGTTATCTGAGTACACGTCTCTCTGTTATCTGAGTACACGTCTCTCTGTTATCTGAGAACACGTCTCTCTGTTATCTGAGTACACGTCTCTCTGTTATCTGAGTATACGTCTCTCTGTTATCTGCGTACACGTCTGTCTGTTATCTGAGTACACGTCTCTCTGTTATCTGCGTACACGTCTGTCTGTTATCTGAGTACACGTCTCTCTGTTATCTGCGTACACGTACTCTGTTATCTGAGTACACGTCTCTCTGTTATCTGAGTACACGTCTCTCTGTTATCTGCGTACACGTCTGTCTGTTATCTGAGTACACGTCTCTCTGTTATCTGAGTACACGTCTCTCTGTTATCTGCGTACACGTCTGTCTGTTATCTGAGTACACGTCTCTCTGTTATCTGAGTATACGTCTCTATGTTATCTGAACTCTGGTATATGTTATCTATAGATACAGTTGCACAGGACTTCATACAGGACTCTACGTATATCGACATTTTATACGTATAACGACATTTTATACGTATAACATTTCATCCATAATTTCATTAAAAATCGTAGAATAAGCCGATTAGTTAAAGCCTGTGTTTATGTTGTTCTGTGTTTATGTTGGTCTGTGTTTATGTTGGCTTGTGTTTATGTTGGCCTGTGTTTATGTTGGCTTGTGTTTAAGGTGGCCTGTGTTTATGTTGGCTTGTGTTTAAGGTGGCCTGTGTTTATGTTGGCCTGTTTATCCTCTTACTATCATAAATCCTTTAATGGATTTTATCTGGTTAAACTGTAAAAAAAAAGACAAACCCATACAACTGGAAATAGAATATATGTTTAATGTGCTGAGGTCCGAGCAAACAACAATACCCACTCCTCACGGTCGACGTAACTTCATCTCAGCGCTGTCCAACGAGTGTTCCCATGTTGTTATGCTAGTCCACACTATCCCCTGGGGGTACTTTGAACTTGCCCACTCCCCGTTCAGATGCACCTGAAAACAGGCTTTGAACCACCAGCCGCTCAGGTACCCACCGGCGCAGTTCCCCAAGGCGTAGTCGTGGTCCCTGTCGTGAGCGGAGAAGTACATGCCGTTGTGATCCTCAAAGTCGTTTCTTGTGTTGCCATCCTTGAATGTGAACTTCAGCCAGTACTTAAATGTTTCATTGCCTACAAACACGTTACTATACACGGCCTAGTAGGATTTTCCTTGAAACTTCATGCGAAATCTCATCTCAGTGAAACCCTGTCATTATAGACGATATAATGTGCTTATACATACTTACATGCAGACACACACACACACACACACACACATATATATATATATATATATATATATATATATATATATATATATATATATATATATATATATATATATATATATATATAAACCTAAATGTATAGGTATATATACAGAGACAAATATTCTTTTTTTTCCATGAATGTTTCTCATAAAATAAGCCTATCTATTTAAAATCATTGCGTTTATTAAATTCTTGTTTCAATTCTATGTATTATTTTCCCAATCGCTTTCTATAATAATAATATATAACTCTTTTTGCCTTGTAACACAACGGATTTACGTCCGGGAATCATAATATTTATTATAATAATTATAAATTCAATAAAACAAGTTAATTAAAAAGTCTAGTGACATTTAAGCGCAATTTCCTTATGTTATCTAAAAATAGCTCTGTCGTAGCGTAAATCAAGAGTAGGGTTACTAAAACCATTGGTTAGTTATTAAAACGTTTTTTATTAATTTTTTTTCAGTATTTTACTTGTTTTATTTACAATAGAGTTACATGACTAAAAACCATTGCGCAGCCATTGAACGTTATGGCGCAGCTATTGAACGTGATGACGCGTGTGGTGTGGTTGGATAAAAATGCCTACTAATTCGGTCCAAATTTTAATTAATTAAAAAAATATTTTGTGACCGAACGAAAGGATATTTTTGAAAACTTTCTTCGGCAATATTATGGCAGGAATCGATTGGTACATGTTTCAAGTCGCTAAGTGGTATGGTTGCCGAGATATGGGCCAAAAACTGCTTTTTATCGAGGTTTTTTGGCTTTTCCGGGAAATCCATGAAAGAAACCCGGAATTTTTATGGCCTTTGTCCATCCTCGTAACTTGCTTAACATAATTGCTTTTAGAACTAGTCCTCGATATTGCTTCTTTGAGGAGGAGATACGACTTAAAGCTGCGGACACACATTCATCCATTCATCCATCCATTCATCCATCCAGAAATGACGGGTTAATAAACGCAATTCTCCAGAATGGAAATTGCGCTAAAAATTGTATGCTGTTTAAATTCAAGTGAGAATGACATACTATGCCCGCAACTTAAACCTATTCCTAGTAAAATTAACCCACCATTAGAGTCAACATTGAGATCCAGTCATTTCCAATCCAGAAATCGCCAGAACTTGAACCAAATCCTTGCTTGTATTCGTTCCAATTTCTGAAGAAATCTACGTCTCCAGCTATACGTCTCTGATGTGCAAATTTTAAATTAATTTTACAACTAGACCTATACTAGTCTCAAAATACTTCTCGAATTTTCTTATATTACATTACGGGGATTGAAACTAGGGATGTAGACATAATTTTTTATCAATTTTTAAATACTTATTTAAAACTTTTTAAAAATAAAATAGAATCTCGTAGAAAAAAGAATTGCGCATCAAATGATTAGGAAACAATGTGCTTATAATAGTGCGTAACATTAGTACGGAATATTATTAGTACTTTATACATTCATAAGCGGTTTTTTGAGAAAATGGAAATAGCGTAAATTACTACTTTCAGTCAGGGAAAAATAATCAATATTTAATAGAAATCTGATATTTAGATCCTTTACATATATATGAAATTTCATCTATCTATCTGATGTAGTTTTAGGCTTTTGAAAAAACCGAAAGTAGAATAAGTTCAACTTCCGTTTACCGGAAATCGCTTATAGGTTGAAAAAGAGCTACACAATTGTTGTAGTACTTATATACGAAATTTCATCAAGCTAGCTGTAACGATGCTCAAGTAATTTTGCTCACTGACACACACACACACACACACACACACACACACACACACAAGCACAGACATAAAGATACGATTTCAAAATTAAGTTTTAGAGAAAATTCTGATTTCTTACCATTGCACGATTACAATATTCCCGCTACTCCGTACATGCACTACTTATTAAATGATGGTAATATACACTAAAGTCATTTACAGTTTTCGATTGTTACATACACCATAATCATACAGATGTGACTAATGTTGTCACGTGATTAAGATCAAGTAACTAAATAAAACCTGAATGACGATCCATCCACCGCCGTCAGTGTCACTATCACAAACCAAAAACGTGTCTTTACGTAGTTGTGTGAGCACGTTCTCCACCATAGCTTGTCCATTTCTGTAACACTTTATTGTCGAAGTCAACTGGACAGAAGAAAATATCTTAAAGTACTATACATCTTCTGTATTGGACATGTGTTGAATTAAAATTCACAGTTTAATTTGATGTTGTTATAATGTATGAATGTTAGTAGGCCTACCCCTTGTTGGTTTTGATTCGCCTCCAGTTTTCTTTTCTCTCCTTGATGTTTTTTTTTGGTTATCACTACCAGGGCTGTGTTGAAACGTGTCTATGTCAAGTTCAGCTGTATCAGAGATGTTATAAGAAACTTAATACTAGACAAAATTAATTGTCATTATAAGGGCTGTGCCCAATGAGGTCTAATTTAAGTTTAGCTGTATCAGAAATGTTATAACAAAAACTCAATGCTAGTCAAATTCATTGTCATTATTAAGATTGAGTCAAATCAGGTCTAATTCAAGTTTAGCTGTATCAGAGATAACAGAGCAAATCTACAAACTATCCCACCTGTACAAACACGTTTATATCAAGTCCATCACATCTTACCCTAAACTACCCAGATTAAATTATTACTTGATTACAGCAGTGGGATTAACTAGGCCGGATAATAATGTGAATACAATGGGTTTTGTTTTCATTCAATGTATACACCAGCAGATGTTGTTAGGGGTCTTACACAAGATACATATTATTGACATGGGACTTGGAGAGATGAACTCTACTCTATCTAAAATGTGGACCTTAAGCTATGACATTTAAGGGTTTGCATTTTAAGAAAATAAACGTTTACAATACGGCCATACAAGACAATTGTGCTTGTTTTGTTAAATATAAATAGACAGTTTCTTGGATATTAAAAAACAGAGCCATGTTCAAATATACATGAACAGAGCAATGTTGAAATCCACTAAACAAACATACTATTATGTATGTTCAGAATTACCTAAAGTACATGAACAGAAAAATGTTCTATGTCACCTAAACACACTAAAACAGGGTAATATTCAAAGTCAACTAAACACACCAACACAGAGCAATGTTCTATGTAAACAAAACACACCAATACAGAGCAATGTTCTATGTAAACTGAACATACCAACACATAGATGAATGGTTACAGCTAACACGGCTGTAATAGATCCAATAAACGCTTTCAGAGTTCCCATGGCAATAACGGCCTTGTAAGCAGACAGCTGACGTGTTCTCTGATTGGATTTACTAACATGCTACATCCATTGCCCGTATGTGTTTCGTTTATGTCGCTTATGTTTCAAATATTTACTGTAATACTCTGCACGATCTGTTCTTGTTATTGCGGTTTCAATGCAATGCCTGTGGTATATTATCTTTCGTAGTGTGTTTTTGTTACAGGGTATTGTTCGTTTTATATAAACTGTTTATATCAATGCTCTTGGTTGATTGTAAGACGTGTGCTTGAGTTAAACATTTCTTTCAATCGTAAATAAAAAAGCTAATTTAGCGAAATGGGGGGGGGAGGGGATATTTCAAAGTATTTATAGCAGTTCAGTCAGCTTTTCAGACAGTTAAATGTTAAAACTAATTGATTATTGATTAAAAAAATGTAATTAAAATTAAAGTTTTTGGCATAGATCTTTGTAGATAATAGATGGGTTGTCATTTTTATCTTTCATCCAAGTCTTTGTTTGCTCCTCTGCATGAGAAAATAACGGAAGTTCTAGAATGTAATTTAAATGTGTGTGGGTGTAATCAATTATATACAATTTTGTAAATGATCAGGTGGCTAATGACTGGTGGAGGGTGTGTAGGGCATGTCACATGTGGAGGGTATGTAAGGCATGTCACATGTGGAGGGTGTGTAGGGCATGTCACATGTGGAGGGTATGTAAGGCATGTCACATGTGGAGGGTATGTAAGGCATGTCACATGTGGAGGGTATGTAAGGCATGTCACATGTGGAGGGTGTGTAGGGCATGTCACATGTGGAGGGTATGTAAGGCATGTCACATGTGGAGGGTATGTAAGGCATGTCACATGTGGAGGGTGTGTAGGGCATGTCACATGTGGAGGGTATGTAAGGCATGTCACATGTGGAGGGTATGTAAGGCATGTCACATGTGGAGGGTATGTAAGGCATGTCACATGTGGAGGGTGTGTAGGGCATGTCACATGTGGAGGGTATGTAAGGCATGTCACATGTGGAGGGTATGTAAGGCATGTCACATGTGGAGGGTATGTAAGGCATGTCACATGTGGAGGGTATGTAAGGCATGTCACATGTGGAGGGTATGTAAGGCATGTCACATGTGGAGGGTATGTAAGGCATGTCACATGTGGAGGGTATGTAAGGCATGTCACATGTGGAGAGTAGGTAGGGCATGTCACATGTGGAGGGTAGGTAGGGCATGTCACATTTTAGATAAAATTCAGGTTGAAGTTTAGATATATACTTATTTTAAATGAGGTTTCAATTTTTTTTGCAATTATCTCCGTATTATTTAACATTAAATACATACGCACATTTTTTTTCGTTCTTTTTTTCCCCGTTAATGTTAATATTAATGTAACTCAAGTGCAACAAGCGTAATGTCAAAACATCTATCACAAAACTAAAAAGAATTGTTGGACAAGATTGATCACCTCTTTTAGTTTTATAAAATAAAGGTATCGACTATTTAATTAGAGGTAGGCTTAATCGATATCCATTCTTGGATTTAAAAAAAAAATACATTTTAAAAAGCACGACATTTTTGTTAAGTTAACAATAGATTACTTCACTTAAAAAAATAAAGCGTTTTCGGTTTTTTATTTGTTTTATTTTTTATTTAATCTATTTCTAAGGGGATACTAATTATCCACTAAACCCTAATTTGTCCTATATAAAATTAAGTGGCTGTGTATAAATTTTCCAACTACAAGATTGTACCGTATAAGAATTATTGATTGAGGCCCTATTATACAGTGTACACTAGCAGCTAACTCTGACCATCAAACTGGATATAATGTGATCACAATGGGTTTTGTTTTCATAGAATGTATACACCAGCAGATGTTGCTATCAGCCCGATGCTAATAGTTTAAATATATCGTTGTTAATGTTAGCTTGCATATGTGTATGTTCGGGTATTGCTCGGTGGGAATACTTATGTAGGCCATACATTCTTTCAGTCTCAGGGGCTTTAAAAGGGTTTTGTGAGTAATTACAAACATACACACACACACACGGACAGAATTGCAAAACCAAGTTTTTCACACTCGATTACGCATAAAACGCCTAAATTTTTATAAATTTGGATTTATAATTTTTCCCGATTAAAACAAGTGCCATATACTCCGTATTTGATGAAGTACTGATGTGAAAACTGTGAAAATTTCATGTGATTTTTGTTCACGATTGCAATACTCCCTCTATACTCTGTATACGAGAAAGTAAAAACAAATTCACAAAAAAAGAAAAGCGTGGGTCACTATATTATCTTTTAGATACCTTAACTAATATTAAGAAAGAGACCCATGCTTTTTGTACAACTCTTGGAATAGTTGTGTATTATTATATAATTAAAGAAAGTCATATATTTTCTCCTTTTTAGTGCATTACTACACACAAGTTTTCTATTAAACCGTTTTTTATGCATTTTCCCACAGTAGTTTTACATTTTTACTTTCTCGTATGTACGAAGTAAAGAGAAAGTCTTGTAATCGTTCAAAAAAAAAAATGAGATTTTTGCAGATCTCGACGTTTTACATCTACCTGATATGGAAAAACATAATTTTGCAATCTTGTCCATATGTCTGTTTTTCTCTGTGTGTGTGTGTGTGTGTGTTTAAACACGATAACTTGAGTACCGTTACAGCTAGGTTGATGCAATTTCAAATATAAGTATTTTATCAAAATCGTAGATCCTGATGAACTTTTGAGCGATTTCTGATAACCGGAAGTGGTATGTTTCACTTTTAATTTTTCAAAAGCCTATAACTTGAGAACTATTTCAGATAGGTAAATGAAATCTCACACGTAAGTAAAAGATCGACTCCTCTTCCTTCTTTAAAATTTGATTAATTTTTTGGTGACCGGAAGTAGTAATTTACGCTACTTCCGATTTCTCCGTTATGGTCAAAGCCCCGCTGCGGTCAAATCCCCTATTGTCAAAGCTCCTTTATGGTCAAAGCCCCGCTGTGGTCAAACCCCCTATGATCAAACCCCCTATGGTCAAAGCCCCTATGGTCAAATCCCCTATGGTCAAAGCTCCGCTGTGGTCAAACCCCCTATGGTCGAACCCCCTATGGTCAAAGCACCTGTGGTCAAAGGTCTGCGGATCCTATTTAGGAAGGCACTTGTATTCCCTAAAAAATATAGAGCAACGTAGCACTTCCGGTTACTGAAGTAGAAATTTAGTCTACCTTGAATTAATACTCAGAATAGCAGGTTTTGAAAAATGGGAAAGGATAGTACGTACACTTTCGTTTATCGGAAATCGCTCAAAAATTGAATGAAAAGAAAAATTTGATATCATGCGTTAATATATAAAAATTATAAAACGTCTCCATATTGGCCTGTTACTTTAGGATTGTGCTTATTTTGATCTCTAGAGGCCCGTGTTTATATTGGCCACAACTCGTGTTAGCCTGCATTTATGTTTTCTAATGTTTCTGCTTCTTATTAGAAAACTTAATGGGTTTTTAAAAATTAAAAGCATATTACTTGACATGTGAACAAGAAAAAGAAAATCAAAATAATATCATTATTTTAATGAGATTACAGGGAAGCAAGCAAAATTTTTGACTGCTAGAAGAGTGTGAGAAGTTCACGGCCGACGTAACTTCATCTCAGCACTGTCCAAGGAGCGATGGAATACTGTTATGCTGAGCCAGATAATGCCCTTAGCATACTCTTTACTCGCCCACTGCCCGTTCAAATTGACAGTTAAACAAGTGTGAAACCACCATCCGCTTCGGTAACCGTCGGCACAGCTCCTAGAATTGTAATCGTAGTCTCTGTCGCGAGTAGAAAAGGCCACGTTGTTGTGATTTTTTAAGTCGTTTTCTGTGTTGGTGGATTTGAAATCAAATTTAAGCTTATACCAGTCAGCTTCATTGCTCACATTTACATTACCGTACACGGCGTAGTACGATTTACCTTCAAATTTCATGTCAAATCTCAGCTCATTGAAACCCTGTGAAGACATCCGACATGACCCATATATATATATATATATATATATATATATATATATATATATATATATATATATATATATATATATATATATATATATATATATATATTTATATATTAGCTGTTATGGATAAAAATAATCAGTAAAAAGTACATTCAGTGTATTACAAAATAAATAAAAGGTAGTATTTAAAATATGCGTGTTTTACCTATCACATTGCACTTTATCAAACCATAATAACAATATAATTGTTCTTATCCAACATCAAAACAAACTAATGAAAATGTTATTTTCCGATGCAATGTATTTTTTTAGATCTATGGTGGAAAATAATTGATTTTAATGCGTGATTCCTTTTGTCTGGTGAGAAAATGCCATCAAACTTCTAAAATAGTGTTATCTGGTCTGTTGTATCATACGCTGTAGGTTGTGTTATCTGAATACCCTTGACAGAAGACCCCAACATTTACACAAGTATAATTCACATAATTTCGACTACTGTGCATACTGATCAAGTAACTGATTAACACCTGAATAACGATCCATCCACCGCCGGCAGTGTCACTATCACAAACCAAAAACTTTTCTTTACTTAGTTGTGTGAGCACGTTTTCCACCATAGCTTGTCCTTTTCTGTAACTCTTCTCAGTTTCATTGCCAGTGTCCTATCTAATCAGGTCTAATTAATCTTTAGCTGTATGAGAGATGTTATTAAAAACAACTCAATACTAGACAAATTATATGCCATAATTAAGACTGTGTCCAATTAGGTCTAATTCAAGTTTAGCTGTATCAGAAATATCAGAGCAAATCTACAAATTATCCCACTGGTAGAAACACGATTAATCATGACCATCACATGTTACCTTAATCTACCCAGATTAAATTATTACTTGATTAGAGCAGGGAGATTAATTAGACCATAAGGGTAGAGGGGGGGGGGGGGGGAGTCTTACACCAGGTACATATTATTGACATGGAAAATGAGACAGATGAACTCTATCCACACTAAAACATTTAAAGGTTTACATTTTAAATAACTAACGTTTTCAATACGGCTATAAAAGACATATGTGCTTGTTTTATTAAACATAAATTGAAGGTTTATTGGTTATATCAAAAGAGAGCAATGGTCAAAGTAAATTAAACATACAGGAACAGAGCAATGTTGAAATCAACTAAACAAACATACTATTATGTATGTTCAAAATTAACTAAAATACATTAACAGATCAATGTTCTATGTAAACCAAACACTCCAACACATAGCAATGTTGTATCTAAACTGAACATACCAAAACATAGATGAATGGTCACTGCTAAAACAGCAGTAATAGATCTAATAAACGCTTTCAGAGTTCCCATGGCAATAACGGCCGTATAAGCAGACAGCTGACGTGTTCTCTGATTGTATTTACTAACATATTACATCCATTTCCGTGTGAATTTCGTTTACGTCATTTATATTTCAAAATTTACTGTAAAACGCTTTACAATCTGTTCTGTTTATAATGTTTTCAATGCATTGTTTCTTGTTCATTTTATAGAGTATTGTGTATTTTTTCCTTTTATATAATCTGTTAATATCAATGCTCTTGGTTGGTTGTAAGTCGTGTGCATGAGATAAACCTTCCTCTTAATCGTAAATGAAAATAGCATATCTAGAAAATGGAGGATATACATTTTAATGTATTACGGCAGTTTGTTCAGCTTTTCTGACCATCACAAGTTAAAAATAAATTGGTTATTGATTACAAAGTTTAAAGTTGTCATGTGGATTGTGGTTAGGTTCTGGCTAGTTGTCAGCGTATGGTTAAATGACGTCAGTGTTTGACTTATTTTCAGTTTTTTGCAAACCTCCAAAATTAAATAGAACTTGAGTGCGTTAGTAACTAAACGAATAATGTTTGTACCAATCCTGTTCAGGTCGAAAGTGGGACCATGAAGTATCGACAAATAAATCATCTCTTTATCTAATGTATGAGCATCTTTTTGTCGCAAGTAAAATAAAGAACATGCATACTTACATGCTGATAAGTATTGTATACCCCCTTCCAAGACTACCTTAGGACCTTTGTCCAAAATGTATTACATGTATGGAAAATAATAATGTCTGCAACCTATCACCGTGTACCAGGTTTCACCTCCCTCGGTCAAGCAGTATGTAAATTATATGTGTAACAAAATGTACTACGTGTAACAATGCTATTTGCTTAGTACTAGAATAGAGCATTTTATTTAAAGAATATACATTTCATAAACCTTATAGAAAATAGTTTCATACGAATTTTGAATATTCCTACATTTTCTCCAGAATCCAAATCAACGGTTTTGAATTTTTTCAGTATTTTAAAATGTTTTATACAATAGATTGTCAATAGGGCTGGTAAGTAGGTCACCAACCAGTTCTACGGCTCATTAAAACCTGCATGAGCCATACATGAGTCATAGAACTGGTTGGTGACCTACTTACCAGCCCTATTGCATAAAACATTTAATTTAAGTTGTTTAAATAGTACAGCATTATTATATATGTAAAGAAAAGCATTTATTTTCTACATTTTAGTGCATTATTTCATAAAGCTTGTTATCAAACAGTTTTTTTCTGCATTGTTTATAAATAAGCTTTTATTCTAACTTGCTCTCTATGTGGTGATAGATCGAAACTGCCGAACGAAATTTCGAGCTCTTTTTACAGGCGAATTCTTTTCAAATTTGGAAGAAGATAGATTACTTAGTTTATGTACAGCCAATGAATGCTCGTGATGACCTGTGTTTATTTTAGCTTTTGTTCCTGTTGGTATGTGATTATGATGGCCTGTGTATATAATGACCTGTATTAATATTGGCCTGTGTATATGTTGGGCTATGTATTTGTTGGCCTGTGTTAATATTGGCTTGTGTATATAATGGCCTGAGCATATGATGGCCTACGTATATGTTGGTCTGTGTAAATGTTGGCCTGTGTTTATGTTCGCCGGTGTTTATATTGGCCTATGCTTATGTTGGCCTGTGTATATTATGGCCTGTGTATATGTTGGCCTGTGTATATGATGGCCTGTGTATATGATGACCAGTGTATATGATGGCCTGTGTATATAATGGCCTGTGTATATGATGGCCTGTGTATATGATGACCAGTGTATATAATGGCCTGTGTATATGATGGCCTGTGTATATAATGGCCTGTGTATATGATGGCCTGTGTAAATGATGGCCTGTGTATATAATGGCCTGTGTTTATATTGGCTGTGTATATGTTGGCCTGTGTTTATATTGCCTGTGCTCATGTTGCTCTATGTTCAAGTTTGTCATTTATTATGTTGGCCTGAGTGTATGTTGACTACTGTTTCTGCTTGTACTTGCTTATGTTTTTCCACACGACGCCCTAAGAGCCTGCTGTACTTGCCCATTTCCCGTTCAAATGGACGACAAAACAGCAGTTAAACCACTATCCGCCCCTGTAACCCCCGGCCAGCTGCCAGAGTTGCCATCGTTGTCCCTATCGGGAGTGGAATAGGCCATGTTGTTGTGATGTATAAAGTCATTTACTGTGTGGGATGACTTGAATGTGAACTTGATCCTATAGAAATCTGCTTCGTTGCCGACTATCACATTACTATACACGGCGTAGTAGGATTTACCTTGAAATGCCATGTCAAATCTCAGCTCAGTGAAACCCTGTCAAGACAGATGACACGATGTGTTAATACATACATACATGACTATATATATATATATATATATATATACATATATATATATATATATATATATATATATATATATATATATATATATATATATATGTATGTATATAAATTTCTAACTGAGCGATTCATTTCAAACTTGGCACGTCGGTTAAGACCCGACGACACTGTAATCTGACATTAAATCGGTTCGATTTTCTGAAATTAGTAGGTTGGCCTTCTATTATTTTTCACTAGTAGACGCGCATTATCATGTTCATTTGGTGCACAATACCTTTTAGTCATGAAACTCTATTGTATTAAAAATTTTAAGTACTGAAATAAATGCATAAAACAGTTTAATAGCAAGCTTTCATCAAATGATGCACTAAACAGTATAAAATAAATTATTATTTTTAAATACATATAATACATTACTATTTAAACAACTGGGTAGTTGCTGTCGTGGGCTGGGTAGTTGCTGTCGTGGGCTGTGTAGTTGGTGTCGTGGGCTGGGTAGTTGCTGTCAGGTATTTGCTGTCAGGTAGTTGCTGTCAGGTAGTTGCTGTCAGGTAGTTGCTGTCAGGTAGTTGCTGTCAGGTATTTGCTGTCAGGTAGTTGCTGTCGTGGGCTGGGTAGTTGCTGTCAGGTATTTGCTGTCAGGTAGTTGCTGTCAGGTATTTGCTGTCAGGTAGTTGCTGTCGTGGGCTGGGTAGTTGCTGTCAGGTAGTTGCTGTCAGGTAGTTGCTGTCAGGTAGTTGCTGTCAGGTATTTGCTGTCAGGTAGTTGCTGTTGGGGGCTGGGTACTTGCTGTCAGGTAGTTGCTGTCAGGTATTTGCTGTCAGGTATTTGCTGTCAGGTAGTTGCTGTTGGGGGCTGGGTAGTTGCTGTCAGGTAGTTGCTGTCAGGTAGTTGCTGTCAGGTATTTGCTGTCAGGTATTTGCTGTCAGGTATTTGCTGTCAGGTAGTTGCTGTCAGGTAGTTGCTGTCAGGTAGTTGCTGTCAGGTAGTTGCTGTCAGGTAGTTGCTGTCAGGTAGTTGCTGTCAGGTAGTTGCTGTCAGGTAGTTGCTGTCAGGTAGTTGCTGTCAGGTAGTTGCTGTCAGGTAGTTGCTGTCAGGTAGTTGCTGTCAGGTAGTTGCTGTTGGGGGCTGGGTAGTTGCTGTCAGGTAGTTGCTGTCAGGTAGTTGCTGTCAGGTAGTTGCTGTCAGGTAGTTGCTGTCAGGTAGTTGCTGTCAGGTAGTTGCTGTCAGGTAGTTGCTGTTGGGGGCTGGGTAGTTGCTGTCAGGTAGTTGCTGTCAGGTAGTTGCTGTCAGGTAGTTGCTGTCAGGTAGTTGCTGTCAGGTAGTTGCTGTTGGGGGCTGGGTAGTTGCTGTCAGGTAGTTGCTGTCAGGTAGTTGCTGTCAGGTAGTTGCTGTCAGGTAGTTGCTGTCAGGTAGTTGCTGTTGGGGGCTGGGTAGTTGCTGTCAGGTAGTTGCTGTCAGGTAGTTGCTTTCAGGTAGTTGCTGTCAGGTAGTTGCTGTCAGGTAGTTGCTGTCAGGTAGTTGCTCTCAGGTAGTTGCTGTTGGGGGCTGGGTAGTTGCTGTCAGGTAGTTGCTGTCAGGTAGTTGCTGTCAGGTAGTTGCTGTCAGGTATTTGCTGTCAGGTAGTTGCTGTTGGGGGCTGGGTACTTGCTGTCAGGTAGTTGCTGTCAGGTAGTTGCTGTCAGGTAGTTGCTGTCAGGTAGTTGCTGTCAGGTAGTTGCTGTTGGGGGCTGGGTAGTTGCTGTCAGGTAGTTGCTGTCAGGTAGTTGCTTTCAGGTAGTTGCTGTCAGGTAGTTGCTGTCAGGTAGTTGCTGTCAGGTAGTTGCTGTCAGGTAGTTGCTGTTGGGGGCTGGGTAGTTGCTGTCAGGTAGTTGCTGTCAGGTAGTTGCTGTCAGGTAGTTGCTGTCAGGTATTTGCTGTCAGGTAGTTGCTGTTGGGGGCTGGGTACTTGCTGTCAGGTAGTTGCTGTCAGGTAGTTGCTGTCAGGTAGTTGCTGTCGGGTATATGCTGTCAGGTAGTTGCTGTCGGGTATATGCTGTCAGGTAGTTGCTGTTGGGGGTTGGGTAGTTGCTGTCGGGAGCTACATATAAATATAACGACAAGTGAAAGTGGCTGATAAAATGGAAGTTTAATTTCAAAGATAAATAAAAGATAATTATTAAAGATGATTTTAAAATTTGCGCTGTTATACTTTAAAATAATTACTTGGTGACATTATTTTAATCTCATTATTATTTTTTAAATAATTAACATTTTGAATTTCTATATTATCTTATAGTTTATCTATAAGTCAAAAAGTGGAAATTAAATTGTTTCTCCATGAGAATTCTATTTTTCAAAGCGTCACTGTTTTTGAAATGGCGTATTGTTTACTTCCGTAGTTTCATATTTTGTTAGCGGCTTATTCAAAAGCTTTCAAGCGATTTTATAATTCTGAAAACTAAAATATAGCGAAGCTCGTGCATTAAATTTAAAAAAAAAAGTAAGTTGACGGAAAGAAAAAGACAGGTCAGGTTTGATTGTTTAAGACTTAATTTATCAAAGTAAGATTTTGGGTATCGATATTTGGTACATCTGATAAAAATACATAACTTTAAATATTGTATTAGATAATACACTAATCAAAGAAAACATGTGAACATTCGATAAAATAAAAAACATTTTGACATTTATAGAGTTATGTCATTTCAATTAGCGCGAAATAAAATAAAATAACCAATTGTAAAACAAAAGTGTATAAAAAATGCTAGCTAAAGATGTCTAAATTTCACCCAGTCTACCTAATTCTTACTAGATCTAGTTTTGTAAAAAATTGTTTATTTTAAGTGGGAAAAGAAAAGCATATACTAATATATAATAGGGAGGCTCACTAACTTAAAAGCGTCCTTGGTTGCTAACCAGAACATGGCGTAAGGATCGGACCATGACTTCCGGCGAGTTTTTCGACTTAGTTCCAGAGACCTTCTTAGAATTACTTTTAAAAATGTTTATCACGAGTAAAATGGCGGGTTTTCACGTTATAAAAACATGCTATAGGTGGCAAGGCTAAATATGCCAGAAAAGCATTTTCAAAAATTGCTTTGGGGGATGTTGGCTAAATTTAAAGTCGGTGTCATTCAAAATAATATAACTTTTTAAATATAGATTTCCATATCACAAAATTGATTTCCACAGTAAAGCATTATTAGTTTTATCATTCTATGAAAAAATAAATCAAATATCTTCAACCGTTTTTTTATAAGATCGACCGAGAAATGACAACCAAATTTTTTTTATTTTTTTTGACCACGTGACCGCTATTTGAATGGATACGTTTACCTGGCATGGTTTTTTTTTTGCTCTTTTGTACAATAAAAAATGTCATAAAATTAAAGAAATAAAAGAATTCAAAAATCACTTCTGTCTTGTCTTTTTTTAAATTCTTTTCTGATGACATTCTCTTAAATTTTTTTCCTCTAAAAATATTACCCGACGATAGACGGGCCAATTCTACTTTTAGGAACTCTCTTGTGAAAAAAAATTAGATCTATTTCACGGTCACTTAAAAAGTTAAACCTTTCAACTTTTAACCAGGTTGTCATGGATGATCCGTCATATCATAGCTGTGAGTGACAAATAAATTTAAAATTCAATAATTTAGTCTAAACTCGCTACAACCCCCAAATTTAGTGCCTAGAGGATAAAGTATGGACGTTTTTTATTCAGTTGTCATGTTTAAATTGAGAATTAAGTAGATTTCACAAATAGTAAGAAAAACTAATATATAAAGCTAATTTTGCTTTAAAAAATCAAATGAAATACAGGGGTGCCAAAAAGACAGTCTAAATAAGAAATGGAATAACTGCGGGATTTATTAGCAAAGCCATTTTTCCAATAACCAGTGTCTATTGCATAGAAAAAAATATTTGACTACTTTCAGGAGAATCAAATTATATATTTATCTTGACGGCTGTGTACCAAATGTCAAGGGACATGCGCACAGATTCAGTTAAAAATAATCTGATATGCACACATCGGAAAAGCGACCATTGCTTTAGAATATTATTACTTAAAACAGACGTAGACTTAGCAATCAAGCTGGTGGTTAAACATAAAAACTTAATTTTTGTTTTACTTTTAGATGCGTCCTGAAATTCAGGTCAATCTTATAACAGAGCAGAGGAAACATTTGGAGGAATATCTACAAGTCCTAGGACCTGTCGTTGAATCGATGAAACATGTAAGCTTATATTTTTTTAATCGGAGATTAGTGTATACGGAAGGTTTAAATTTACTCAAACGCTACATACTAGAATACGTGTTTTATTTTATCAGGCCTTGGAAAAAAGTAAGTCGTGGATAGAAGATAGAAATGACAACCCGTCTATCACACACATGGAGCTGTGCCAGGAACTTGAATCAGTGACCACGGCTTTGTTGGGTGCTGCGTCACACATTATCGGTAAATTTTAATTAACGAGTGCCCTGTTGATTTTGATAAGCAAATTTATGTTAAATCTGATTTAAAATTTTGATTAAAAATGATTACTTAATTTATTGCTATGTATTTATTTACTAAATAATTGACTAAACATTATCAGTGGTAAAATACATTAGCAAAGGGAGCGAAAAATAAATAAAGTATGCGTTTAATTAAAGATGACGGTAGGTATAAATGTACTTATCTCTGGCTAAGGAAAATAAAAAAAAAAAACAACACAGTTTTTAAAAAGTAAATTATTATATAAAATGTAAATTGTGTTTTTTATGAAAAGGACGAAACAAAAACAACTGCTGTGACAATAAAGCAACTGCATTTCCGACTGCACCACAAACTACAGCAACTGAAAAAGCTGATGGTGATTTAGGCCTATTAGCACATCACGTGACTAAACAACAAACTGCGCGTATGTTGGATTTTGTTTTTCCCAGAAATAAATGCAATAAAATAGAGATCTGTCTTATGTAATAGATTCTTGTAAGCTATGTGTTTAAATAATTTAATTCGTAATTTGTTTATATTTTTATTATCGAGTTTTACATCATTTTAAATATATTCTAGAAATACTGACTCGAATAGAGATGATAGAGACAGCTCTCTCTTTGCTACAAGACACAAAACAAAAGACTGAAGACGATATATCAGAAATTAAACAATGGAGAGAAAACTTTCTATCAGAACAAAATGATACAGCTGAAAAGTTTTTTAGACAACAGACAGAAAATATTGGAAGCCTTAGAGAACAAATGAGTGAACAAGATAATAAAGTAAAGGAGCTGAACAAAGAATTTGAAAGTTTAAAAGAAAACGAATCCAAGTCAAACAAAACACTAGAGAAACTGTCTCTAGATATGAAAGAATATGAAAACAACTTAAAGAAAATAAATACAGAGATTTATACAGACAAAACAGACAATATAGCTAAAGAGGTTAGAATCCATTGTGCTTTTATTTCCGATTTACAAGATAAAGTCCATCATATTATGGTACAAACAAATGAGACCTTCAATGAAATTTCTACGAAGGTAATCAACATATTTTTCGATTGTAAAATCAATCATTCATTACAGATTGAAATAGAATAATTTACGAGAATGTAACTGTAAGATTAAATCACCCAATTATTGTATGGTTTCCTGGAACTGTGGATAATCTGGTTTTATCCAATAATGTTGTGATTGTAATTACATACATTAGAGGATTAATTATTTTAAAATCTAGCTGCATAGCCTGTCGGATTAAGTACACATAACTCAATGACACCATTGAAAACTCGTAACAGTACGTTAATAGCCAAATTATCATCTAAACCGACATACATATACATTTAGTCTATCATTATATTAACTGCACTACGCCGCATAAACTGCTCTCACACAATGTCCACACACAGGTGTCCACCCCTTATCCACAACCAAAGCCATCACGACCACCCCCCCCCCCACCCCTTATCCACACCTAAAGCCATCACGACCACCCCCCCCCCACCCCTTATCCACACCTAAAGCCATCACGACCACCCCCCCCCACCCCTTATCCACACCCAAGGCCATCATGACCACCTCCCCCCACCCCTTTGACACACCATTTACATACTAAGTCAAACAACACACATGGTGAAACTTGATCCTAGTTAGTATTTTGCTGTTTTCCAATTTTATAACTTAATAAATTACCTAATGGAAATCATAATATTTTTTATAACTAGTTTTTATGTATGTAGGCTAACTAAACTGAAGAGAAATAACTTTCTAAGAGTGAAAACTTACGTTATTATTTATAAAAAATAACACTAAATAGTTTTTTATATTTTAATTTTATGTATTTATGCTTTCCTTGTGTAAAGTTAAAAAAAAATGTAATAGCATTTTGCATTTTTCTTCTGTTTTTAAGCTTCAATGGCATGTTAATGATATTTTACAGATAGAACACACAGTAAATGATGTTTTAAGCTTTTCAACAGCATTTCAGACAATGGGTGAGTTTATAAATGTTATTTTAATATTTAAAAAACAATGTGAATTAGTTTGATAATTTTTTCTACTTGTTTGCAATATTGACCTCTTTTACACGTATACTCTGAATGTATGTAATGGAGGAGGGTGAGGGTAGGTGGCTGTAAGTATGTAATGGGAATAGGCTGAACGTTTATAATGGGAGGGGGCGGATGGCTGAATGTTTGTAATGGAAGATAGTTGAATGCGTTTGGTCCAGACCTAGTTTTTTGTAGCTAGGATCATCTCATGTCTAAAATGTGTCTGCAAAACAAATTTTAGCCTGTCTCATGCCATAAATGTGTCTGCAAAACAAATTTTAGCCTGTCTCATGTCTTAAATGTGTCTGCAGAACAAATTGTAGCTTGTCTTAAGTCATGAATGTGTCTGCAGATAGGGGCATAAATCTTTATAAAAGTTGAACCTTATCTGAACATTTCCTTATAGTTATTTCAATAATAGTTTACTATTATATATTTATTTATCTTCTACTTTTTAGTACATTATTACATAAAAGCATGTTACTAAAACATGTTTTTATGAAGGTTTTTTCAGTACAATAGAGTTGCATGGCTAAAAGCCATAGCGCACCAAATGAACGTGATAACGCGCGTATAAAAATATAAAATAGTTGTATACGCCTGATTACTAATTTGGACAAAAATGCTTATATATATATATATATATATATATATATATATATATATATATATATATATATATATATATATATGGCAATGTATGTTTGTTTGTTTATTTGTTTGCGTGTCTTCTATGCATTACTACACCTTTCATCCGATCGCCATGAAACTTAGGGATGTCTTTCTAAATACTTTTGGGGAGGTTTCTGCGAAAAATGATTTATCAAATTCGCACAGGGTGCAATTTGGTTCCCCGAGTTATCCCATGAGCGCTATGGCGCCATCGTTCATTTGACACAATGCGATAGACAATGAATAAGATGGAACGTTTAGTCGTTCAATAAATTGTCTCAGGCGCATTTGTCGGCTCAGTACAGGGTGCAGTTTTGCGCCCCGAGCTATCCCGGTAGCGCTAAGGCGCATACGTAGGTTTTAAATAGTGTGGTTGAATATGGATAAAAAGAAGTATTATATTCGTTCACTAAACACAATCTGACAAGTTAAATAAAAGCTTGTAAAAATGCGTTTATTTATTGCGCCCAAACAGCAAGAAGTGCGTGCTTTGAATAATGATCACGACACGAATAATTGTGTTTTATTTTAAACGAGCCGACTCGCGGCGTATCACACGCCGCGATTTAGTTGTTTGATTTTGTACTTTTCAGTAATTCATAATTTGTGAATTCGACAGTACCAATGCTGCCAATGAAAATATTTGCTTTAAAACACTATTAGTAGCTCGTTAAGGACGATACCCCCCCCCCTCCTCCCACCCCCCGAAAGCAGCCTCGTCTTAGTTACCTCCCCTAAGTTTAAATCGTTTCAAACTAAATTATCTGCCCCTAATAGCCGTCAATAAACCCGGCTCTACAGTTGTAAACATTTAGCGTGAACCACAGCTCACACATGTGGGGGTGGGGGAGGTTGATTTATGCCTAGTGAAGAAGAGAGGGGACTGCAAGGCGCGCTTACAGCTTGTTTTCTAGGGTCTCCAAGAAGAGAATTATATATATATATATATATATATATATATAGATTTGTATTTGATTATTATGTTTATTTTGATGTGTGGGTTTACATTTAAACAAAAAAAATTATATGTAGTAGAACATAGTTAATATCGACACAACTTAGATAAACTGAAGACATCAACTATGCATGTTTTCTATTGATCAGGGTCACGTGACTGTAAAAGATACGCTTGTTTTAGTCGCATCACTAGAAACCCTCCTGTTCGTATTGGGTCAATCATTTCCAGATTTGATGACGTACGTGAATATAACGGTCAACATATCAACTCAACAACTGGCAAATTTGTATCACCACACGATGGTTTATACTTGGTCTGTATCACTCTACATGAATGGTCGGATAGAATGATTCGCGTTGGTGTGTTCCTTGAAGACAAGTTGAGGCAGATTGTCAAAGTTGGTAGTGCAAGTACCAAAGCTTCTGGATCAGTTGTGATTGACATGAAGAAAGGCGAAGAGCTTTACTTACAAGTAACTCAGACAGAAGAGGACGCTTGGTTGTCCTTGAACAGTAGTTTTACTATCGTTATGTTATAGGGGTACAACACAAGTTATACAGTTGTTTTAGTATCGTTATGTTATAGAGGTACAACACAAGTTATACAGTAGTTTTATTATCGATAGATTAAAGAAGCACAACACAACATATACAGCAGTTTTTATAGCGTTATGTTATAGAAGTACTACATAACATATATAGTAGTTTTTATATCGTTAGTTTATAGAAGTACAACACAACATAAACAGCAGTTTTAGTAGCGTTATGTTATAGTACAAGACAACATATACAGTAGTTTTTGTAGCGTTAGGTTATAGAGGTACAACATATACAGTAGTTTGTTTAACGTTAGATTATAGAGGTACAACACAACATATACAGTATTTGTATCTTTAGGTTATAGAAGTACAACACAACATATACAGTAGTTTTTGCACCGTTTGTGACTTTATGACTATATGTTGATATTTGTCTGAATATTTATGGACCTTCGACTTTTGTTCATCACACATTCATAATAGTGTTACGGTCTAGTAATATTTGAACTTTCAAGTATAACGTTTCTCTTAGTTTATTAGTTTAATAATGTTTGTAAAGAGACTATTAAGGGCTGCATGTTGTAAATTATTATTGTGTTGACAATATGATAACTGCATACATTTTCACACTAATGTTTCCTTGCTATCCATAAAATGTAATACATTTAGGGCTATCTGATTATAGTCGAATCCTAAAATTGTGTGTATATTCTGTAACATATGGTATGGCTTGGCCTAGCGGTAGAGTTCTAGACTGCTAACCCAAGAGTCTCGAGATTGGATCCTTGTTGAAATCAGTGGATTCCGCCCAGATTTGAAGCAGGTGAACTCTACTCTACTTGGGCACGAACGGGCAACGATTATCATATAGTATAATTTACTTTTTCCTTTAAAAAAAAGTTTTAAAAGTTTACTTTGTAAAAAGTAAAACGTTTGTTGCAATATAAATACCATTGTAAACCATATTTCGATCTAGCCTGTTATTAAAAAAAGTATTGTAGTGTACATGTTATGAAGCGTTTGTTTTATTAAAAGTCATTCAACAGTCAGAACAGTTTACTTTTGTTAAAGCATTCAATTTTCGGAGTTATACATTACGTAAATTAGTCTTTTTTCAAATTAAATTGTGTTTGAGTTCTTCTGTTTTGAGCCTAATGATTCAAGTTCACTAAGCAATTATCATCAATTAATTTATAGTGCACATATTTAACAGTGAAAAAACTAAACAAACATTGTAGAACGATGTTGACACAACAAAAAACACTGGTTTTTATTCGAACTGATTCTTTACTCAAAACCAAACATCAATTACATTTTATTTAAACGACTTATGTTAATGTAAATACTTTTACAAAAGGTGCTATTTGATTAAAAAGAAAATAATCATTTTGAGCGACATAGAAAAGTATGTTAATTTTCATCAATGAAAAAAAATTAAAGTATGTATTTTTATAAAGGAAAAAGTACGATATATTCTGGACTAAAATTTAATTTCCTAAATAGGTTTGAATCGATCTCGGCCTAATGTAGAGCCTTTGTTATCTTTCCACAGTTAAATATATTTTATGTGACAATATGTAATTGAAATGTCTGAACTTCTGAAGTTAATTTATTAAAGGTTGGTTAAGTGTATCTCCAGCTTATGACATAACATAGATCAGTTTGCTGGGATGGTTATGATGCTGGACAGCTGCATTGTTTTAACTTTACTGTTTACTTTGGTGGTTGGTGTGGAGGGGGGACTGCGGTGCGAATTCAAGCAGCGTGACGCTGAAGAGTCTTTTCTCGCCATGAATCCTGAGCTCGTGAACGGAACCAGTCCGTTTCTCAATGGAAAAGTGCGGACGTACGAGAAGTGTCAAAGCGGCCTGATGCCGCTTTACAATGAGACCGTGGTACCCTGGTCCTACGAATGTCCAACTACCTTCTCTAAAAAAGACAGAGGACCGCGGTTTTTTCCCAGGTGAGTTAAATCTATATTTTCAAACCATCTTTAAATTATAAAATTTATAGTGGATAATATGTTTTTTTTTTTTTTGCTTTAGACATGCGGTTTATGCAAGATGTCTATGCGATTCGTGTATCCGGAAAACTAATACGAATTGTGGCGTCGTTATTAGAGTTGTGAAAGTTCTGTATATAGACAACTGCTCAGATGACGGCATCGCTTCCTTTACATACAAATCTTACAACGTGCCTGTAGCCTGTGAGTGTACGGACAGGATTGGTGCCTGAGGTTCTCATCCTGTCTGATGTGTTCCAGCGACCATTGTGTGGTCTGTGTTCAACTGAGTCAAGCCATGACGCTGGTGTATCCCACGTTAGAGAGTCATTTATCGGTTAAGTGAAGCTGTTCTATTTTTTGTTTTGACGTAGGATTTTTATTCCAAACTACGCCTTCACCTAAATTAACTTTAAATACTTGTACTTAAAAATATACGCAACTCAACTACGCCAACAAACACATACATATAAAACGTACACATATTATGAAAGTTAAATACACCATCACATACACTGAAAGTTAAATACACCATCACACACATACACTGAAAGTTAAATACACCATCACACACTGGAAGTTAAATACACCATTACACACATACACTTAAATATATTCATTCCTGGCTGGTTATAAAAGTAATTTACATGATTTATCCATTCTAATTATTTTGGTTCCGTGATTAAAATCTGATCACGTGAGCTTTAATTAAGTATAATTTGACCAGTTCATCTCGTTACATCCACACATGTCACATAAATCAAAATCACGTTAATTATAACAAACATTGTCTATACTAGCTGTGAAGTTAACTGGTTATTTATTTATATTATACCGATATCCGTAACTTGAAGTATTCTTGCATATAAAGTTATTTATATTTTATTAGATTACAATAAACTTCAAAATACAAAGTATTACACTTATTTTATTTTGTCTTCTAAATTAAACTGTGTTGATAGATTATCTTGAAATATGTGTGTTAGATTGTTCCAATTAAGTCTTGTGTTTGCCAGTTTGAAACACAACCTAACAAAATTATCGTACAATATTTTCACACACAACTCAACGAAATGACCGTACAATATGAAGATTAGCATACAAGAACAAAGTATAGTTGGCTTAAAATCCTTTACTTTTTCATCAAAACATTCCTTCCGTTCGGGGCTAGTTCTTTGTTGAAAAACTGCCGTACGATACGTCAATATCAGAGTGATACAAGCAAAGTGGTAGGTACACATGTTCGTAATTAAAGCTTGTATGTGTATGAACTCACGATTGGGTCTTAGACCGCTTCTTGGTTGATGGTTATTTTTTGGAGGTGTTTTCAATGCAAATAAGTGTGACCATTAATGATCAACCCTCAAATAACTCTTAGTCAACAACAGCAGTTACCTCCATATACAAACAAGAGCAGTCGTAAATAACGTAATGCAGCCGACGCATACAAGTCTAGTTTAAAATTTCTAAATCACAAACCTTTAATCAACTTTGCCTCCACTAATGCAATCAACCCTAATTTATCACGCAACTACAATCAACTTTGGTTCAACTAATGTATCACCCATGTTAGTTCTGATTTGTAGAGGTATTGCAAACTAAATTTGTCAACATTTGATAATCGTAAAACAGGTATCAATAATCATATCATTTCGATCTCAACCAGCACATGTACATAAAACTCAATCAATATTATATAAAGCAGTTTTAAATCGCACACAACACAATTAAACTGAACTATTACAGTTAGATATTGGTCACAGCGACCGTTTGTATTGATTCAGGTAAAAAAATAATTGCACGCATTGAAGCGCAATTTACGTATGTGACAAATCGATATCGATGTTCATCACAAGGCGTGTGTCAGGTAACTAATTACTGATAAAGGTCAGACACCTATTAAAACAACTTTAGATTTAAAAACGATATATATATATATATATATATATATATATATATATATATATATATATAATTATGTTACAGTAGTGAAAAAATCATTTAGTGAATATTTTTTACAACTAATAAATAGCCTCGTAAAAGAAACGCCCATGAAAACAGATGTGTAATTAACTGATCCAGCACGATTAAAAATATAAATGTGCTAATGTAGATTTGACTCCTGTTTTAGCGTAGTGTATTCATAATCAGGGACTAATGAAAGATGTCGTTGAGCAGATGTTTAGTAGTTCTGCAGTTGATGACTCCCATCATCGCCAGCAACTGCAACTTGCAGTTCGATAGATCAGCCTTTCTTGCGGCTAACCCGGAGTGGGTCAGTGGAATCAGCCCATTCGTGGATGGGGCAGTCCCAATCGAGAACGGGGTAGATTCTACCTACGAGAGCTGTGTCGCCAACCTCAGCTCTCCGTTCAACAACAGTCTGGCGCCATGGGACCCCGTCTGCCCAGTGTCATACGAACAGGAAGATAGGGGAGGGAACTTTTTCCCCAGGTATGTGCAGTTTTATTCTTATGGTTAGACAATTCGATGGGTATATTAAAATTTCGTTATTTTATTTTATAGTACTTTCGAACCTAAATCTAAACCTGAACCTGAACCTGAACCTGAACCTGAACCTGAACTTGTACCTGAACCGAAACCGGAACCTGAACCGGAACCTGAACCGGATCCTGAATCTGAATTTGAATTTGAATCTGAATCTGAACATGAACATGAACATGAATCTAAACATGAACATGAATCTGAACATGAACATGAACATGAACATGAATCTGAACATGAACATGAACATGAACATGAACATGAACATGAACATGAGCATGAACATGAACATGAACATGAACATGAACATGAACATGAACATGAACATGAACATGAACATGAACATGAACATGAACATGAACATGAACATGAACATGAACATGAACATGAACATGAACATGAACATGAACATGAACATGAACATGAACATGAACATGAACATGAACATGAACATGAACATGAACATGAACATGAACATGAACATGAACATGAACATGAATCTGAACATGAACATGAACATGAACATGAACATGAACATGAACATGAACATGAGCATGAGCATGAACATGAACATGAACATGAACATGAACATGAACATGAACATGAACATGAACATGAACATGAACATGAACATGAACATGAACATGAACATGAACATGAACATGAACATGAACATGAACATGAACATGAACATGAACATGAACATGAACATGAACATGAACATGAACATGAACATGAACATGAAACTACAACTAAGCCTGCAACTAAACTAAACCTGAACCATAACCTCTAACTCCTAACCATGAACAGGAGAATTGTATTAGATATTCCATTTTCCTTTTTAGATACAGAGTTCAGGCCAAATGCCTGTGTACCTACTGTATAGAGAGAAACGCGCACAGTTGTGTTAAAGCCAGAAAGATGATGAGAGTAATGCGAGCTACCTGTGTCTCCGGTGTGCCGTCCTATGAGTTCTTCAATGAGACCTTGACCGTGGGGTGTGCTTGTGATCCATACATCCCTCGCACACAACAAGATTGGCCGCCAGTTACTGAATAGCGTTTAGGGTAGTCACCCTAATCTGAAATCTGTGTGCTGATTGGTTTTAAAATTAAACATGCTTTAATGTGTTATGTTTTATTATTAATACTGTTTGTGATGTCTCCTTTTTTTATTGTCTCGTTCTATCTCATTATCTCACTTTTTCACTCAGAGGAGTGGCGTAGCTAGGTGGGGGGGGGGGGGGGGGGCGGCGGGGTACATATGTCCCCGGGCGCCAATCTTAAGGGGCACCAAAATGGTTTGGAAAAACAAACTAAAATCTCACTTTAGCTGCAATTTTTTATTATAAATATAAAAAATACATCGGGGGGAGGGGGACGCAACTCGGAAGTTGTTCCCGAGGGGCCGCCAAAATGAAAGTTTGTTCCCGGGCGCCGGGAAGGGTCGCTACGCCTCTGTCCTCACTACTTTACTATCTCACTATCTCACTTTCTCACTATCTTACTATGTCACTATCTATCTCACTATTTCACAATTCCACATCTCACTTCACTATCGAACTATCTTTCTTTATAAATAAATAAAAAAAATCATCATCAATGGAATGACATAACTGCTTACAACAAAACCCTAGACACATTCTCCAACTATACAGTCGTAAAACTGAACCACAACACCTGCTCCAGAAAAAAATCTTATACACAATTAAAAAAACCAAACACATTTATTTTTAGCCTAGAGATACATTAAAAATCTAAAATGTTCTATATTAAAATCTAAACAAATTAAAAAAAAACAAAAAACATACACTTAAACAATGCCTAATAATTAATTAAACCATCACATACATCTATATAATTAAACCATCAATCCATCAACAATCCATCAACACAAAAACCAGTGTGTCAGCATCAAATCCAGTTAAATCTCATATTTAACGGCTAGTGTACATTGTACACAAGGGCCTCAGTCAAGGAGTCTAAAGCGGTACAGCTTTATATGTGATACTGTTATACTCAACGTCTGCAGGCTTGTATTGGAGATAGAAATATAATAATAACAATAAATCTTTATTTTATAGCAGAATATGTACAAACAAGTTAATTAAAAAAGTCTAGTGACATTTGTGCGCAATTTCCTTATGTTATCTAAAAATAGCTCTGACGTATAATGTTGGGGTGCGTTCAAGCTAGAAGAACAATCGGTTTGTAGGTGTTTATGTAATTTTAAAATTTGTGACCGAACGAGAGAATATTTTTGAAAACTTTTTTCGGCAATATTGTTCTAAATTATGACAGGAATCGATTGGTACATGTTTCAAGTCGCTAAGTGGTCTGGTTGCCGAGATATGGGCCAAAAACTGAATTTTTTCGAAGTTTTTTGGCTTTTCCGGGAAATACATGAAAGAAACCCGGAATTTTTAAGGCCTATGCTCATTCTCGTAACTTGCTTAACATAATTGCTTTTGGAACTATTCATCGATATTGCTTCGTTGAGGAGGAGATACGACTTAAAGCCCGGACACACATTCATCCATCCATCCATCCATTCCCAGAAATGACGAGTTAATAAACGCAATTCTCCAGAATGGAAATTGCGCTAAAAACTAAATAATTTACTAAAATATTTAGAAACAAGAGGAAATAGTATGTTTGTTTCAGAAAAAAGTATGTTTCATTCCCAAAAATCCGATTTTTAAAAATGGCGGATTGTTTACTTCCGTAGTTGCAAACAATGTGTAACTTGTTAATAGTTTTATCTCCATCTTATTATTCTACGATAAGTACCGCTCATTCAGAAAAATTAAAATGTAAGTAGATTTAGACTATATGATTTAGTAAAACACATTTTGATTTAAAACATTTTATTCAATAACATGGTTATGTTAATTTAACGTTAATTGATACAGATCTAGATGTATGAACTAGTATAATGCAATGTGAAAATATAAATGTGCTACATACTGTAGCAAACTAAATCAGACAGATGAGTACAGAACTTCAAGCCGTCGTTGTTACAGAGCACACAAAGTACTTAGAAGAAAAGTTGCAAGTTCTGGAACCTGTTATTGAAGCCATGAAAAATGTAAGACGTCATTGATATGTCATGTGTTTAGTATTTTAAACGGCACTTTAAATACGGGAAAAAATAGTCTACAATACGCTGCACATACCCTTGTGTGAATTACAATAAGAATTTTTTAAATTTATCAGGCCGTAGAGAAAAGCAAGATTTGGATTGAAGATAAAAATGACAACCCGTCTATCACCTACATCGAGCTACGCCAGCAACTTAAATCAGCGACAACCACAATGTTGGACGCAGCGGCACAAATTTTAAGTAACCAATTCAGTAATATCTGTATAATGGGTAGGGGGGGGAGTGGTGAGATGTGGGACACATAATGTGTTGGACAAATGAGATGTGGGACAAATGAGATGTGGGACAAATGAGATGTTGTACAAATGAGATGTGGGACAGCATTATTTTAGTATGTTTAGACCGAAATTTAATGCACTCACATTCAACATAAATAAAAAGTTTAGTTTTAGCAGTACTGAGAGGTGCCCAAAAATATTATTAAATACTGCAGAATTCTTTGGACCGTGTACATATTTCTTTGATCCTGACTATGGTATAGTTAGGGTAATTTCGGTTTTCATTTTATTACGTAGTTTCATTATTTGTTGCATGTTTTGTGGCGATTTCAACGAATTTGTTTTTTCTGAATTGTACAAACACTAGCTTGGTGAGAATCGAGACACGATAGCGCATTAATCACCCTAGGCGTTTGGTGTCTGACATTCAATAAGATAATTTTTAAATTTTGTGTCACATAATCTTATATGTTTATTCCGAGTATAAACGCCTGTGATCAATATATTATTAACTCATTGGAAAAGTTTCGAATTACTCTGGAAAAAGAAAAATAGATACTTTTTTAGGGATAAAATAACTTTTCCCTATTAGTTATATTTATGGATTAAAATACAGGCTTGAGATAACTAGCGGTATTGTACACAAACAACAATGGCATTCAATGTCAATGCAGTTTCCCGTTAATACAAAGTTCAATGATGTTTTTGTTTCTGCTAGACGATGACGACATGGTTTATGTAGAGCCTGAATCAAGTACACCATCGCTGTCTACATCACTAACTATATCAACAGATACGTCCGACAATGGCGAGTTGAAAAATCAAATCAGTAAACAAGTCAAACACACAGCTGGTATAATCAATTTTACTTATATCAAATATAATAAAAAAGTGTGAGTTGTCGTTTAATAAATTTCAGTTTTTAAAATGTTTTTTATTAAAAAGAATTAATTGTAAATATATTCCAGAAATATTGACTCGACTAGAACTAATAGAGACAGCTCTCTCTTCGCTACAAGACACAAAACAAAAGACTGAAGACGATATATCAGAAATAAAACAATGGAGAGACAACTTTGTGTCAGAACGAGTTGATACGGCTTTAAAAACTGAGCAGTTTTGTAGACAAGAGGAAAAATGTATTGAAAGCCTTAGAGAGCAAATAAATGAACAAGATAGTAAAGTAAAGGAGCTGAATAAAGAACTTGAAAGTTTAAAAGTAAAAGAATCAAAGTCCAACACAGTACTAGAGAAACTATCTGTAGATATAAAAGAATATGAAAACACATTACATGAATTAAATGCAGCGATGAACGATAACACAAATAAAACAGACAGCATAGCACATGCAATTAGAATTCATTGCTCAATTATTTCTCTTTTCCAAGACGATGTTCAGCAAAATATTGTGAAAACAACTTGCAAGCTTAATGATTTATTTTCTAAGGTAACATTTTTTTTATAAAAGAGTATGATGTAAATAAAAGAGTAGTGTTATTAAATTGTATAAAATCTAAAATATTTAACAACAAAACGATATTTACCAACTGTGCTTGTAGACGTGTAGACGTACGTTTATGGGACACTATATTTTTGTACGATTGACAGATCTGATGGTATTAAATGACACTCAGAGTGGACATTACCAGAGTATAACTGACCAGTGGTCTGGGCCGTAGTATCAGAGGAAGATTTAATAATTTAATTTTTGTCCTCGGCCAAATTATCCCATACATTAATAAACATTATGATTCAAATTATTCATCCATCAATTTCTAAGTTTAAAAAACTGATGCACTAAAAGTAGAAGATTAAATACATGTGTTGATGCCAGAGAAATAAAAACAATAAAAGTAAATTTAAATTCCAGCACGTATATATAATATTTCAATAACAAGAATAAGAAAATAAAACAAATTTTCCTAAAACTTTTTTAAAAATGTCTTTTTCTTTAAAACCAAAGCTCAAAAGACAAGCGAGTGGTGTTACAAAGCTCGAGAATCAACTACATGATATGTCAGCGTTCAGTAGCCAAGTATGTGATGTTTTGAAACTTAAACACCGAGTACATGATATTTTAAGGCTGTTAACAGACTTTAAAATAACTGGTAAGTTTAGAAGTTTTATTTTAATGTAAACAAAATGTTTAGATGTGTCGTGAATAAGAACTTGCAGATTAAAATCAACATTGGCAAGTTAAGAAAATATTCGAATAGTTTTATCAGATTTAGAGACATTAAGTACATTGTACAGTTTATTGTAAACATGCGGTCTTAGATCAACTGTCGTTGAATCGTCAGTAAAAGTATAAATCAATATTCAGTTTATCAGCTCGAAACCAAAACAAAATCCCAACAAAACGCACAATGAAAATACAAACACACATTGCCCCACCACAAACACACAATGTAAGAGCCAGACATATAATCCTAACCTATTTACATAATCCCACATTAACGAAAATAATACGTATTCATCCGATAAAATTGAAATCAATGAGATCACTCAAAACACACATACAAAACAATTTCTATCCCTTACACTTTCAATACACAACAAATCTCATGACATTGAAACTCCTCACCCCTCATGCAATGATAAAACACATAAAGAAACCTCACTCCCACACACAATTCTCATACTGTCTTACAATCGCTAGCTACTCATACAATCCTGCCTCACACACAAACACACATAATCCCCATTTATAAATAAATTCACACTAATAAACATTTCCCCCCTCACAATTATACCAAAGCACAATTCCCCCAAAATTTACAATCCTCCACCCAACAATCTCCACCTACACTCAATTACAAACCATTACACTAAATAATAGTCCATGCATGCAAGATGTAAAAACCCATCTAACCTACTTAACAACAGAATGTCGTGCCTGCCAACCTTACATCTGTCAACTCCACCTGGACAACAACACACCTGTGACAACTGGGTCCATTCTTGCAACATTCTATTATGTGTGGGAACCAAACGGCAGACATTTTGATCAGACCACAGGAAAACTTGTAGCACCAGATGACGGTTTATACCTCGTCACTGTCACCTTACTGGAAGATGAGGATCATTTTATCAAAGTTGCCGTGTTTTTGGGCGATGTTTTATGCAATGAAATTTTTGTCAAATCTGCCTTAACATCAGCGTGTGGGTCGACGGTTGTTCCCATGAAGAAAGGGGAAGAACTTTTCTTTAGAGTGGCTCAAGCGGATGTGGGGGCTAAGTTACAGGGTGGGAGTGGTTTTACCATTGTTAGATTATAAACTTAATGTCTTCTTTTAGATGGTACGAACATGATAATTAATTAATAAACATTTAATTATTAGTTCGATGACAAACGGATGACATATTTTCGCTTTGGATGATACGGAAATGACAGCTGGTATATTTAGAAAACACGCATATGTTAGACAATATATTTACTGTCGAAAGATGCATGATAAATGTTAGAAACCATGGCACATAATGCATACTTTTTGATTTAATTTCCATAACATATTTCGGAATGTATTTTAATATTTAATAATTAGTTATTAGGTAATTTATTGGTGTGCTTAAATCTGATATACATACTGTAGATCTACTGTTGTCCTACCTCGGGATAATTTATATTATACTAAAACATGATTTGGTTATTTGCTACATAGGGTCTACGATACAACGACATTGTTGCAATATTACAGCGAAACGTGTCGAAATTATCCATCTAGTATTACATTTTGTAACTAAGTTAAAACTTGTGTCAACTATAATACTTTTTTTTAAATTTTAATATTACGATTTTACAATAAAAAAGAATTTTAATACATTGTTGCTAAACAATTGGTGGTGTTAATTCAATTAGTTATGGCATGGAAAATGTTTTAAATCTGGAATTAGTTGAGGCTGGTTGGTTTAAAAAAAAAACAAAGTTTGTTCAGGATGATGCTATAACGGTTGCGTTTGTTTAGGATGATGTTTTAAATTTTGAGTTAGTTGAGGCTTATGTTTTAAATTTTGAGTCAATTGAGGCTGATGGTTAAAATCTTAAGTTAGTTGAGGCTGATGTTTTATTAACTTGAACTCAAAGATGCATTAAATGAACTCAAGATTGCATTGAATGAACTCAAGATTGCATGTGAATGAACTCAATATTTTATTGTGCATGAACTCGAAATTGGGTCTTAGACTAAGATATATCTCACCGCTTCTTAGTTGATGGGTTTTTTGGTGTGTTTTCAATACAAATAATTGTGAATACTAAGGATTAATCCTCAAACTAATACATCTATAGGATAAATTTACCATAACTCTTAGTTTACAACAGCAGTTTTTCCATATACAAACAAGGACAGACGTAAAAAAACGCATACAAGTCTAAACCTGTAGTCAACTCTTGGATCAAGTAATTTATCAAAAAACTTTAATCAAATTTGGCTCCACTAATAAATCAACCAACTGCAATTTAATTTGGTTCAACTAATGTATCACCCATGTCAGTGCTGATTTGTAGAGGTATTGCGAACTAAACTTGTCAACATTTGGTATCAAAAATTACATCATGTCCATCTCAACCAGCACATGGGCATATAACTCAATCAATATTATATATCGCAGTTTTAAATCGCACACAACACAAATAAACTCAACTGTTACAGTTAGATATTGGTCACAGCGACCGTTTGTATTGACTCAGGTAAAAAATAATTGCACGCATTGAAGCGCAATTTACGTATTTGACAAATCGATATCGATGTTCATCACAAGGCGCATCAGATGTGCAGTAGCTCTGCAGTTAGTGACACCAATCATCGCCAGCAACTGCAGCTTGCATTTCGATAGATCAGCCTTTCTTGCTGCTAACCCAGAGTGGGCCAGTGGAATCGACCCATTCATTGACAGGGCAGCTCTAATGGAGTATGTGGTAGATTCTACCTACGAGAGATGTGTCGCCAAACTAACCTCTCCGTTCAAAAACAGTCTGGCAACATGGGACCATGTCCTACGAAAAGGAAGATAGGGGAGGGAAAACTAAACCTAAAAATAAACCTAAACCTAAACCTAAACCTAAACCTAAACCTAAACCTAAACCTAAACCTAAACCTAAACCTAAACCTAAACCTAAACCTAAACCTAAACCTAAACCTAAACCTAAACCTAAACCTAAACCTAAACCTAAACCTAAACCTAAACCTAAGCCTGAACCTGAACCTGAACCTGAACCTGAACCTGAACATGAACATGAACATGAACCTGAACCTGAACCTGAACCTAAACCTAAACCTAAACCTAAACCTAAACCTAAACCTAAACCTAAACCTGAACCTGAACCTTACAATTACTTATATATTTCATGTCCATTGTAGATATAGAGTTCAGGCCAAATGCCTGTGTACCTACTGTATAGAGAGAAACGCGCACGGTTTTGTTAAAGCCAGAAAGATGATGAGAGTAATGCGAGCTACATGTGTCTCCGGCGAGCCGTCCTATGAGTTCTTCAATGAGACCTTGACCGTGGGGTGTGCTTGTGATCCATACATACCTCGCACAGAAGAGGGGCCGCCAGTTACTGAATAGCGTTTAGGGTGGTCACCCTAATCTCTAATTTTTGTGCTGATTTGGTTTTAAAATTAAACATGCTTCAATGTGTTATGTTGTATAATTAATACTGCTTGTGATGTCTCCTTTTTTATTGTTGCGTTCTATTTCAATATCTTACTAGCTGACTAGTTCACTTCCTCACTACCTCACTATTTCACTTTCTCACCATCTCACAATTCCACATCTTACTTCACTATCGAATTATCTTTCTTTATAAATAAAACAAAGAAATAATCATCAATGGAATGACATAACTGCTTAAAGCAAAATCCGAGACAAATTTCCCAACCATATCATCGTAAAACAGAACCACAACACCTGCTCCAAAAATAAATCTTATACACAATTAAAAAATAAACCGGTAGTGATCTCCCCTAAACTTCCTCGAATATTCTTATATAAAACAACAGGGGATGGGAACTCGGGCTATAGACATGATTTTTAATCCATTTTAAATACTTAAAGTTTTAAAAGTAGAATAAAATCTCGTAGACAAAAGAATTGCACACCAAGTCAACGCCAAATAAAAAAGTGCATAACAGTGCACAATATTATTAGTGCTTTAAAATTTTACATTAGTTTTTTGAGAAATCGGAAGTAGCGTAAATTACTACTTCCGGTCAACGGAAATTACTCAAAATTTAATAGAAGGTAGAAAAATAGATCTTTTACTCACATGTGAAATTTCATTTATCTGTCTGAAATAGTACTCAAGTTATAGGCTTTTGAAAAATTCAAAGTAGAAAAAGTACAACTTCCGGTTATCGGAAATCGCTCAAAAGTTAATACGGATCTACGATTTTGATAAATACTTATATATGAAATTTCGTCAACCTAGCTGTAACGGTACTCAAGTTATCGTGTTTACACACACACACAGACACACAGACAGACACACAGACATGCGGACGGAATTGCAAAGCCCAGTTTTTCAGACTGGATTACACATAAAACCTCTGAATTTTGATAAACCTGGATTGATATTTTTTGCCCGATTAAAATAAGTCCTCTATACTTCAGATGTGATGAAGGACTGAGGTGTAATACGGTGAAAATTGTTAAAATTTCAAGAGATTTTTTTGCACTATTACAATACTTTCTCTATACTTCGTATATACGAAAAAGTAAAAACTAAACACATTTATTTTTAGCCTAGAGATACATTAAAAAAAGGATCTATATTAAAATCTAAACATAATTAAAAAACAAAACATACTAAAACAACGCATACCTTATAATTAATTAAACCATCACATACATCTATATAATTAAACCATCAGCATCTAAACACATCACAACACATGTGCTGTACACAATCCATCAACACAAAAACCAGTGTGTCAGCATCAAATCCAGTTTATTCTCATATTTACCTGCTAGCGTACATTGTACGTTAGGGCCTCAGTCAAGGAGTCTAAAACGGACGTCTTTATATGTGATACTGTTATACTCAACGTCTGCATATTTGTATTGAAGATAGAAATATAAAAATAACAACAAATCTTTATTTTGTAACAGAATATATAAACTACAAAAAAAACTATATAATTTACTTAATTAAATTTTAAGTAACAAGAGGAAAAAGTATGTTTGTTTCAGAAAAAAGTAAGTTTCATTTCCCAAAATCCGATTTTTAAAAATGGCGGATTGTTTACTTCCGTAGTTGCAAGCATTGTGTAACTTGGTAAAAGTTTTATCTCCATCTTATTATTCTACGATAAGTACCGCTCATTTAGAAAAATTAATATGTAAGTATACTTAGAAAATGTATTCTTGATTTACAACTCATTTTGATTTAAAACCATATTTTATTCAATAACATCGTTATGTTAACGTTTAGTGATGATATAGGCCTAGATCTAGAACTAGATAGATATGAAATAGTGTAATGCAATGTGAAAATATGAACGTGTTACATACTTTAGCAAACTAAATCAGACAGATGAGTACAGAACTTCAAGCCGTCGTTGTTACAGAGCACACGAAGTACTTAGAAGAAAAGTTGCAAGTTCTGGAACCTGTTATTGAAGTCATGAAAAATGTAAGACGTCATTGATATGTCATGTGTTTAGTATTTTAAACGGCACTTTAAATACGGAAAAAATAGTCAACAATAAGCTCACAGACCCTTGTGTGAATTACAATAAGAATTTTTTTAAATTTATCAGGCCGTAGAAAAAAGTCAGACATGGATAGCAGATCAAAACGTAAACCCGTCTATCACCTACACTGAGCTACGCCAGCAACTTAAATCAGCCACAACCACAATGTTGGACGCAGCGGCACAAATTTTAAGTAACCGATTTATTAATATCTGTATAGTGGATAGGGGGAATGGTGAGATGTGGGACAAATGTGAAGTGGGACAGTTATTTTTGGACCAAAATTTCAATGGCCCCATGTACTGCACAATCATATGGACCCTGTAAATATTTTTTAGATCCTGACTGGGTATGTTAGGGTTAGATCTGTTTTCATTTCATGACGTATTCTTATTTTTTTTGTGTGGTTTGTGCTGATTATAACAAACGTTTTGTCTAAGTTGTAAAAAAACTAGCTACGGTGAGAAATAATACGTCCCACTTATCACCCAAGACGTTTGCCGTCTAACATTCAATAAAAATTGTGTTCATTTGTAACGATGTTTGTTTGTGGCCATAACGTCTTCTCTTTTATGGCTATGTGATATTTTCCTGACCGTCCCACTTCTCACCATGTGATATATTCCTGACCGTCCCACTTCTCACCAATGTAATATTTTAAATTAATTTTGTCTCATGTAATCCTATATGTTTAGCCATAGTGTAAACGACTATAATCAATATAATATTTATTGATTGGAAAAGTTTCGAAATACCCTGAAAAGTAAGAAGAAACGTTTATTGAGGGATTAAATTGTTCTCCTATTTCCCATAACTTTCGCGTATTATTTTTATTCATGTATTAAAATACAGACTTGGGATCACCAGTGGTACTCTACACTAACAACAATTCAATGTCAATAAAGTTTCCCTTTAATACAACGTTCAATGATGTTTTTGTTTCTGCTAGACGATGACGACAAGGTTAATGTAGAGCCTGAATCAAGTACATCATCTCTGTCTACGTCACTAACTATATCAACAAATACGTCAGACAATAGCGAGTTGAAAAATCAAATCAGTAAACAAGTCAAACACACAGCTGGTATAATCAATTTTACTTATATCAAATATAATTGATAATCGAAACGTGTGAATTGTCGTTTAATTTCAGTTTTTAAAATATTGTTATTACAATGAATTAATTTAAATATATTCCAGAAATATTGACTCGACTAGAACTGATAGAGACAGCGATCTCTTCTCTACAAGACACAAAACAAAAGACTGAAGACGATATATCAGAAATAAAACAATGGAGAGACACCTTTGTGTCAGAACAAAATGATACGGCTTTAAAAACTGAGCAGTTTTGTAGACAAGAGGAAAAATGTATTGAAAGCCTTAGAGAGCAAATAAATGAACAAGATAGTAAAGTAAAGGAGCTGAACAAAGAACTTGAAAGTTTAAAACAACAAGAATCAAAGTCCAACAAAGTGCTAGAGAAACTATCTGTAGATATAAATGAATATGAAAACAACTTACATGCATTAAATACAGAGATGAACGATAACTCAAATAAAACAGACAGCATAGCACATGCAATTAGAATTCATTGCTCAATTATTTCCCTTTTCCAAGACGACGTGCAACAAAATATTGTCAATACAACTTGCAAGCTTAATGACATATTTTCTAAGGTAACAGTTTTTTTTAATTAAAGAGCATTATGTAAATAACAGAGTAGTGTTATTAAATGGTAGAAATTCTAAAATATTTAACACCAAAACGATGTTTACCAACTGTGCTTGTAGACGTGTAGACGTACGTTTATGGGACATTATATTTTTTGGACATTACCAGAGTATAACTGACCAGTGGTCTGGGCCGTAGTATCAGAGGAAGATTTAATAATTTAATGCATGTCCTCGGCCAAATTATCCCATTCATTAATAAACATTATGATGCAAATTTTTCATATATCAATTTCCAAGTTTCAAAAACGGCTGGACTAAAAGTAGTGGATTAATTACATGTGCTGATGCTAGAGTAATAAAAACAATTTTCAGACCTAAGTAAATTTAAATTCCAGCTCATATATATAACATTTCTATAACAGGCATACAATATACACTAAAAAGACAGAAAATAAAACTAATTTTCTTAAAATGGCTATATAACACCATTTATTACAAAATATATCAAAAAGATTAGCATTGTATTTATTATAGTTTATACAATGTTGGACATTTTATCTAAATCTTTAGGGAAAATGCATTTAAAAGTTTAAAAAAAAACAATGTTTTTTCTTTCAAATCAAAAGCTCAAAACACAAGCGAGTGGTGTTACAAAGCTCGAAAATCAACTACATGAATTATCAGAGTTCAGTAGCCAAGTATGTGATGTTTTGAAACTTAAACACCGAGTACATGATATTTTAAGGATGTTAACCGATTTTAAAATAACTGGTAAGTTTAGAAGTTTTATTTTTAATATAAACTAAATGTTTAGATGTGTCGTAAATAAGAACTTGCAGTTTAAAAACAACATTGGCAAGTTCAGAAAATATTCGATTTGTTTATCAGATTTACAGCCATTAAGTACATTATACAGTATTGTAAACATGGGGTCTTAGATCAATTGGCGTTAAATCGTGAGTAAAAGTTTAAATCAATATTGAATGTTATCAGCTCGAAACCAAAGCAACATCCCAAAAAAGGCACAATCACAACGAAACCACACTATCCCAAAACAAACACACAATCCCCTGAAAAATGCACAATCACAAAACAAACACACAATCCCAACACATACACACAACTTAACGTTCAGAAATAAATCCCCACTAATAAACAATTTCCCCACACGATTATAGCAAAAAAACAATTCCCCACCTACACAAAAAATCCTCCACCCAAACCCAAGCCCCACACAATTACAAACCGCTACATTCAATAATAGTCCATGTATGCAGATGTAAAAACGCAGGTGCTTTCTTATGGTATCTGTTTTTTCTATAATGGATGGAGGGAGGTGCTAGTGAAAGCCGTAAGGGATGGGTGGAGGTGTTAGTGAAAGCCGTAAGGGATGGTGAAGGTGTTAGTGAAAGCTGTGAGGGATGGGGGAAAGTCTAGTGAAAGCCGTGAGGGATGGGTGAGGTGTTAGTGAAAGCTGTGAGGGATGGGTGAGGTGTTAGTGAAAGCTGTGAGGGATGGGGGAGGTGTTAGTGAAAGCTGTGAGGGATGGGTGAGGTGTTAGTGAAAGCTGTGAGGGATGGGTGAGGTGTTAGTGAAAGCTGTGAGGGATGGTTGGGGGGAAGTCTAGTGAAAGCCGTGAGGGATGGGGGAGGTGTTAGTGAAAGCTGTGAGGGATGGGTGAGGTGTTAGTGAAAGCTGTGAGGGATGGGTGAGGTGTTAGTGAAAGCTGTGAGGGATGGGGGAGGTGTTAGTGAAAGCTGTGAGGGATGGGTGAGGTGTTAGTGAAAGCTGTGAGGGATGGGTGAGGTGTTAGTGAAAGCTGTGAGGGATGGGTGAGGTGTTAGTGAAAGCTGTGAGGGATGGGTGAGGTGTTAGTGAAAGCTGTGAGGGATGGGTGAGGTGTTAGTGAAAGCTGTGAGGGATGAGTGAGGTGTTAGTGAAAGTTGTGAGGGATGGGTGAGGTGTTAGTGAAAGCCCTGACGTCCTGTCTGTCTGCTTCGACTGGTACTTTTGTGAGAGTCGAACTTGTATGCCCTTTAAACGTTGTCACTGAAAATCGTTGGGTGTTGTTTTTACTTTAATATTTCTATGCTGTTACAAATGCATTTGCTATTCCATATGTTGTTTAAAAGCATATTTGTTCTCCCATATGTAGTTTTAAAACATAATTTTTATACAGCATTCTGTCTGAAGAGACAGTAGGCAACATATCTATACTAAAACTATCCAGAATTAACATCCCACCATCATGTTACTTAACAACCTAACTGTCAGTAGAACATACATAAGTTATATAAATTAAGTGTCAGCAAAATATACAGATGTCATATAAATAAGTGCCAGTAAAACATGCAGATGCTATATAAAATAAGTGTCATTAAAACATATAGATGTCATATACCTCTACGTAATTGGATATATCATACGCTAAACAAAAATAAAATTAATCCTCCCTCGACACAAAAACACAAAACTATCTCAATTTGCATACGTATGTCGCCACTAATGTAATATACTTTAAAACAGAGACCAGCAAATGTCAGCCTTACGTCTGTCAAATTCATCTGGACAACGACACACCTGTGACTGTTGGGAATATTATGGCTAGATTCTATGTAGTGTGGGAATCTTACGGCAGATGTTTCAACAAAACAACAGGAAAACTTGTAGCTCCAGAGGACGGTTTATACCTCGTCAATGTCACCTTACTGAAGAATAAGAATCATTTTATCAAAGTGGCCGTGTTTTTGGGTGATGTTTTATGCAATGAAATTTTTGTCAAATCTGCCTTAACATCAGCTTGTGGGTCGACGGTTGTTCCCATGAAGAAAGGGGAAGAACTTTTCTTTAAAGTGGCTGAGGCGGATGTGGGGGCTAAGTTACAAGGTGGGAGTGGTTTTACCATTGTTAGATTATAAACTTAATGTCTTCCCTAGATGGTACAAACATGATAATTAATTAATAAACATTTGATTATTAATTCAGTGACAAAATGACAATATATTTCCGCTTTGGATGATACGAAAATGACATCTGATATATTTAGAAAACACTCAAATATTAGAAAATATATTTATTGTCGTAAGGTGTATAATAAATGCTTGAAACCATGGGACATGTTGAATATAAAGGCACTGCGTCTTTTTAAAAATTAATAATTTCAATAATATGTTTAGGAGTGTCTTTAATATTTGATTGGTGTGCTTATATCTTACATGATATGTGGTAGATCTATTGTTCTTCGGGATTATGTAAATTATACAACCACGTGATTTTGTTATTTGCTACATACATATAATCAACATATTTTACATTAATCCTGACAAAACTTGACATTGTTGCAAGATTACATGGAAACTTGTCGAAATTATCCAACTAGTATTACATTTGTAACAACATTAATTAAATCGTGTGTCAAATATAATTGTTTCTACATTTTGTATATTACGATTTTACGATAAGAAAGAATTTTAATACATAGTTGCTAGACTATTTGATGGTGTTAATTCAATTATTTGTGGCATTGAACATGTTTTTAAAAGTTTGATTAGCTGATGCTGGTTGGTTTAAAGGTTTAGTTTGTTAAGGATGGTGTTTTAAATGTTGAGTTAGTTGAAGCTGATGTTTAGATGTTGAGTTAGTTGATGCTCATGTTTTATTTACTTGAACAGGTTTTATCTTTCTGGGTTAATTTAACATTGCTGGATCTTTCCATAACATTTGGCATTATGTTACACAAAGTGGTTCTAATGATACATCACAACGTTTGTATGTTATACAGCTAGGTTCCAATGTTACACTACAGCAATAAGAAATCTCGTATATTAAACATGTAACTGGATTTTACAATTTCTAAAGCAGACAACTACATTTTTCACATGTACCCCCACCCCTCCCCTCCAATATATATATATTAAGCTACACAGACAAAACGCATATTTGTTAACAGATTATGTAAAATTTATACTGTACAACGTATCCAAAACTTGGGTTTCTGTCAGTAGTACGTTCTTCATTTAACTTGGGAGAAAAAGATACGCGTAACTGGGCATCAGATGAAGAGATAATTCGTTTTTCCATACTTCATGATCAATCTTTAGTCTGTAACAGGAATGGTGTAAACATTCGTTTTGTTGATGTAGTTGCCGAAAGGGAGCTGCTAATTAGCCAGACCCTGTCAGTTAGCTACACCCTGCCAGTTAGCCAGACCCTGCCAGTTAGCCAGACCCTGCCAGTTAGCCAGACCCTGCCAGTTAGCCAGACCCTGCCAGTTAGCCAGACCCTGCCAGTTAGCCAGACCCTGCCAGTTAGCCAGACCCTGCCAGTTAGCTAGACCATCAGAGGCGTAGCATTAGGGGGGGCGGGGGTGCTGATCGCACCGGGTGACACCATTTAGTGGGGGGTGACACCAAGGCAAACAATAGCAAAATATATAGAGAACAACTTGAGGGGGGGGGGTGCAAATCGAAAATTTGAGGGGGGGGGGGGGTGTAATACGAAAGTTTGAGGGGGGGTGGTGTGCAAATCGAAAGTTTGAGGGGTGGGTGCAAATCGAAAGTTTGAGGGGGGGGGGGGTGCAAATCGAAAATTTGAAAGTTTGTCCCCGGGAAGGGTCGCCACTAAGCCTAGGGGGGGGGGGGGGGGGAGGGTGGTGACATCATTAAGTGCCGCACCGGGTGACACCCGACCTCGCTACTCCACTGCAGACCCTGTAAGTGCAAAAAAAATCTAGATTTTTAAAAATGTGGACGTTTTACACCTCCCTGAGTCGGAAAAACATAATTTTGCAATTTGGTCCGTAGGTCTGCGTGTGTGTATGTGTGTATGTGTGTGTGCCTGCAAACACGATAACTTAAGTATCGTTACAGCTAGGTTGATGAAATTTCAAATATAAGTATTTTATCAAAGTCGTAGATCCGTATCGACTTTTGAGCGATTTACGATAACCGGAAGCGGTACTTTTTCTACTTTGAATTTTTCAAAAGCCTATAACTTGAGTACTATTTGAGATAGATAAATGTATTTTCACATGTAAGTAAAAGATATAATTTTCTACCTTTTTCTAAATTTTGAGTAATTTCCGTTGACCGGAAGTAGTAATTTACGCTATTTCCAATTTCTCTAAAAAATGAATTTTAATTTATAAAGTATTAATAATATTGCGCACTATTATGCACATTTTATTTGGCATTCACTTTGTGTGCAGGTCTTTTTTCTACGAGAGTTTATTCTATTTTAAAAATATTTGGATTAAAAATCATGTCTATAACCCGAGTTCCCATCCCCTGTTATTTTATATAAGAATATTGGAGAAAGTTTATGGGAGATCACTCCCGGTTTATTTAACTTAATATTAGCGTGTATTAGGCGGATTTCATTATGTAATCAATAACCAATTTATTATTAACGATGAACTGTCGGAAATCCTGATTGAATTGCTGTAAAACCCTAAAAATGTGGTTATAAATATAAACGCTAAATGACAAATGGTACACTAAAAACACAACCATTATCATGTTGGTAGCCAGATGCGGCACGAAGGACGACCTCAACGGAACTCAACCAGGAATTTATTGTTAGTAAATGCAATTAGCTGTCTGCTTATACGGCCGTTATTGCCATGGGGACTCTGAAAGCGTTTATTAGATCTATTACAGCCGTGTTAGCTGTGACCATTCATCTATGTGTTGGTAAGTTTAGTTTAGATAGAACATTGGTATGTGTTGGTGTGTTTAGTTGAGATTAAATATTACTCTGTTTATACTAAAACCAATAATTCATCTTTAACAATACAAAAACAACTTTAATTGACTTTTCGTAAACGGTAATTGTTTCAAATTTATGCACCTTAAGGTCCTTAGTGTAGATACAGTAGAGTTTATCTATCTACATCAGCACGTCAATACTATTGACCTGGTCAGCAAACCACCATTAATTCAATTTCCCTTCTCCAATTCTAAGTAATAATTAAATCTGGGTAGATTAGGGTAGCATGTGACACTAGTGAGAAAGCTTGTAAATGTGTTTGAACTAAGTACAAGTTGTCTAGTTTTGATTATTTAAATCATCTCTGATACAGCTATGATTGAATTAGACCTGATTGAACACGACACTGGCAATGAAAATAAAAAGTGTTACAGAAACGGACAACCTATGGTGGAAAACGTGCTTACACAACTAAGTAAAGAAAAGTTTTTGGTTTGTGATAGTCACACTGACGGTGGTGGATGGATCGTCATTCACGTTTTTTTAGTTACTTGATCTTAATCACGTGACAACATTAGTCGAAACTGTTTGTGAGGTAAATATATGTATGTATGTATGATTATGATGTACATTTCCATCAATAGATCAGTACAGCGTGTATTATTGAGACTAGTATAGTTCCAGTTGTAAACGTAATCTGAAATGTATATCTCAGAGACGTGTAACTGGAGACGTAGATTTCCACAGAACGTGGAACGAATACAAGCATGGATTTGGTTCAAGTTCTGGCGATTTCTGGATTGGAAATGACTGGATCTCAATGTTGACTCAAATGGTGGGTTCATCTCACTAGCAAATGTGTTAATTGTTTTAGAAGTATTATGACATCATCAATTTATTGTAAAAGGCATTAATATTTATTTTCTCGGTATAAGCATTGTAATGTAGATGTAGATGTAGATGTGGATGTGGATGTGGGTGTGGATATGGGTGTAGGTGTGGGTGTAGGTGTAGGTGTACGTGTACGTGTATGTGTAAAATATGAACACAGGCCAACATAAACAAAGGCCAACACAGGCCAACATAAACAAAGGCCAACATAAACACGGGCAAACATGAACACTCATTGGCTAGACAGGCACTCCGTGTTCGATCTTATGTACTCCACTTTACACTTTATGCTCAAAACGTTGCCGATAAATTTTTTATACCATTGTTTTGTTTTTAAAGCACTATATTATATAGCTCAGCCATGTTTTTATACAGCATATTCATTGATAAAATTAAAGCAACCACAATGGTTTTGGTTTTTTAAAATTAGTTGATTCAACCTAAATAAAAAAAAACACTAAAGACAACCAATATTTTATAAATTCATACAAAAACCTGACAATACAGTATTTATAACTATATTTATTTTAATGGCACTCAGACAATTTTTTAAATATTTAAAAAACTATTCAAGACTGTTCATGTCTGCGTACATTTAAAAACCAAAGCGTAGGATATTCAAATTCGGGTTACAACCGCTAATGCTATTCAGCTACTGGCGATCCTTCGTATGGGCAGGAGATGTATGACTCACACGCACACCCCACGCTCAAGGTCGCATTGAAGTACTCATAAGATGGCTTGCCGGAGACACAGGTAGCTTTTCATATTCTCATCCTCTTTCTTATTTTAGTACAAGGAAACGCGTTTCTTCCTTCACAATAGTTACACAGGCATTGTGCCTGAACTATATACCTGAAATTTGTACAATTAAAATAAAAAATCACCGTAATCACATCATTAGAGTTTAACTCAAATTTTTGTTTTCTATGTGGAATACAAAATTAATTTCCAGCTTATTAGCAAAGAAGCCTAGAAAGATGTTAAGCATCGAGCATCTCTCGTGCATGCTGGAGTAATCTAGCCTTTGATTTGTCCCAAAGCAAATCGCCTCAAATGATTTGGGCTTACAGACATACAATCTTATTTATAACTCACAACTACTTAAACGGTTTATCTTTGAACCACTCTGCCCTCGATTTTAAATACTATAAAAAACGAAAAAAAAATTATCTGCCAGTGACTTAATTATTGTCGATCTAAATTTTTTTTTAACAAACATCGACGTAAATTTGTTTAAAGTTTTCAAATTATTTCTGCAACTTGAAAATCTAAACTTGAATGCATATTGTATATCTAATTCGTAATAAATTTCATAGTCTTTCGCAATTATGTGTAGAATATGAAATGAATATTACAAGCTTCAGAGAGCGAACTAGACTATTATGTAATGTTTATTTAAAAATGTTAACCTATTTAAAATCTTATCTTTCACGTTTAAAACATTGTATTTGTATCGTTCTTATCTAGTGATTCCATAATGTAGCCATCCTGTTTTCTATATGATTTAAAATGTCTGTATGACTGAAAATGTCTGTGTGACTGAAATGCCTGTATGACTGAAAATGTCTGTATGACTGAAAATGTCTCTATGACTGAAAATGTATGTATGACTGAAAATGTCTGTATGACTGAACATGTCTGTATGACTGAAATTGTCTGTATGACTGAAAATGTCTGTATGACTGAAAACTTACATACCTGAGGAAAAAGCTCTCTCCCCAATCCTCTCTTGTGTAGGTCACTGGGCAGGCAGGGTCCCATGGTGCCAGGCTATTGTTGTACACAGGGCTGATGTTGTACACAGGGCTGAGGTTGTACGCAGGGCTGAGGTTGTACACAGTGCTGAGGTTGTACACAGGGCTGATGTTGTACACAGGGCTGAGGTTGTACACAGGGCTGAGGTTGTACACAGGGCTGATGTTGTACACAGGGCTGATGTTGTACACAGGGCTGAGGTTGTACACAGGGCTGATGTTGTACACAGGGCTGATGTTGTACACAGGGCTGAGGTTGTACACAGGGCTGAGGTTGTACACAGGGCTGAGGTTGTACACAGGGCTGATGTTGTACACAGGGCTGATGTTGTACACAGGGCTGAGGTTGTACACAGGGCTGAGGTTGTACACTGGGCTAATGTTGTACACAGGGCTGATGTTGTACACAGGGCTGAGGTTGTACACAGGGCTGAGGTTGTACACAGGGCTGAGGTTGTACACTGGGCTAATGTTGTACACAGGGCTGATGTTGTACACAGGGCTGAGGTTGTACACAGGGCTGATGTTGTACACAGGGCTGATGTTGTACACAGGGCTGAGGTTGTACACAGGGCTGAGGTTGTACACAGGGCTGAGGTTGTACACTGGGCTAATGTTGTACACAGGGCTGATGTTGTACACAGGGCTGAGGTTGGCCACACAGCTCTCTGTGGTAGAAGCTACCACATCCCCATCCACAAATGGGGTGGTTGCATTCGCCCATTCCGGGTTGGCCGCAAGAAAAATTGACAGTTTATCCTGTATGTTGTAGTTTAAGGTGCAGCAGATATATGAGCTGCAGAACTACAACATCTTCATATAGTCACTGACTGTGCTTGCACTGCGCTAAGTTAAGAGCATTCAGTGGCGTTTCTTTAACAAAAAAGATTTATTTTGTAGAATACTATAAAATATGTTTCAAAATATTCCAAAACGTTTTTCGCCATTTTGAATGGTGAGTAGGTATATTAAAACTCACTAATTTAAATATATCGTTATCTAATAAATGCATCAGACGGCTTATTACAATCCCGTAAGGTATATTTCATTATCTTCTGGAAATCAGGCGTCCTGATATACTCATCAATGTTGATTTCAGAACCCGTGCTGTCAGTTTTAACTCAAACACACACACACACACACACACACACATATATATATATATATATATATATATATATATATATATATATATATATATATATATATATATACACAACTCTGATATGTATATTTAATGAATCAACACATATATTAAAATAAAATCACTTTAAAAGAAAATTATTTATTTTAAATTGAAATTTTTAAAATTATTATTTTAAAATTACACCAATTGGTATGAAACTAATTGATACTCAAAGAATAATGCATTAGAAACTGAAATTTATTATTACATTCAAAGATAATTTATACAAATAAGAATAATAATAACCTCACAAGAAAGGTAATACAGTTAGACATACAAGTGGGTAAGGAATTTGTTTACACGACAATAAAACAATAAATACATTTCTCCAAATGTAATACATTATTTTTTTTTAAACTGTGTTTTACAAACTTTAAATAAATAATAATCGTTTATATTACATGCATACTCACATTTATATAAGTTTAAAATAAGCTTGAGAATGATATTTTTAAAATTCTCTAGACACAATTACATCACAGGATACAGTTACCATTGCGATAAAAATAAACCTGAAGTGATTCCCCGATACTTTCTCGAATATTCTAATATAACACTACATTGGATGGCAACTCGGGACATTACTTAAACTTTTTATAACAGAATATAATCTCGTAGAAAAAAGAATTGCACACCAAAAGAACGCTAATGAAAATGTGCAAAAAAATGCGGGATATTAATAGTACTTTATAAATTCACATGCGTTTTTTTTTTGTTGTTTTTTTGAGAAATCGGAAATAGCGTTAATTACTACTTCCGGTCAACGGAAATTACTCAAAATTTGATAGAAGGCAGAGCATTAGATGTTTTACTTACATGTGAAATTCATTTATCTATCTTAAAAATAGTACTCAAGTTATATGCTTTTGTAAAATTAAAAGTAGAAAAAGTTCCACTTCCGATTATCGGAAATCGCTCAAAAGCTGATAGGGATTACGATTTGATATAATACTTATGTATGAAATTTCATAAACCTAGCTGTAACGGCACTCAAGTTATCTTGTTTACAGACACACAGACACACAGACACAGACATACGGACAAGATTGCAAAATATGTTTTTACGACTCAGGGAGCCCGAAAACGTCGAGATTTGCAAAAATTCGTTTTTCTTTTTTGCACGATTACAAGACTTTTTCTATACCTCGTATGTACGAGAAAGTAAAAAAAAAGCATTGTCATTCGTATAGTGTTTTAGCTCTTTTAGAACTGTTACAAAATACACCACACATATGGGAGTGCATTAGCAACTAAATAGCAATCAATACATAAATTAAAATATAGCACATACAACAGTTTGAATACATTTAAGATAAACATGCTTTTTAAGAGAACACATAGGCAAAATTTACGGATCAGAAACTGTTAAAACCTTAAATTTTACAACCGATAGATGGAAACTTCTCCACTTTTCTGTGTAGTACAAACTTTACCGACTTGATTTTGCCAAGGAGACGAAACACCACCCGTTCGGTTAACTTCCACCATTACATTCTGCATCCCTGTTTGTCTGATTGCAATGACCACAGTAAACGATCCATTAAAAGGGGCTTTAAAAACCCCAGTACTTGGGTTAAGGTGGTTTCCAACGTTACTTTTCACTTGTCTGAACGATATGATGATGATGTACTTTGTTCTGTATGCACTTGAAGCAATACAACCAGTATTTGGATCCATCATTTGCGGCATTGCTAATAATAATTAATTATTGAATCAAATTATTTTAAAATATTGTATTTAGTTTTAGCTTAACTTCAGCAAATATCACTAACTCAATAATTTATAAAAGAGTATGTAAAAAATAAAAGTATTAATTACCTATGTTAGAAATATAATAATATCTGTAAGTAATAAAATCATTAATTATCAAACGGCAAAAAAAAATCTTAGTAATGTTTAATTCACGTGAAATAAAAAGCACTTTAAATTTTGGTGTAAAAAAACAGCAATATACCAAATGAAAGGATACTCGAAGCAAGGAGAACGGTTAATTATTGTGTGGTCGTTTGAGGTTTATTTTCATCCTAAAATATAGAACATAAAACATTTACCTTTACGAGGTAATCAATAAACGGAACGTGTATTTAACAAAGACATTCCAAAACTTGTACTATATGGAATAAGCTAACATAATATAAGAAACGAGCATATTTTGTGTGTTTTAAATCTACTTTAAACGCAAACACTAATAGCGTAGGTTTGTTACAAACTAAGTACCCAACGTTACATTGTGTTAAATTTTTAATATTTTTACTTACTGTTTGTTTACTCACATCCATTTTCTGATTGAACAGTTCAATCAATTTATCCATGGAATACAATCTTTGTTGAAACAGTTGACACACCACGCCATACTTAAATGTAATACATGTTGCTTTAAATATCAGATATTTGTAAATTTTATTGTTTTGTGTGATAAACGATAGGGTGATTATTATTACGATGTTATGAGCATATCACTGTGCCATACATCTGCTGTATTTGTGTTTAAAAGTGTTAACTTTACCTTCAACATCACGTCCTGAAATTGTGTTTCTGTGTCAATCGCCAGATTTTCAACTATTTGGTTTAAATGGGATTCGCTTGCATTTAAGGAGTTGATTTCCATTTTTATCCTCTTTATTGACTGGCTCTGATGGTTCAATTGAGTAACAAGTGTTTTAACTTTTATATTTTGGTCTCTTAAAAGTTGTTCGAATTCTTCCTGGATGGTCGATTTTATATCTGAACGGGCATACATGGCCATTTCCAGCTTTTTAAGGCGATCGAATATATTGGCTTCTTTGTCATCTAATAAGTTAAAAAGAAACACTCTAAAATACAATAGTTTAGTTAATTTAAAAGTCTGCTTTTGTTTAAAAATATTGGAGTACATAATTGTAATTGATTTTGGTTCCTGCTATTAAAAACATTGATATGGGACCAAATACAAAATATTAATTTACCAGATATTCTTGTTTTGAAAGATGTATCACACTGGCCTTTGGGTAAACTCCCAACCCCTGCTGGCTCTATATGGAAATAACACATCACATATTATACATCTCGATATATATATATATATATATATATATATATATATATATATATATATATATATATATATATATATATACACATATTTAAGTAATATATTCGGAATAAGTTTAATTGAACTCGGTATAATATATATGCTGACCTAAATTAGATTTTTATCAAACGTAAAAAAATAAATTTCTATGAATCACCAGAAAAACAATCAGCCTTCTGTGAAATCGAATCCACTGCTGTCTCCAGTAGACTACAGATATCCAGGTAGCTCTCAAGAGATGAGCCAGGGTTGTTCATCCAAGCATTTGTTCTATCTTCCACCTGTAATATGTAATAGACAAAAGTGAATGCTTAAAATATAATTAAAGTCTCTGACATTTAATTTAAAGCCATTGAATCATGTAAACAAACTAAATTGATTTAAATTTGTACAACTGTAATTTTGTATTACCATTTTGACGTGTTGGTCTATTTTTTCATACAAAGTTGCCTTCTCTGTGAGCAGGGTTTCTAGCCGTTGTTTTACGAACGTGGCTCTTTTCTCTTCACTTTGGCTGGCCATTGTATATCCTGTTGATTAGGTAAAGTCCAATACGCACAGTTCTCTACTAGTGTGAACTTTCTATGGACGATCCTTATTGCTTCTTTAAACAACAGGGCTGAATACAAACACAAGAGAAATACTTATCCACCATGATGTATGAAATTCACTGGCTTAAATTTATAATCTGTTATGGTGTGCAACTAACATAACATTGCTCTTGTAATACTAAATGCATACAAATAGCAGTATACAATAAATATGAAAAGATCGAAAGTGCGCTTCCTACAATCTAAAGAGTTTAAGAAAATTGTCTGTGTGTAAGTGTTGTTTCTTTTTATGTGTACCTGTGTCAGGCAGCCTTAATTGAATATACCATGTTTTCTTACCCTGTTTATTGATCATCTAAGGCGACGCCTGGGGCGAACGCCCTCCTCTCCTATCTAGCTACGACACAGATCATATACGGTCATAAATTACTATGTGTGTACTTATTAAATTGCAGTAAATTATTTAGGTGCTTGTAAACTTTACATAGCGTTACTCTCAGAAATATTTTGTTGTGTTGGGTTTATAGGATGCTTATAACTATAACACTACAATAGCATACAATCATTAAATATATAAACCGTGTTACTAATATATAGCTCTATATTGATACATTGTAACAAAATTATGATGGTAACATATTGATAGTCCACAAAATGTAGTTTAACTTACCTTACATAGGTAAACAACACTAGATTTTTCTACGTGGCGAGATTCTAGGAATCATTATCGGGAATTTCCGACCTTTGTCGATATAAACAGTTTCACTTTCCATTTGTTGGGTGCGTGTTATGTAACAAAAATCCTAAATTGAAACATTTTCAGCAGCTAGATATTCAACATGACAGCTATGTGGCATGTGTGTAGGTTTATTTGTACAAGTTGTTCCAGGAATGACATATATCGATGTGCTTCCACATTATTTTAACATATTAAAAAACTATGTTTTTACGGTATAAATACATAGCGCGGTCGAGTCGGTAAAGCTCATGGTTGCTAAACAGAAAAGTCTCAAGTTCGAACCCTCGGGCAGATAAGGCTTGATCCCTTCCAGCACTAAAAATTAAGAACGACGAATAACATGAAGCACATAATTGTTGTTTTTATAAACACTTTATGAACTTAAATAAGGTTCTGTCTGTTGATATGTACGTATTTTAAATAGTTTCAGTTTTCCTTAGAATATCACATTGGGAAATCCCTATTTAAATGGTTTAAATTGTGTTTTAAAATAAGAACTAATGAATTTAATAGCTTGTGACAGTATAAGGATGTATAATATTCTAATTTCGACACAAAAACTATATGATATATAGGCCTATATATATATATATATATATGTATATATATATATATATATATATATATATATATATATATATATACAAACTGTAGCATACTATAAATGTTCATAGATTAGAGTAAATATCAAATTACGAGATAAATAGTCCGTTGAAGGTAAAATGCAACGGGCGCTGGGTTGATTTTGTTGTCTATTTACTCTAAACCGAAACTAAAATCAAAATCACCATCTCAAACTACAATTGTAACCGGAAACGACAAAAAAATGTCTTTGAAAATGGATGTTTATCAAGAATCGGCATTTTGGCGGGGGCTAAGCTTGGTCAACTTTCAAGTTACTTTTAGGCAACTCTTGATATAACGACATACAGCTTATATAGAAAATATACGTTTACCATTTTTCGGAAATGTCTGTATGCTTGAAAATGTATGTGTGATTGAAAACTTACATAGCTGGGAAAAAACTCCCTCCCCGCTCCTTTTTTTGAGTAGGCCACTGTGACAGGCGTTTTGTACACAGGGCTGATATTGTAGACGAGTCTGAGGTTAGCAACACAGCTCTCTGTGGTAGAAACTTCCACATCCCCATCCACAAATGGGGTGGTTCCATTCACCCATTCCGGGTTGGCCGCAAGAAAGGTTGACAGATTGTCTTGTATGTTGTAGTTTTAAGGTGCAGCAGATAATGGACGTCATCAGCTGCCGAACTACAACACATCGGATGGCCCACATCTTTATCTACTCACTGACTGGGATTGCACTGCGCTAGGTTTAGAGCTAATTTTTATACTAGATACATTTAAAAAATAAATTAACCTGCATTCAGTGGCGTTTCTCTAACAAAATAGACTTCTTTAGTAGAAAACATAATATTTGTAAATAATCCAATGTTTTCGCCTGAATTGATATATTAAAGCTCACTAGTTAAAATATATCATTATCTAATAAACGCACCGACGGTTACAATAAAATAATTCAACATAGAAATACAGTATTTATTTATGCATAATATACGTTTTAATTTTTAAGAAACAGACATTAACTCCAAGTATTTATACGTCTTGCAAGCACAAAATACACATACACAAAACATCACTTCTATTAAATAGGCACTCGGCACAATACTACATGTTATAAACAATTGAAAACATGTTATTGAAAAACTTTAATTAAGTTAAACCAAAACTTTACAATGCTAAAACATTGCCATCTTGGACAGCATATTCACATTTTACATATCAGTAACATATACGGTCGGATATTTTAAAATTGTTTAACATAAGTGTAATCTATTGTAAATATAGCGTCAGATGGTAAGAAATCTAAACCTATATATTTATTAACTGTTGTGTATTTTCATACAAGCAAATGTATTTGGTAAGGTAAACACAATAAGTTTATAATCCGACAATGGTAAAACCACTTCCACCCTGTAACTTAGCCCCCTCATCCGCCTCAGCCACTTTAAAGAAAAGTTCTTCCCCTTTTTTCATGGGAACAACCGTCGACCCACAAGCTGATGTTAAGGCAGAATTGACAAAAATTTCATTGCATAAAACATCGCCCAAAAAAACGGCCACTTTGATAAAATGATCCTCATTCTCCAGTAGGTTGACATTGACGAGGTATAAACCGTCCTCTGGAGCTACAAGTTTTCCTGTTGTTTTGTTGAAACATCTGCCGTAAGATTCCCACACTACATAGAATCTAGCCATAATATTTCCAACAGTCACAAGTGTGTCGTTGTCAAGGTGGATTTGACAGACGTAAGGCTGACAAGCGCTGGTCTCTGTGTCAAAGTATATTACATTAGTGGTGACATATGCTGGTCTCTGTGTCAAAGTATATTACAATAGTGATGACTTAGAATACAAATTGAGATAGTTTTGTGTTTTTGTGTCGAGGGAGGCTTAACTTTTTTTTCTTTAGCGTATAATATTTCCACTGACATAGAGTTATATGACATCTGTATGTTCTACTGACACTTATTTTATAAGACATCTGTAAGTTTTGCTGGCATTTATGTATATGACATCTGTAAGTTATCTGTAACATACCCGTTACTAGCGACATGTTTTTTTTTTAACAAAGATGAACATGCCAGTGAGTTGTTTTAATTATTTTTAAATTATCTACCAAAGTTACCAAAAGCTTTAAGGTTTTCTGAGAACTTGAGTGCACCATTCACTTGGTTTTCAAGCTTTGAAATGGAAAATAGAAGGTTTAATTACAATAAAAAAATTCATTCATTGAGAACCGAATACGACATTCTGCGCAGTGGTCTTTTATACCTTGTTGTATATGTCCCGCTGATTCAACATTTAAAAAACACATTGTTACAAACTTTTTTTTATTATCATACTGCACTTGTGTGTGACGGTGTGGTCGGATAATAAAGCATACAACTGCGAACTTAAAAGTCTCGAGTTCGATTCGCGGTTTCTCATCTTAGCTCTGATGGGTACCTGGCAAAAATGCGGTGGTCACTTCAAATCAACTCTACCTGGACATGGAATATCGATTCGAAACTGTACTTCATTATACTGCACTTTAATCAGCAAAAAATAAAATGCATTACCTTTTTAAAATTATCCTCACATTTGAATGCTGTATTATCTTGTAGAGTAGAAATAATTGAGCAATGGATCCTAACTTCTTGTGTTATACTGTCTGTTTTATCTGTGTGATCTTGCATCTCTTTATTTATTTTGAGTAAGTTGTTTTCATATTCCTTCTGTGACCTACTTAGGTCGAGTCATTTTTATTTTGACATTGTATAATTCCTTATATGGAATGATTGTGTAACACCTGGGGTTTTTCCATTGACTATTAAGGTGTTTGAGACATAGAAATTTTCCATTAAAATCTGATTGAATGATTCTGATCAGATGATTATCCCAACCAATGGCGACATGAGTTGAGGATAACCTCCCCTGTCACAGAAGTCTTTAATTGCCCTGCAAACTCGCAACACGAGGCAGTTTTTCTTGACCTAAAAGTCTACGAGGCCGTTTTCCTTAGTCGGGCAGCCGTCCATATTGTCCGGCTATAGACTCTGACCATTTGAACGTGAGAGTACTTAAGACCTGTGTGTGCCTTGCTTTCTTAAGTGATTTAATCTTCTAGTTTAATATTACTTGTCGTTAAGTAATTCCTGGAGCTACAGCCGTGTTGTGTGGCCTGTAGCTGTTCTTTAGACAGTGTAGAAATCTGTGATAGTGTTTTTTCCTACATTGTGTAAGTTGGGTTTTTGATATTTTATACATTAAATATTTTATCTAGTTCATCTTTGTGTTCTGCCACTTCTGAGTTCGCTGATTAAAAGGTCGTATGTAGATTGGATGAGTGTTAATTACAATAGTATCACTAGCTTCCCTAGACATTAAATTCGAGCCCTAGTGGTCATTGTGTTAAGTGTTCATCCACTTTGGCCGTAAGGCATTTGCATATGACCCCGAAAAAAGAATCCGGGGACGTTCTCCTTCTATTTGGCTGATAGATAGGTTAACGTTACAAAGTGGGAGCTCGCCGAGATTTAATCTGTCGTTCCAGTTGTTGGTTATATCAGTTGAATACTAAGGTTAGTTGGATTTAGTTGTTTTTATATCCAGTAGCGCAGTGTTCTTACAACGCGCGCTCAGGCTAGAGTATCTAGGTCAAATAAGCAGACGTGTCGTCCTACATTTAGAGGTCGAGTACACGGCCCTACACGGTGTGTTAATTTAAAGGATCTAGGCTTGTTGTGATTTTCAAGTAGTGTTATGGAGTCTTTTTTGGCTAATCCTACTGTTGAAGATGTAGAAAAGTTGAGTAGAAAAGTTTTGGTTAGTGTTGTTAAGGAATTGAAATTGGATTATTCTGTTACGCAGAAGTCAGAGGTGTTGAGAGATAAAATTGTTGTTCATTTCATTAATGAAGGAGTATTTGACGAAAGTTTGTTAGCTAGTGTGTTGCTCCGCGAGGAGAAATCTATAGAAGAGAGGGAGCTTCTATTAAAAGAAAAGGAGTTTGAAACTAAAAGTGCTCTAGAGAAGGAGAAAGTTGCTCTAGAGAAACAGGAGTTAGAGGCTAAAATTGCTTTAGATAAGAGGAGGTTGGAATTAGAGTTTGGTCAAGTTAGTGATGTCACTTCTCTGGTAGATCCAAAAAAGTTGTCGGTAGGGCAAGTGATTGCCAAATTTGGGAAATTAGTTCCTAAATTTGATGAAACAGATTTGGTCGTTTTCTTTAACTCGTTTGAGAGTTTAGCGAAGACATGTGAATGGCCCGAAACTTCCATTACTGCTTTATTGAGCTCTGTCCTTACTGGGAAAGCTGCAAAAACATACCAGGCACTCTCTCACAACGTTCAAAATAACTATAGTTTGGTCAAGACTGCCATTTTAAAGGCCTACGCACTGACGCCCGAGGCCTATCGGACAAAATTCCGAACACTCCGCAAGTTACCCACAC